TTTCTGGCTGCTGGATTCAGAACTTGAAGGGATACATGTAACTATCAAGAGTTGCAGGCAGGGCCTGGTCTTGTTGTTCTGAGACCGCTGTATTGCTCTCGCACAGCTACAATTCCCAGGGCGGTTTAACAATAAATTCCTCTTCACAGGAAACTCTGGGAATTGTAGCTCTGTGAGGGGAATAGGGGTCTCAGAGCCCTTAACAAACTGCAGATCCAATAATTCTCTGGGGGAAGACTTGACGGTTTGAAGTGTCAGCACATCACTTTAAATGTATCGTGTGAATGTGGCCCTTGTCTTTCACCCCAAGCAGCAAAATGTCTCGGGATGGCCCTGGCTGTATGGAAAGAGAAACAGGCAGATGTGGTTTCCCCACCATACTGCCATAGCACTATGAGTTTCTCTCAATTTTTCATATTTCCAACCTTAAGTTCAGTATACCACATTCCACATTGATTTGCAATTTTTTAAAAAATCCTCACAAAAATTCACCAGTGTTTTACTGCAAACTTCTCCCAACATATACCATTTTTCTGTGAAGCAATTTCCCCTAATATACATTTGCATGTTAGTTTCATTAATATACATATTTTTATGCAAACTTTATCCTCGTATTTTCCTTTTTGAGCACATTGCTTGACTGAAAATCTGCATCACAAAATTTGGAGAAATGGAAATTTGGAAAGGAGCTTTGTTCCAAACTGAATTGTATTTTCCCCTGCCGTTCCTATGCCACACTGATGGAAGAAGCCACATCTGGTGGAATTTTCTCCACGCTATGCAACATTATGGAGGAAGACAGACAATAATATAAAAGCAGAATTGTTAAGAAATGTAAAGACCATAATCTAAAAACAGAGATCATAACAAATTTTGTGCAAGTCTTGAGTTTGCAACTGAGGAAGACATGCATAGCAGCAAATGAAGCACTGGAGGACCACAGCTTCTATGCTTGAAGAGAGAATGTCCATCTTTTTAAAAAGAATCCATTCAAAGGTGGCTTCCCAGAGTGGCTTGAGCAACCCAGTTAGATGGGCAAGGTACACATAATATTCCCCCCCCCCACGCTTCGAGACTGCAGAAATATGGGCTCCCCCATATGACCTGTTTATTGAGCATCCATCCTGATTTGCTTGCACAAAGCTTACGGTGAGGTTAGACCAGGGGTCAGCAAACTTTTTCAGCAAGGGGCCGGTCCACTGTCCCTCAGAGCTTGTGGGGGAGCCGGACTATATTTTGAAGAAAAAATGAACAGATTCCTATGCCCCACAAATAACCCAGAGATGCATTTTAAATAAAAGGACACCTTCTATTCATGTAAAAACACACTGATTCCTGGACCGTCCACGGGCCAGATTGAGAAGGCAATTGGGCCACATCCAGCCCCCGGGCCTTAGGTTGCCTACCCCTGGGTTAGACAGTGCCTGGTATTTATTGAGCATTCAATGTGATTTGTTTGTGGGGAGGTTATACAGCAGTGAGCGCTCATCCTGCTTGCTTGTGGGATGTTTATATGTCTTCCTGTTAGTCACTTGTTAACCCGACTCTTTTTAGTGCATGTCCCTGTCACCTTCCTAACCGTAAAAATTCTATTGTCCATATTCAACCGACCTGTTGCATTAGCTTCTCCTAGCACAAGGTGGATTCCTTCCCTCTCTTCCTGCTAGGTCTTCTGCCGGCAAGTCGGTGTCTCACTTACTCTTTCTTTTTCATCTGGAGGCCAGCAGAAACTCTGCACCTGGGCTCTGGGGTTTTATGTTTGGCGGGTGGGCTGCATGCCTCTTTCCCATTGTTTGCTGCTTGCTCTTCCCTCCACCCTAAGCTGAATATTACCCTGACATGGGAACAATCAGGCCAGTGTTTCCAAGCCATGGTGAGATCCCTGTGGGACCAGGAGACAACCCCCTTTTCCACTCCCCGAGGCTGCTCCTTGGTCTGGAGGCTTTTCCATCTCTCACACTGGCTCAAAGAGCTCTAACAAGGGGGAAGTGGGCACTTTGCAAGCTGAGTTTATGCGATACAATTCCATCGTCCAAAAGTATGCACTGGGGATCATTCATTATTCCCTTGGGTAGAAGTTACCAAGCTCTGTTTGGTAATTGATGGGTTGCTGCATGGTTCATAGCATGATCCCAAAGGGTCCTGTTTTTAAATGGCAATCAGCTCTGTGTGGCTCATTACATTCTCTGAAGGAAATGAATACACAACTATTTGTGCCAAACGTAGCAGGACATTATATTCAGAGAGGTACGGGCTCCACTAAACATAGGTAAAGGTAAAGGGACCCCTGACCATTAGGTCCAGTCGTGGCTGACTGGGGTTACGGCGCTCATCTCACTTTATTGGCCGTGGGAGCCGGCATACAGCTTCCGGGTCATGTGGCCAGCATGACTAAGCCACTTCTGGTGAACCAGAGCAGCACACGGAAACGCCGTTTACCTTCCCGCCGGAGCGGTACCTATTTATCTACTTGCACTTTGACGCGCTTTCGAACTGCTAGGTTGGCAGGAGCTGGCACAGAGCAACGGGAGCTCACCCCGTTGCGGGGATTCGAACCGCCGACCTTCTGATCAGCAAGTCCTAGGCTCTGTGGTTTAACCCACAGCGCTACCCGCATCCCCCATTAAACATAGTTACTAGTTAAAAGAATTTAGGGTGCAATCCTATACTCATGTGAAGCCTCATGGAATTCAATGGGACTTTCTCCTGAGCTGGCATGTACAGGAATGCACATGTTAAGACACATGTGGTAATTGATATACATTCTCAACAGGGTTCCATTTTGATAAAATGCTCATGTGAAAGCAGATTCCTAGGGAATTGGAGTCCAACAATATATGGATACTCCTGCCTTAAACCATTGTCAGAGATCATGCCTACAGCAGTAGAAGATGCAAGAAGCAGCTCCCATGCCCATTATTCCAAGAGTGGACTTGGTGTAGCAAGCAGAAGTTTACTCTCAGTCCCACCCTCCAGTAGCAAGCAGGAGAGGAAGACAGGTGAAAGGACCCCTGGAGCACCTGGCCTGGATGGGAGATAAAACCAGCCACATCACTCTTTCCCACTTTTGACTCTGTAATGCTACAGCTATGATTTCTGGATTAACATCTGGCAACCTGATCAGCTACAGAGTCCTCGGAAAGTGGCACTGATTGCCGCTTAATTAATTAATCACCCATTATTAGTGACCAAGCCATAAGGAAACAAAGATCATAGCAAGGGATGGGGGAGAAATTTGGTTCAGTTCACATTTTAATGCAAAACAACCTAACTTGCATTTCCCAAAACAATCCTTCCAAATCTGCCCTTCTCAAATTCTTATGGTGCAGTTGCAGAAGAACACATGGAACTGACATTATACTTTTCCAACTGAGACATGTGGCTTGAAACCTTGTTCTCCAAGGATGAGATAGACATCAATTTTACACGCACACACACACATACACCAAATATTTTTATTTTTATTTTATAGATTTTCTGTCTTTATTTCAGAGGATAGAGATGTCTTCTTTTATATACATCCTTCATTACTGTGAAAATCTGGTTCCAACCCTCAATCCATTAGCAATACTGTTGTTGTGAATGTGTTAATGTTTGTACAACTGTCACAAGCACTAGTTGCACAGTGCCTAAGATATCACTTATGACAAGGGAACAAAAAATATAGTTTTAGAGAGTTTTCATTGGAGGGAGAGGTGTTAAATAATCTGTTCATAATTTGGGGAGAATTCTTCTATCTTTCCGCACAAATGCTCATATTGGAATGGGCAATTGTGGTTTCTCCAGGTTTCTCATTTTTTTCAGTCTTAAGTTCAGTTCTCCACATTTCTACACCAGCATTTTAGTGTGGATTTGTTCTAATTTGCACATTTTCCTATGCAATTTTGGCCAACATGCACATTTTTGCAAAGCAATTTCCCCTAATATAATGCATTGGGCATGTTGCTGTCATTAATATATGCAATTTTTAGACACACTGTACTTTAGTACATCCATTTTTGGACAAGTAGATTGGCTAGAGAACTTCATTGCAAAATTCAGAAGATTGCAAATTTCAAAGGATTGTGGTGTTTTGGTTGACATATTATTTTGGAATGTGCAAGCTAGGTAGGTGCACCTTTAAATGCAAAATGAAATTTTCCCTCATCCCTAGCCTCAAATAGCCTTTTCAAACTTTTAATTATATCTTCCCATCCTGGTATCTTCTAGAAATGGATCCCACAACCTGGAGATGGCAGAAGCAGATATTTAATATTCTAGCTATTCCTAGGATGTTCCATACCATTTCTAGAACATTCTGTACCATGTGTGCAAGATGAAGACAACCACCCTGAAGGACCTGCAAGTGAAGATGTTGCCATCTTTCTCTTCCCCATAGGCTCCAATAAGTGTATGTGCTGAGGAAAGCCTAGGAGGAGAGACACAAAGGCCTCCAGATCGCACATGTTATACAAGTTCTACGCTGAAGGAACTTCTATATAGCTGTGCTTACACATTCATATTTCCCCTTTGTGGTGGCTACACGAACGTAGGTCTTCTCTGGGAGAATATGCTGCAATACTCTGGCCGAAGGCAGCTCTGCAATGCATATACAGCTGCCACAACAAAATCTCTGTGTGTGGTTGTTGACACACAAACACACACACACTCCATTCCATATAGGAATTTTGTTCAACGCAGTCCTTAAACGCCATCCCTTCTTATACCAAATGGGCCTAAAAATGCCCAATGTTAACCATCCAATGTAAAAACAAATTAAATAAACGTTGACTGCACCACCTTCCCCCCAAAAAACAACAACAACAAATAACAGCACGCCTCTATAAGTGTCAGTTTGAGATGGGGGCTGAAATGTGCAGTTGTGGAGGGGGGGTGCCTTAGAATCTCCTGCCTGCATACAATGAATGCATCTGGGCCATAAAGAGCTCTTAGCTCCACCCTCTGTCTTTCCCTCCCCCTGTGTAAAGCGGCAAGCCAGTCACAGAGACATTCATCCAGGGTATTAGGAAAAACCAAGCCTCCCCTTAGGAATGGCACTTGTCTGAGAGTTTCCTCAGCACACAGCTCCTGAAAAGCCACCAGGCTTGTGAAAGGAGAACAGAGGGGCTATTGGGATACAAATTACAGCACTCTCAGGATTTGCCCGACAGAGCGGCCGATGTAAGTTTCTCTACCTGAGCTTGGTAACTCACTGTCTCTTTCTCTCTCCCCCTCTTTCTCTCTCCTTTTTAAAACACATCTGACAGTTTTCTCCTTCAGTAGTTTTCTTTCACCCTTCCACTGAGCTTTGGGTGAAGAATTACAGATTGAAAAGGCAGCCAATTTGGGGTGGGGGCTAATTTCTTTTACGTTAGGGAACCAGCTAGGTGCCTGTGCCAACTTTATTTTTAGGTATTGCTTTCCTGAGGTTGGTTAATGTCTGACAGGGTTGAAAAGTGATAGAAGCTTCAAATTTTCTAGAAGTTTTGTAACATACGTATATTAGATATATGCAATTCACATAAACTTTAAGAATAATAATATCTGGAGCGTAAGTGAACCAGGAAGGGAATATGAAGCCAAAATATTTCCAACCCACTCTATGATGCCTTTTACCTGGTCTGCTTCAAATGGCGCAGTGTGTTTGAGACGCACTCCGAATACACTAATTCTTACACAATCATGAGGCATTTTGTCTGGATCCTTTAATACTTATAACCACCCATTTCCCCCCAACTGCTGATATTCTTGACTCCAATATCAAAGCAAGTTAAGAAACTGCAGGCATATTTGGGATTTGGAAGGAGAAATTAAGAAATAGGTCTTGTTTTTTGGTCTTCACCCTCTTGAAGACCTCCCCAATCTTTGTTTGTAGATAACATGTATACCAAAAAAAGCGGATTCTCATGTTAGAGAAACTTTATGGCACATGTCAGAAGTTTCCAGCTAATTAGAATGTTCTCCACTCACATTTGATCACGGCTTTTGCAGGTCCCATAAAACAACATGTTAATGCGGTAGGGTCCACAGATTTTTATTAAGTATGTACCAAATCCTTTCCAGATTATTCGGATATTTTGAACTTTTTTAGCTTTAGTGTTCATTTAGACCTTTTTTGTGTGTGTGGTTCCAGTTGGAAGACGTTGGTACCTGAGGAGTAAAACAAAGAGGAAACAATGACAGACGATCAAGACCTTTCTGAGGTGGAGATGAGTCCTGTGGGTTCTGAAGACCACCACTGCCTCTCTCCAGGACCTTCCATGGCATCAGATGCTAGCTCTCACCTTAGCAACCCCAGCAGCGGTGAGATGGGGAAGGTGAAGAAGGAACAGCAGGACTCAGAAGCGGACGACGACAAGTTCCCAGTGTGCATCAGGGAGGCAGTGAGCCAGGTTCTGAGTGGCTACGACTGGACCCTGGTGCCCATGCCTGTGCGGGTCAATGGAAGCAGCAAGAGCAAGCCCCATGTCAAACGGCCCATGAATGCCTTCATGGTGTGGGCACAAGCGGCCCGGAGGAAGCTGGCAGATCAGTATCCTCACCTCCACAATGCAGAGCTCAGTAAGACGCTTGGGAAGCTCTGGAGGTAAGAATGGCTGGGAGAAAGACATCATATAAGATGAGGGCAAACTGGGGTGCACTAGGGAGTGGTGGAAGCTCAGCAGGCATCGGTTGGTTGGTTTTAACTTTTGCTTTGATGTGGTGATAAGGGGAGAGCAGGTGGGGTGATCCAGGAAATAAGGCACAGATAAGTGGCATAGAGAGCAAAGCATAGAAGGCACTTTCTTTCTTGATTACATGCTGCCAGTATAAAACTCGGTCCACGTTTTGATTTGACCTGTGCTCCTACTCCATTGCAAGGCCCAGTTAATCTGGCCGCTAAGCCACAGTCCCAGCAGTTGGGTTTTCAGAAACTGCATACTTCACCTTCTCCTCTTGACCTGTTGCGTTCCTTCTTTCTACTACACTTTTGGAGTTCTTCTTCAGTTTTATCCCCTAGTAAAATCACGAGTCTCTCCTCTGCTACATGCTGTTTATCCAACAGTTCTGAAGTCCAAAACAAGCAGTGTCATGGTGGTGAAATTAAGGGAAAGATTAATTTGAAAATGTAAAGTTGACAGCTTTCATGGCTGAGAGAAAAGAAACTTGATTTTCATGGAACAAAGGCTGAGCAGCAAAATGACAAAATTGTGCTCCCCTGTACGCAAGCTGGTTTTCATTTCATGATTTTGAGCCAATCTTTGATTTGTGAAAGTTCAAATTGGAGTGTTTGGAATTTGACATTCTGTGTCTGTTGAGTTTTCTAGCCTGGCATTTGTTTGTGTTTGCGTTTTTTGTTTTTAAAAACTTCCTTAAATGTATTTGTACCTGTCTTGAAGACAGAGTGAGCTGCTGTTGGCATGGCGGGAAGGAAGGAGCAGGTATGGCAAAGGACAGAAACTCAGCCCCCTGTTACAGACCATCCCATTGTTGTTTAGTCACAGATATCGATAATTGGTGATTGCCTGAAGGTGATTTGGATTTGGAATTTGGCAACTGTGAAATATACGAACAATGAAGAGTCGTGGGGTGGGGGGAGGCTAATGGAGCGATAAACAAGGCTTGTAATAAAAGGCTGATGGAGAGATAAGGAAACACAATCAGAATATAAGATCCCTTATATTGCCACTGAGCAATCTATGCCAATGCATTGCTTCTGGCTAATTGGACTCTGAGAATTTGGGGTTGTTTCTTTTTATGGAACAACATGTTACTCCAACCATAGTAGAAACAAGCCAGTGTCCACTCAGGTAGCGAGAAGGCACTTTATGTTCCTATTCAGGTGCACATATGTTCATACAGTAAATCTTTGAAGACAACATTCCTTTGCAAACTTGGGAGTAATCCCAATTGAACATACCGGAACTCACTTCTAAGTAAGCATGCATAGGATTGTACTGTTCAAGACTTTCCAGATTATCTGTTTGTTGTGCGGCTCTTGCTCGCCATTTACATGGAATCTAAGCATCTTACATTAAGGAAGCAACACTGTTTCAGAGACATCACATTTCCCTGGCATTCAAGTAACAGTATGTTGCAGGTGGGGGAATGTGATTATTTACTCCACCTAAGAGGACTGTTGTTGTTTGGAGCAGTGTCTAGAATCATGCAGTTGTGAGAATGTCGTGGGCACCTACTGGACAGTGTCCATGCCCTCATGCATTATGGCAGGCACAACTCTGCCTCCAACTCACGTTCTCCAAATGCTAACCTGCAAAGAGAGGGCTAGCAAGTTGGAGCTGAAAATAGCAATCCTTGAGGCAGAGAAGAACCTTGTTCGTTTTGTGCCCACAGCAGCCAGTCTCCACATGCCTTGCCTTGAGGCTTTATCTGGACTTATTGCTTTGGTAGATTTGATAAGAAGCTCCTGAACACTTAATTTTAGCTGGTTTCCTTCCCAAGTGAATCCTGACTTTGCAGGCAAAATACTTCTCCAGAACATACATCAGAATTTTTTTTCTTTTTTTAATTGGTACCTCCCTTGGCACAAAGGCTGGTTGTGCATTTTGTGGGGATGGGCACTGCATTATTGCATTGGCACTGGACTTGTAAAGCTCTCCTGTGAGATTTGAAATGCAGTGGGGCTGTTCATCCATGTAAACCTTTAAGAACGAATTCCACCAAGGCAGGATATCCCTTCTACTTCAGCTTGCAGTACTCTGACAGCTTAAATATTCAAAACCCACAGAAAAAAAAACTTGAGTTAGGCTTGAGCAAAGCTTAAATTATTTTCTGTTTGAGTTGAATCCTTGAGGTTATGGTAAGGATTTCAGCTTTTATCTGAAAATCTGATTATTAGAAAATACCTTCAAGACAAAACAAAATGGAAGACGCAGAGTTTTTTCTTTTTTAAAAAATAATTATTATCACATGACTCTTGGTTTTGAGTGAACAGATTAGATATATGCAACATGCTGAAATCTTAAGATCCGGCCACCCTGTGGGTTTTCTCTCTCTCTTTTTTTTCAAATTCTTCTCCCATCCACACCCTAACTGCCATTCCTTCATCTAAATAAGCAGGGACCTAGTTCATGTGATTAGCTTTGCTGAGCAATTTGTCTATGGAAAGCCATGCAGAATCCATGTGATTGCTGCAGGGCCAAGAATTCCACTTCTTTTCAGGCTTCTTTATAGGAAGGTCTGTAGCTCAGTGGTAGGGCATCTGCTTTGCACGCAGAAGGTCATGGGTTCAGTCCCTGGCATCCCTAGGTAGGATGGGGAGAGATTCCTGGACAGAAACCCTGGAGAGCCCTTGCCAGTCATTGTAGACCAGGGTTTCTCAAAGTAATCAGTACTGACCCCCTGAAGGTTGATGAGACTCTTCAGGGAATGTATAAAGACCCATGGGTCAAAAGGTGATCATGGAAGTTTCTGAGATACAGTACAAAAAAATTAATTAGGAATTACGAGCCTTGGAAATAAAGGCCGTGGGCATGTACAGAGTGCACTTCCCTTGCCAATGATTAAAGGTGAGTGATTGTTAATAAATATCAATTATATCTTGATCTATTTTCATCTTATTTCATTTACATTACAAAGAATTTGGGATGGGGTTGATGACGACTTTATAAGCTCATCAGTGAGTCAATGAACTCAGAGGTTTGGGAAATCTTGTTGTAGAGACAATACTGAGCTCAGCGGTCTGACTCAGTATAAAGCAACTTCCTATATGGAGAAATGCTTTTTCACTGCCACGTTAGACTGGTCAGAGACACACCCCTTTCTGACCCTGAGGTTTCCCCCCCCCCTTATGGCAATTCATAAGAATTCAGACTGAGCTTCAGTTAAAGGGTTTGGGTCTCCATTCTTTCCGCCATGTTACATCTGACAGATAACCCTCTTTCTACGTCTAGTGGGCACGAAGCTGAAATATTAAATACAGACATTCAAAGGCAGGACCTTTGGGTTATTTCCACAGTTTGCCTCTGTGGTGACAGAGAATAGCGCCCATCGGAACCTTTTCCTCTGTCTATCAAACCACCTCTCTTTTCCTAAGTCTTCCTGCAGTACAACTCAAACAAAATGGCTTCCTCAAAGAATTAAAATGGAGAAATGTGGCAGACCGTAAATTAGATTCCTAAGGCTTGGCACTGGTTGATTTGTCCTGAAAAGAAAAGCCTTGCTAGATCAGGCCATAAGCCCATTTATTCTAGCATCTTATACTCACAGTGGCCATCCAGATTCCTCCGAAAAGCCAGCAAACAGGACCCGGGTGCCACGACATTTACCCCACGTGCGATTCCCAGCAATTGTCCTGCCTACATATAAATTTCTCCCAGTCTAAATATTTAGCCATCATTCCCATAATGCTTCACTGGTATGTGGACTTAAATGCTTTGCTGAACCTGATTAAGATTTTGGAAAGATGTGTACACCACTCACCTGACTCTTCCTATACACATTTGCTACTTTATCCACCAGTCATCATCATAATACTGCTGATAACTAGCTGATTTAACCCAACTGACTGTTGTTGTGACATACAGACAAGTTGACTGTAGTTCAGTCCTAGGCAGGGAATCCTTTGAAATATTCCATTTAGCCATTCAGTTAAAGGTTCTCCTTTTTCTCTGTAGCTTTTATTTTTAAATTTGCGGGAATACCTGCGTATATTAATTTTCTTGCTGCTTGTCAAATGGTGGCTCAAGGGATTATTTGACTCATTTTTGCTGTGGATAGATTTGTAGTAAACCTACCTGGGCAGGCATCTCATTAAGCTCAATGGGACTTACATCTCAGCAGGACTTACCATAACAGCCCAAACCTTATCATGTCTGCTCAGAAGTGTGTCCCATTGAACTCAGTAGGGCTTTCTCTAGGGAAAGTGGACAGACGATTGCCACCTAAAGAGCCCGTTGCAATATAAACCAATAAGGAAACCCGTGTCTCTATTGCATTGGTAACAGTAGCACATACATCTGTGTAATGCCTTGGTCTCTGTTGGCAGAGAGGAGCAGACTGAGTGTCAACAAAGGTTAGTTATAATTGTCTGCATGTACTTTCTTATCTAGTCCCAGTCAGAAACCATTCCTTTCTCCCCAACCCTTATTTGATGTGATTTTTCAGCATTGCAAATGTTTAACTGTTCCACAAATGTAAGGATTCAGTTATTATAAAATCTTTTAGCCTGTGTAAGAAAAAATCCAACTAGCAAACAAATATCTGAAATAAATAAATTATGGTGGAGGGAGGCAAAACAACAACATTTTTTGAGTGCCGTCCACTTCCCTAACTAGCTAAAAGCTCAGTGATGGTGTTAGGTTGCAGTCCCTGCCTTTTAAACCCTTCTCTAGTTAGTCTGAGATGTGAATCACTAAACAGAATGACAATATCTTTGGATGTCAATATCCTTCAACTCATGGCTGCATTTACTTTCATTGTTCTTATATTATTATATTTGTCTTATTAATGTCTTATTAGCTCCGCTAGTAGAGCATGAGACTCTTCGTCTCAGGGTTGGGGGTTTGAGTCCCAAGTTGGGCAAAAGATTTGTGCGTTGCCAGGGGTTGGACTAGATGACCCTACAATTCTATGATTATTTGATATCTTTAACACATTTAGGCCACAATTCTAAATTTACTTATTAGTGGCCTGGATGAGGCTCGCTGAATGTAATGAAACTTATTTCAGAGTACAAAAAACAACAACAAGAGTTTAGGATGGATCTGTACTGTGGATACTGGTATTTTTATGGGTCTGCTAATGCATTCCCTACAGCGAAGAGAGCTGGATGCTACCTTATGCTTGCGTTTTGTACTAAAAAGTGCTTATGAAAGCTCATCGTTTAAGGCAGAGGTCTGGATAATATTCAGCTCCCTTTTAGCCTTGGGTCCCTTGGTATTTGCCCTGCATGCATAGTTCTGGTTTTAGGAGTGTATTCACAGCATGTCTCAGTGGCTTCCACGAGGACAACCCATGGGCCAAATCAACATGGCTGCCTTGTGAAGAAAAAAAAGGGGGGAAACACCACCAATGTACGCCTTTACTTGTTTAGCCTTGTTTGCTTTTGCTAACAGAGACTTCCTTGTGTCTCTCGCCACTAACATGGCTCTACACGCTTTCCTCATTTTTTAAATACTCTGCTGCCGCCAACGCTTCAAAATCAGCAGAAATATTTTAAAATAAATACTACACCAAAATACACTTACACTTTTTTTAAAAAAAGAACTTTCCTAAGAAGGAAAACTGAAATGCAACTTTACTTTGCAGTTCTGACGTGGGAGCATTTGAGCCTTTAGAAGGAAGTTCGTCTTCCTGGGCTCTGTTGCGTGGAAAGGCAGTATACCACTACTCATCTATTATTGTCATTATTATTTTGATTCTACACACACATATATAAATCAGAGAGGTCACACCATTTACCAAATACTATAGTTCTGTGACTTCCGCTCCTTTCATTGTGGCTTGGGTAGGTTTGTGTTTTTTTCGCATAAGTGGCCAGTTTCAAATAATAGGGGCTGCACAGTGGCACCATGTGTGGTGGATCGCTCCCAGAAAGATTCCATTGTTGCTGTTCCACTTGAGTTGGGAAGGGTGAGAGATAGCAAGCAGACTATAAGAGTTCCAAACCTCTGGTTTGCCACTAGAGGGTCTTATCTCTCTCCCCCCGACGCTGCTTTGGTATGTCACAGCAGCGGTGCTACTATTACATTTTAAAGAAGGGGGTGGATAAAATGTATTTGCTGGATATTACTGGACTCCATTTTCTATTAACGCTGACCATTGGTCATGTTGGCTGGAGCTGGTGGAAGTTGGAATTCAACAATGAATGGAGGACTACAGCTTCGCCACCCCTTGTTTTAGAGGAATGAGAAAGGTGGTGGAAGGAAGGAAAGATGGGGGCAGGGGAGAGGAATGGTGGAATTGTGTATAAGTAAGTCCCATGTTGCACAGGTTGGTCCTAGGTCCAGAAGAGTGGATGTGTGGCATTCTAGAGCCATTGCTTCAGGCTGTTTTCACTCATGACATGAGGTTTAAAATGTGAGTGGAAAACGTGCACTTGGCCAGAATGACAATGCCGCTCCTCTGCGTTATATTCTGCATTGGGAACAAACAAACAGGCAAGAGAGATGTAAAGGTATTTAAACTGCAGATATGAAGAAACTTACAGCACCTCGTTTGGGAATTGGGATCAAATGGTGACTGGCCTTGGTGCCCCCAAAAGCTGATGCATTAAAGTCAAATGATGAATCACTTTGGCAAAATATAAATACCACTTGCTCCTCTTATTTTGACCTGTGGTGTGGTTGTGCTCTGCTTGTGCTGTTAGTAGTTTCCACATCCTTTCCTTTCTGTGACTACATTCTGTAGTAAAAACAGGAGTTCCAAACAAATTTTTATATTATTTTAAAGATTTATTAGGCTCCACAGTAGCCTTTCTTTCCCCCTTCAAGGAATGCAAAACTATTGCCTGAATTTCCAGATTTCTGTTGTTTTAAGGGACACCCAATAACATTACAGTCCCGCAAAACATAGCAAATACTGTTGCACTCATGTCCTGCTTGCGGACTTCCAGTGGGCATATTTTTGGCCACTGTGAGAACTGGATGCAGGATTAGATGGGCCTTTAGTTTGAGCCAGCATGGCGCTTCTTACGTTTTAACAACAACTAGGCTGTTTACACACTGTATCTTGCATAAATCGTAATGCACGTCCTTTGTTTCCAACCCCATGGTTCCAAAACTTTCCTTATTCCCGAAGTGTTGATCTGTCAATCCAGTCCTGCGACACATGCTCCTCAGATACAAAATGATTATAGAATGACATTGATCCCTTTATCACGACTGCCAAAGATGAATGCTAGTGTCCGGAAGATAGGAATCATACTTCCTCTCCATTTTAAAGTATCTTCCATGAAAGATGTTTCCCTGGGTGAAAGCCAGGGAGCTGTAGTTTGCTTCAAATGTGCCCATGCTTCTCTTCCTCTATCCTCTACATGTGCGCGCACACATGCGCCCGCACCAAAGTCAGTCACTGCACTAGGGGAACTGCTGTCTATAGAGATAGACATCAAGGGGCAGGGCATTATTCATTGTGGTAATATCTGCACATCAACACGACCTGGGAGTTCATTGGGGGAAAACCTGCAATTAGTACTACCAAATACACTTAGAATTGTAAAGGTAGGCAGCACTTTAAATTTGCAATGTGCTTTAGGTCATCTTTCCCACAATAAGCCTATAAGTTACTGTATTTTTTGCTCTATAAGACTCACTTTTTCCCTCCTAAAAAGTAAGGGGAAATGTGTGTGCGTCTTATGGAGCGAATGCAGGTTGTGCAGCTATCCCAGAAGCCAGAACAGCAAGAGGGATTGCTGCTTTCACTGCGTAGCGATCCCTCTTGCTGTTCTGGCTTCTGAGATTCAGAATATTTTTTTTCTTGTTTTCCTCCTCCAAAAACTAGGTGCGTCTTGTGGTCTGGTGCGTCTTTTAGAGCGAAAAATACGGTATGTCTTGTTTTATGGTAGGGTAGCCATGTGTCCTGCCTTACATACCTCTGTTCGGAAAGAAAGCCCTCTATTTGAAGAGTTGTTGTTGTTGTTGTTGTTGTATTTGTATACCACCCTTCATCTGAGGATCGCAGGGCAGTTTACAATTTGAAAACACCGGAAATACTTAATGTAGAAAAAAACAAATCTGCCCCATGTCTGGTTTAAATATATGTAACTATAGAAAGGGAGATCGGGAGCTCAGAAGCCACTAATCAAAATTAGCCACCCCTGGTCAGTAAAAAGCAGGCACACCAGTCACTTGGTGTCTTCCCCACTATAGTGTGATGTACAGTGGTACCTCGGGTTACAGACGCTTCAGGTTACAGACTCCGCTAACCCAGAAATAGTACCTCGGGTTAAGAACTTTGCTTCAGGATGAGAACATAAATCACGCGGTGGTGGCGGAAGGCCCCATTAGCTAAGGTGGTACCTCAGGTTAAGAACAGTTTCAGGTTAAGAACGGACATCCAGAACCAATTAAGTTCTTAACCCGAGGTACCACTGTATTGTAGTTCTTCTTAAATTATAGGAATTATTTCTAGAGCCATGTCTATACATATGAATTTCGTTATATGCATGTTATGCGAAGTGATATTTTTTTTTGTCCATGCAAATCCTCTTTTTTGGCAGTCCATAACTGGCCACCCTATTTTACTGATGAGGAGCTGGGAGTGACTTATCCAATACCCCCTCCCTCGCTGCATAAACGCACCAGGTCTGTAGCTGAGTTGAGCTTTAACTAAATAGATCTCTCAGCTACTGGGCCCTGCTGGTTCTTAAAAGCAAAGGCCAGTTACTTCATCCACGATTAATTTCCTTCACAGATGTATATTTTACTTAGGAAATCACATGCACATTCCTCAAGAGTCCATTTTCTTAAGTGAGGAACGCACATGTAGCAATGCAGACGTGTTACATTCATTACAACTGATAGTGCACATGTGGGTTACATGTAATTCGCTTCAGAAAAAGTATGTGCAGCCTGTGTCTCTATTTTGCATGGCAGTGTACATATATTTGGAATCTGTGCCTTCTTCTCTTTGCTCATGATTTTGCAGAGAACCTGTTTGTCTTTTGAAATGTTGCTGTCAGGCAGTGTAGTAATTGGGGTCGCTGTACACTGACGGAATCAACAGTTGCACAGGCATCGGCAGGCTTGTGAGCGTGGCAGAATAAATCTGAGTGAAGCACACACAACTGCTATCCATCCCGTGGGCAAGTCATGATAAAACCACACCTCTGGGAGACATAAACAGGCCTTTGAGTGGTTTGCTGATTACTCTCCCACTGGTTTGTTGTGTGCCTTCCCCATATGCTTACCGTGTGCCTTGCGTTTTAATCGTATTCAACTGAATCCTACTCGAAGTAGAATCAATGGAATTAGTGAACCTACATTAGTGGTGTCCATTACTTTTGATGGGTCTACTCTGAGTAGGACGAGCTTTGAATACCTCCCATCACAATTATTGTTGACAATGTGAAGGGCAATTACAAGGGAAACAGACTCTGTGGCAACATCCGTGATGCTAACGGCTTCATTTTCATGCTGTAATTAATCTTAATTCCCAGTTATTTATCTCCTTTGTTAAGAATAGCTGTTTTACAGACTAAAAAGCATGATGTCTTCTCATGATGCTCCATTTTACTGCTGGCTCTTCTGGTGGTAACTGAGGCTGAAATCCTAACCCTGTTTACCTGGGAGTAAGCCACATTGAATTCAGTGGAACTTACTTCTGAGTAGACATGGTATGGGTTGCTGCCTAAATCATCAGACCACTCTTCACATGCTACAGCTTGACTTAAGCTCAAGGTCACCAGAACTCAGCCCTGTAACAAAATTTTAGAGCTGCCCAACCTTGGAATATATGGAATTATAAATGTGTATGTCTTGATGTGTTTTTAATTCTTGTAATCGCTTGTAAGCTGCTGTGGAAAAAAATATATTTTGAAATGAGGGATAACAACAACAACCAACAGAAGCAGCAATGTGAGATGTTAAGGTCCTACGGCACAGCTTTCAGGGTCAGCTTCAGTTGTAACTTCTAGAAATGAACCCCTAGATGCAGCAAGGAGAAAAAGGAATTAGAGACCTCCACCCTAGTTACGGTGCTTCCAGATTATCACTATTTTAGGGCGGGATTCAATCACATACAAGCAAATTCAAGTTGTGCGGTTATCACTGACTCAGACTTGGGGAGGTCTTTCACAACAAATCCACTCCCCACCCCCTGCAAAATCTGACTTCTTTGCGAAAAGGAAAATGCTGAGTAAATAGAATCATAGCATGCACTGGGAAGTGTGCTATAATACTTGCTTTGACACGGTGTCAGCTAACCTCCTTGTAAACAAATCAAAATGAATGCTCAATAAACAGGCTGTTTGGAAGCACCCTTAAATAAAGAAGCTACAAGGGGTGTGTGTGTGTGTGTGTGCGAATGCATACGTGTTTCTTTCCACTTGTCGGCTTGCCACCTAATGATCCAGTTTCCCAGCTGAATGTTTCATCTGTCTCTATTATAAAGTATTATTATTATTTTTTTAGTTGTAATCCTTCTCAGAAAATGTGGAAATTTAGGCTGCTGGGGTTAATCTGTGATAGACGATTCAAACGTGCAGGTTATCACTGGATATTTCAGCTAACAATAATGCTTCATTGGGAGCTTAAATGCAGCGGAAATTAAACTGTTGCCCCCCCCCCTGCCATTTTGCCAACTTTGGTGAGGCTAATTATATAGAGCTGATTTCTTTTCTTTTTCTTTTTCTAAGAAAAGCATCAACCTAGAGTAATTTTGAAATTAAATCTAGCTGGTTAGTTGACGCTTTTCAACATCTTCCTGTAAATAACAAGTGTCGGTATCCTGTGCCTCAGACTGAATGCCAGGAAATTGCTGGGCCCAGGATAGCTGCCAAATTCACTTGGCCTTCCCTAGGGTGGGGTGTGTGTATAACCTGTGGACCACAACTACCATCATCTGGCCATGCTGGCTGGCGCTGATGGAAGCTGGAGTCCAATGAAATCTGATAGTTCCCTACCCTGCCATAAGAAAACCCGAATCCTTCTAACTTAGTCAAATCCTAGAATGATACTCTTTAAGGATGATTCCGGGTGGGTATCTATTGTGGGGCAGGTTATCGTTAGGCATACATTTTTTGCAGCACTTTCACAACTTCATAGGCATCAAGAGGTCTCTGTGGCGCAATGGGTCAGTGTGTCTGGCTGTTGGCCAGAAGGTTGGTGGTTCAAGCCCACTCAGGGGTGACTAGGGGGAGAATTCCTGCATTGCAAGGAGGTTGAACTCGAAGACCCTCAGAGTTCCTTCCAACTCTACAGTTTTATGATTCTATCCCATATTTCCCACTTTGATCTGGATTTACCTTTCCGTAAGAACTCACAAAGTTAAGGCAACTTATTTGCAATATCTGAGTACAATATTAAGTCTGAATCTGGAAGCACTCTTAAGTCTGAAAGGATGATCCTAGGCGTGACTATGCAGAAGTCAGTCCCACTTAGTCGAGTTGAACGTAAAGAGAAGTTGAAGAGGTAGACCGAAGACAGTCAAAACAGTGATATGGAGGGAGAAACGGGGACCATTGCCAATACTCAATGGTGCCAGACCTATGGGAACTGAAGTTGTGGCTTTCATACACGCACACATGCATGCAGGGTATCTACAGACATTCTCCCAAAAAGCCTGTAAACAGGAGCCTCGCCCTTTTGGAAGCAAGACAAAACAATTATCAGTATCTGGCATAATGCAGCAGGAGATCAAACTTGTTTCACTGCTTGAAAAATGCAACGCCAAGATACTGGTGTCCGCAGCAGCACCCTCTACTGGACAAGAAGTCAAATAACAAACAATTGGTCACAGGAACCAGCCGCAGAGGAGTAGCTGTTATTGCTACAAAGGAGGAAAAGAGGGAGGGAGGAGAGTGTTGAGGCACATTAAACACAAATTAATTTCTTGCTACATGAATTTATGAAACAAGTGAGATGAACCAAGGCGCATTAGAAATGCTCCCTGAAGCGCCTTCGTTTCAGTTGAACGTGCCCAAGCATTTCAGGAAGCAATCTGGTCACAAAGAGAAGTTAACTTTCGAGGCATATATATACACACGAAACATATATCTGTATTATAGCAGTTTAAAGGTTTCCCCAGACAGTCCTTGGGAGATGTAGTTTAGTGAAGGTTCTGATAATTATGTTAGAAATCCATAGGCATGGACAAGTCTATCCCGTTTCTCGGTTTCTCAGTATTAAGTTCAATTCTCCACATTTTCATATCAGTTTTCTTTTAATTAAAGAAGCTCTTGTGAAAATTCGCTTCATGTTTGTGCCATTTTTTCTCTAATATACCCAATTTTGCAAAACAATTCCCCCCTAATATAATGCATTTTTGTACGTTGTTTTCACAAACATATGCAATCGCATGCACGCTTTATCCTAGTATGCACACTTATGCACAGATTGCTTGGATGCAGAACTGCATTGCAAAATTCGGAGAAGTGAGAATTCAGAAGGGTGGTTGTGTTTCGGTTTGTGTGCTGTTTCAGAAAGTGCGAATAAGGCAGATTCACCTTGAAGTACAAACTGAATCGAACTTCTTCCGCAAACCCCTCTCCCATCGCTAGAGATTCCTATGCTCCTCACAGGACTATGGTTCACAGGAAGAGGGGGGTTACTTGTTAACCCATTCTACGCCTGTAAATAATAGGCCCTCAGATTGAGCCTTTCCATACAATAACTCAAAGTGTGCCCTGGCCATGTTTCACCTGTTCTGCAGTACTTGCACAAGTGATGCAACCAGCAGCAGTGCCTCAGTATCCCATCTCTGCATCCCAGTTGTAAACATAACAAGTGTGTTGTGGAAGTGGAATATTTTTTACTGTTTATTGCATCCTCTCTCTCTCTCTCTCTCTCTCTCTCTCTCTCTCTCTCTCTGAATGCCACAATGCACATGCTTCTCTTCATGATTTGGGAGAACACAGCTTTCAAACCCAAAACCTAAAATGAAGCATTAAAAAAACCAAAACCCAGACAAACCCCGAAATGGATCTGGCAACCAATAGAATGTGAGGGAGAGAGGGAGGAGCTGTTTTCTGCCAGGAATGACATCACAGACGGCTGGGCCCAACAGGTGCCTATGACCCTCATGCAATAACCATCCATGTGCTACATTGACAAGGGCTATAAATAGTGCCGAGTGTCGTGACACTTGTGACATCGCAAGAACAAAAGCACAGCCTGAGCTTCATGCCCACAGACTGTGCTCCACAAATGGCAGATAATTGTAGATATCTTCCACATTCAGTTCACCTTGCAATTATGGGAACTACTTTCGCACATAGTTCAGAGCTTTTTGAATGAATTTCGCTAAGCTAAAATAAAGTTTTAAAAGGTGTGACTGGCAAGAAGCCACCAACAGCATACAAACTGATACGGCTAACTTGACCCAACAACCCTCCCCCCCCCATAGAAAGAAAACTCACAGCAGTCGGCTGAAGGCAACTAACCATACCCTGAGTCCCCAACCACTCTCAACGCCAATGAAAACTAATTATTGAATAGAAAGGGAACCTACACATGTGTACCTGACACAGAAATATCACACATACACTATGTAAAAGAATGAAAGTTTACTACCCCCTTTTTCTCTCCCCAGTTTTCTCTCCCTACCTCTTTTCTTCCCCAACCTTCTACTGTATGCAGCATCAAAGTCTCATATCGAATATAAATGATCTGAAAAAAGGACTTTATGATCAGAAAACAGAAACGATGTATGTACTTTTGTAACCCAAGAAAGTCTTAATAAAAATATTTTTTTTTTAAAAAAAGATGTGCATGGCTTTGAATAAAATTGATGCTTCCTAAATTCCCAGAATCGGCCTGCATGCCAGGCCTTAGACTGTGAACATGTGAAAAAATATTAAAGGTGCCTTTGAATAAGTATATTTCCCTTAAGTGATAGCTTCCCCTTTAAGGCAGAATACATCCCTTAGGACTTGCATGTTTATTGTGGCATATGCTTTTATATGTTAGGGTGCCCCTTCGTGATCCTCAGCATGTTGGTGTACAAATCTCTCTCTCTCTCTCTCTCTCTCTCTCTCTCTCTGTGTGTGTGTGTGTGTGTGTAAGTGTATGCAAGTGTGCATATGTCTGTAAGTGTGTGTATATACATGTGTGTTGTTTTTTCTCTGGGCACTGGGAAAAAGGAGCCCTTTCTCAGCACTCAAAGAGAGAAAACAGCAAGCTGGCCATGTAGGGAACTTCCTGCATTTTGTTTTCCTCTCTGCGAATGAGCATGAAGTGACAGGAGGGGTCTGGGAGGTCTGATCCAGCCTTATAGTTCCCCACCTCTGATGTAGAGAGCAAAAACTGTCAACAGTGGCATCAAATGGTTAAAATTTATAGCCCGCTGCTCTGCTTATTTTGCATATGCGTTAATTGAATTGTCACAAATGCATTTAAAAACTTAAATGTACGTATTCAAAATAAGCACAGTTAATTACTCACACCTATAATGAGACAGGAAACCACTGTCTCCATTCAAGTCTGAGTGGATAGCAACTAACGTTTTTATAAGTTAGCAGATTCATGCTCAAGTCTCTTTAAAGTTCCTTTGGTCTCTCTCTTCTGCATTCGGTGCATGGCAAAATAGGATGTAAAAGTCTTTGGGGTATGTAAATATGGAGGATCCTCTCTCGGAGCAGCATGAAATGAATCCATTGGCTGCCATAGATTTGGGGTTTTTTATTCCATGCCTGCATGCTAGAGGCAAGAGGCCTATCAAATATAACAGATGAGTTGATGGGATCTCAGCATGTGGGTAACAGCTGAATCTTTCTCGGCACCCACCGCTCTGAGCAAATTGTCCCTTGGAGCAGTGCTTGCAACATCTGCATTGGGTCTGTACACACACATGCATAGATACAACTGATCTCTTCCCCCACTCTATTCCCTGCCTTAATTCTCCTCATTGCTCTCTATGGGACCAATGACTGAGCCCTTCTTATAGCACTGACTCAGCTGTAGCAGACACCGATGAGTAAAGAGGCTTGGCAAAATATATCAGCTGCATCCTTTGCAGTCACCCACTAATAGAGCCACTACACTATAGACATACTGTATTTTTCCATGTATAAGACTAGGTTTTTTCCCCTAAAAAATAATGTCCAAAATTTGGGGGCATCTTATACACAGATAGAATAGATCTCCCCCCATTTTCTTAAATCAGAGTCCCCCAAAATAGGGGGTGTCTTATACATGGGGGCATCTTATAGATGGAAAAATACTATACTTTGGCACAGATGGCCAAGGTGGTGCCCTCCATATGCATACCCTCCCACTGCCCCCACAATGCCAGGATCATCACGAAAACCCTTAAGCCATTACAGCATCTCACTTCCTCACACAGTCCCAAATTCCCAAGGGCCCTTCCCTTCAGTACAGCATTTCAATGTGTTACTAGAAGTTCAGTTCTGTGCATCCTTCTAACACATTTATTAGATGCGCTCAATATGGCGTCACTTCCTGTTTTTATGAAAACAAGTCACCTGAATGCCCCCAAGAAAGTTTTTCACCATTTCCCTGCCCCTCAGTCGGTCGGACTCTCATAAAGAAAGTGGAGAGTGGGGGAGCGAAGGGGGGTGGGGCCTTCTGCAAGGCCATTGCCATGGCTGCAAGGGGTGTTGTGGGAGCTGAAGAGCAGCCATTATGGTCACTTGGCTCCAGCTTGGTTCGTTCGGCCACTGTGTCTGAGTCCATGCCCTAGCCTCTGAGGAGAAGGAGGCACGGGGGATAGCAATGATGACATTGATGTAGACTATGTCCCTATTTTCACCTGAGGAATGTTGGAGGGTATGCCGTATGTTGTCAGGCCCCAGCTCCCATCAACTCCAGCCAGTAGCAGTTAGGGAGGATATGAGTTGTAGCATGGTGGTGATGTGGGGGGGGGGGGGAGTAGGTAAAGGATCCCTGAACGGTTAAGTCCAGTCAAAATCAACTCTGGGGTTGTGGCGCTCATCTCGCTTTCAGGCTGAGGGAGCCGGCGTTTGTCCACAGACAGCTTTCCAGGTCATGTGGCCAGCATGACTAAACCGCTTCTGGTGCAATGGAAACTCCGTGACAGAAGCCAGAGCGCATGGAAACATCCTTTACCTTCCCGCCGGTGCGGTACCTATTTATCTACTTGCACTGGTGTGCTTTTGAACTGCTAGGTTGGCAGGAGCAGGGACTGAGCAATGGGAGCTCACCCCCGTTGCAGGGAATCGAACCACCGACCTTCTGATTGGCAAGTCCAAGAGGCTCAGTGATTTAGACTAGTTGCATGTGCTACGACTACAAACGTAGAAGCCACGGCAATGGATCCCCTCCGTGATCACAAAACTGGAGTGTAGATGCCACTCTGGCTGCATCAAAAAGTATTCTGCCTATGGGGAGGAAGGAGGAGAAGGTCCAGTTAAAGCTGCCTTAATACCAATTGCATTTACATGCCAATCTTTCTTTCTTTCTTTCCTGGGTGCCTGCAAAAATTCCATTGCACGAAAGGTCATGAAGTAGGGGGGACGCCAAGGCAGGAAACGAGTGAAATCCAAATCCCGCAAATCTCCTGGCCTCTCTGCCTGCTCATACCGGTTTCCCTTTGCTAAAGCTGATTTGAAGTTCTGATCCCCAGGAAGAACAAAGGGAAGCCAGGTGACATAGCAGGAGAAGACAAGGGCAGGGTTGGGCCACGGGGTGGGGTGGGAGGAACGGAAAGAGGACTTGGTTGCACAATGCAGTCAGGGAATCTCAAGAGCAAGGCTGCTATCAAGCACTGCAGTTCAAATCTGGAGTTCACTGTTTCTGTGGCTTGTTTCCTCCTGACAAACATGTATCTGTAATACTGCACATGATACATTTTTCACAGTAAAAGGAAATGACATCCTAAACTCAGAAGAAGCAATATGGTTAGGCACACGTGGGTGCCATAACGGAAAAATCCATCCCTGTGCATGCATTGGGGGTTGTAGCTCAGGGTAGAACATCATGCAGAAGATCCCAGTTTCCATTCCCAGTATCCCTAGGTAAGGCTGGGTAAAGCCTTCTAGCTGAAACCCCAGAGAGCAGCTGTCTGTCAGTGTAGGCAGTACTGAACTAGATAGCCCAATACTCTGACTGACTATAAGGCAACGTCCTATGTCCACTAGCATAAGCAAGGGCTGGAAGCTCTGGAAAGCTTGCAGAAACCCAGTTCCCCACCGGCTTGTACTCAGACCCCCCAAGTGTCCCTATTTTCCAGGGACGTCCCTGATTTAGAGAAGCCGTCCAGGTTTCTGATTTGATGCCAAAATGTCCCACTTTTCCTTAGGATGTCCCTATTTTCACTGGAGAAATGTTGGAGGGTATGGAATTATCTGACCCCCAAGCCGTCTGAAGAAAATCCTGTATAGGGAAGGTTTTTTTTAATGTTTATTGTTTTATCATGATTTTATATAGGTTGGAAGCTTCCCAGAGTGGCTGGGGCAACCTAGTAAGATGTGTGGGGTAATTATCATTATGAAATGGGACATCCCTATTTTCATTGGAGAAATGTTGGAGTGTATGTTGTACTTAGTACCTCCCAGGTTTAAAAAAGGCTGGATCCTTTGCTGGAATGAGTTTTTGCTTCCTCCAGTGTCAGAAAAAACCTAATTATGCCATCCTAAATTGTTCCAAGCACGATTATTCAACGAGTCTAAGCCCAGCTCCTCATTGTCTCCAAAAAGCGGGAGACCCAAGAATTAAAACTATCTGGAAACCTGTTTGGCGACTTTGGGCAGATCCAAATCATACATTTAAAGCACATCCAGTGTACATTTAAAACTTATGACTTCCCTGAAAGAATCCTGGGAACTGTAGGTTTCCTACTCACAGAGCTACAATTTGCAGAGCCCTTAACGAACTACAGTTCCCCAGATTCTTTGGGGGAAGTCATGTGCTTTCACTGTGTGTTGGGTGTGCTTTAAATATAAAGGTGCCAGGCAAAAACATCCCTCTTCCCTCAGGCCTTTGGCTAATTAAACGATCTATAACCTTTTAAACTGTTTGGGGGAAGTATTGTTTTGTTTGTTGCTATGTTATGTATTCATGTATTTTTACATTGAAAGCTGCCCTGTGATCCTCAGAGGAAGGATGGTATAGAAATTTAATTTAAAATAAATAAATAAAGTAAATAAATATGGTGTGGATCCACCTAAAGCACCCAGAAAAGGTTTCAAAATGGCTTTGATTCCAAAGTCTGCTGCTTCTTGGAAACCATCAGGAATTGAGTCTTGGACTCATTGAATAACTGTGCTAGGAGCAGCAATTCAGGATGAGAGAATTAGGGTCCTTGGGGACATTTGTGTGTGATAAATAGGGGCGGGAAGGAGACACAGGAAAGCTGGTGCTGAACTCAGGGTGACTCAATCGTTTTAATCTCCTGGATTAAAGCCATGGTTGGAATGCAGTTATGTGGCGGAGACCCTCTCAGCCTGGTGTGAAGTTAGGTCAGCTCCACTAGAGGTACCACTGAAGGACATCCTGCCCGAGAGAGAAAAGGAGAAGCTCAATCCAGGGCTGGCCCAGGCCTTTTGCTCGCTGAAGTGAAGTGCAAAATGGTGTCCCTACCTTTGTGTACAGAAGCGGACTGGACTGGCAGTTGGGTCATAATTCAACCTTGGTGAACGAGGCAGCACCCTCTATGGCTTCATTGGATAGCAGAGGCATTTCAGGCAGGCAGGCAGGGCAGGTTCCCCCAACACCTTGCTGCCACTCCTCACCCATCAGCATCTGCTGCCTGAGGCAGCGTCCTCAGTCTGCCCAATGGCCTTAACAGTTTTTAATACTGTATTTTTAAATTGTTGTAACTAGCCCCGAGATAAGATGGTGAAGGGCGGGTGAGAAATGTTGTTGTTGTTGTTGTTAGGGCCTGACTAAATCAGTCTTAAGTCTGCCACTACTTTTGCTATGGGCTGCTTTGTGTTCATTATTCCTGCCATTAGCTCTTTCCCCCTTTTTATTTCTTTGTCCTGAGTTTATTTACTTTCTAGCAATAGACTCTGCAGAAAGTTTGGTTCTGCATTTGCATAGGCCCTTAGAAGCTTCTTCAGTTTATACTTTCTCCAGAAGTTAATTCAAATTTTCAACTAGAGATCTTGCATATAAATGAAAAAAATTGCATGTGAGATATTACAGCTAGGTCTGTCTTGACTGGAAATGTCACCCAAGAAGCTTTCACACCCTGGAGCTTTTCTGTTTCCTATAGAACACAGAACGGCATTTGGGTTGGTGGGGAATGACAGTCAATCTGTGTTGCAAGATAGAATGACTATGGAACCATATTCAGAACAGAAGACAACTCCGAAACTGGAATTCTGGAATCTACAAAAGTTGTGTAAATTATGTTTGAGCAAATTAGATGGGCTAAATAAGCATATTTGGGAACAAAGATAAGAAACGTGGTCCACTCCATGCTGTTTCTTATGAGGGAAACTGACAACAAGCATGTACACGACACCTTGATTAAAATCTGGTAAGAGTTGCCAGGGTCCAGGAAAAAAATTACTCTAGGGTCACCATTTAGCCATCCCTGATGTAGTATGAAAAAAGGTTGTGGTCAAAGCTTGATAGCACCTGCAAAAGAGGTATAGGATTTTGTCTAGTCCATGACTAATATGATGAAGAGGAGTGAGATTCTGTTTTAACTGGAGAAAACTCAAAGTGCTACAGGAGTGACCGTACCGTTCTATAGTGTCTTTCATCCTGTGTTTTCAAGGCTCTGTGCTGTGTATTTAATTAGTCACCCCAAAACAGCATCTTATAAAGCAGCACCTGTTAAAGAGAGTGGAAAATGAGATCAGAGCACAAGCACCCTAGAATTTTGTGGGTTTTTTTAATGCAACAATATCTGGGATAATTAAATGGGACAGTCCCAATTGCACAGCTTTCAAAACTACACAGAAAAAAATAAAGAGAATTAACACATTTTGCCTGTGTTAGTAAATCTAAATAAAACTGTGCTTAAGGTCAACAACTTTGCTGGTGTGATTGAATTGCAATCTACTACTAATAAATGGATCAGATGGCTCATTGGTTGAGACTAGAAATGTATCAAAAATGGGGAGCCGATCACATATGCAGGTTGTTCATAAAGTGGCCCGAAGAGCCTTACCCTGCCACTTCAAAACCTCTGAAAGGGAGTGTATGGTTGACAGGGGTCACAATGGAGCAATCCACTTTCAGAACATATTTGCCCCTCTTTCCTCCAATTCTATGGCAATGCTATGGCTTCTGGTGGGTTTGTGGTTCCGCTTTTAACAAACTCGTTCCGCGTGTCCTCCCCCAACACCCCCTTCCTCTGCTTTCTTTAAGATTGTTGAATGAAAGCGACAAGCGTCCCTTCATTGAGGAGGCGGAGCGGCTGCGAATGCAACACAAGAAGGACCACCCTGATTACAAGTACCAGCCGCGCCGGCGGAAAAATGGCAAGGCCGCCCAGGGTGAAAATGACAGCCAGGCCGAGGGAGAAGCTGGTGGAGCAGCTGCAATACAGGCACATTACAAGAACGCCCATTTGGACCACAGGCACCCTGGGGAAGGCTCTCCCCTGTCTGACGGGCACCCTGAACACCCCTCAGGTTAGTCCCATAATACAGTTTAATCCACAGACATAGCCTGAAGATCAGCAGCTGGGAATATCAGGGGTAGGCAACATGGTGTTATTTTTTTTTTACTCCCACTCCCATTTCCCCCAACCAGCATGGCCGATGGTCAGGGATGATGGGAGTTGTAGTCTCACCTTCATCTGAGGGGCATCACTTGGCTACCCCTTGTCTAACTGTAGAGTACCATCGTGAAAACAAATGGTTGGTTTTGTTCCTATTTTTCTGACCTGGCATAGGCACAAGTGAGTTTGGCAACTTTTTATTTTTTAAAAAACAAACCCTCATGGTTCATCATTGCCAAAGTCTAAGGGCTATATTTAACCCAGCTGTCATTTTGTATTTCATTAGCTGCTGCCCAATTTATTTTTGCCTCGTCTCTGAGGAACGATGCCAGCACAGCTTTCCTACATCTAGTGCAGAGGTTCTCAACCTGTGGGTCCACAGATGTTGTTGGACTACTACTCCCATCATCCCTGAGCTCTGGACCCACAGGTTGAGAAAGGCTGATCTAGTGCCTTCCAGATGCTTTGGGCTCTGGCTCCCATTGACACCAGCCAGCACGGCCAATGATTAAAGGTGATGGGAGCTGCAACTCAACAACATTTGTAGGGCTTCAAGCTAGGGAGCTGCTCTAGCAGGTCTGTGCAGCGAAGGGAGACAGGTCAGCTGCTCTCTTCTTCTGCTGTGAAGTTGTTCTCTCTACTTTATCCGCGTCGAGGTGGTAACTGACATCTTCTCTCGGCTTCCTCATATCACAGGTCAGAGCCATGGACCTCCCACACCGCCGACCACTCCAAAGACAGAACTGCAGTCCGGTAAGGCTGACTCCAAGAGGGAGGGGCGTTCCCTTGGGGAAGGAGGAAAGCCACACATCGACTTTGGCAATGTGGATATTGGGGAGATCAGCCACGAAGTGATGTCCAACATGGAGCCCTTCGACGTCAACGAGTTTGACCAGTACCTGCCGCCGAATGGACATGCTGCTCACCCAGGTCATGTCGGAGGCTATGCCACAGCTGCTGGTTATGGCCTTGGGAGTGCCCTGGCTGCAGCCAGTGGACACTCGGCCTGGATCTCCAAGCAGCATGGAGTCTCCTTGTCTGCTGCCACATCATCGGTGGTAGACTCCAAGGCACAAGTGAAAACAGAGGGCTCTGCTCCGGGGGCCCATTACACTGAGCAGCCCTCCACTTCACAGATAGCATACACCTCTCTCAGTTTGCCCCACTATGGCTCAGCTTTCCCCTCTATATCCAGGCCTCAGTTTGACTACCCTGACCACCAGCCCTCAGGACCCTACTACGGCCACTCCAGTCAGGCTTCCGGCCTCTACTCGGCCTTCTCCTATATGGGGCCCTCCCAACGGCCCCTATACACTGCCATCTCTGACCCGGCACCTTCAGTGCCACAGTCTCATAGCCCCACACACTGGGAGCAGCCTGTATATACGACCCTCTCGAGACCCTAGGGAACGGGGAGCAGTGACCAAAGCAGCAGCGGAAAGGCTCCGGAGAATCAGCCCCAGAAGACGAGCCTCCGGGTCCCGAGGTCATTCGGTGTAATCCAGTCGCCAGAACCCACAGAATATCCGGGCGTGTCTATCTTGACCGCAGTTATCGATCGCTCACCTGGCTGGAGGAAGGTTCCCAGCCACCCCCCACAATCCCAGTCCTTGATTGGCTTCCGAGGTCCCGTAGGCCTTCTAGATGAGGACGATTCTAGGCACGGAGCAACTAGTCATGGCGGGTTTTTTTGTTTTTGTTCAGAAGATCAAGGGTTTAAAACAAAATAAAATTGAGAGATAATCCCTTCCCTTCTCTCCCCCTCCCTGAAGTTGTCCAGACCCATCATCCTGATGGTTTAGAAAGAAACACAATGGACGCAATTCTGCCACTTGCTGTGGGTGAAGGCTAGGTGGGCACCCTGGTGGGGTAATGTTACAGGTGGAGAAGTAGAATGGTGCAGCCGTCCGATATGGACCATGCTCTAGGACATTCCTGCTTCAGAGTCGCACGTGCATGAAATGTTGCTCCCCATTGGAAGACCAACCTATGCTTGCTTTTCCTGTTGATATTTGGCACCTGCGCCCACTTTACCTTATCCATTCCATCGCCTCTCTGCTGCCTGGCTCTCTTAAGACTTAACTACACAGTACTTTGGACTCAGGAACTGCATTATATGCTCTGGCCGCCTTTGCATCGCAGCATGTAAGCATGTGCATACATGCTGGTCCCTTGGACCGTAAAAAAAGCAAATGGGACTGAATCCAACTTTGTTGTTATGAACATTTTGTATTCCTAGTTTGTTTCCAACACTTTGTGGCTCCCTTCTAAACTCCCCCAGCTACCTTTCTAACATGCCAGAAGATACCCTACCAAAGCCAATACTTTTCCTTCCGGCTTACAAGAGTGATTGTGTGTCTATATGCGTGTGTGCACATGTGTGTGCAGAGTGGGTGAGGGAAAGCAGAAAGATATCAGTGCCTGGAACGGTCAGTGTGGTTCTCCTATTTTCAGACCAAATGTGCAGGGAGAACTTCTAAATGAACACAATGCTAGAACAGACATATCCTCATTCCCCCATGAGAGACAGCTCAAGGCGTTTTGGTGCCCGAGGCAGAGCATGCACATGGCTTGCCAAAAACATTATAAACTAAATCACCAATCATTTGCTCCTGCTTTCCAAAATCTGTTGTGTGCCAGAGGCTGCCTCACCCTGCCTCCTGGCAGGACCAATCCCTGTCACATGTTCAAAATTGTTAACAGCTAAGTTCTGTCTTTGCCACAACAAGGAGGACCTTGCTGGTGTAAGTGATGTGGAATGGGCATTTAAAGAAGTAGGGCTGTGCAGAATTCAGATGAACCCATGTTCACTTTTGAGTTTTTCAAATGGAGGCAGCCTCCTCAGCTAAATCAAACTTTGCCTTTATTTTCCTCTTCTCCGTGGGCTGATACATGCCCATTCCACAGCTTCAAAAAAGAATGAGCATGTCACTTTGATGGCTGCCGTGACTTAAGACGGTACCCAAAACACACCCTGGAGAGGCCAGACACTGTGCAGTTGCATGAGGATAGACCCACAACTGGCCACCATGTACATTGTGGTACTCGCTGTTGTTCCTAACCCCTTTGGATTGAGACGACTGAGGCTAACCTCCCCAAAAGTTATGAGCTTTATATATGCTTGACTCCATTTTTCTGCTATGGATGATTATCTCTTCTCCATGGTGTTTGAAAAGAACATGTAGTATGCCTGTAATCCTTGTATGCATGCAATCTATTAACTGCTCTACACCCTTATTTATGGAAGTAGCACATCCTCCCCTGTTCCCAGCACCACAACCCTCTAGCACCATTAACTTTGCATCAAATGTATGGAATAATAAACTTAAGAGGTTTCAGCTATGCGTGTCAATTTCTGTTTCTTCTTTTCTCTATCTCAATCTCAATCCTCACCCCCAGCGCCCAAAAGGGGTGGAAGGAAACTATTTCTACCTACACACACCCTTCTGGCTCACACATTTTTTTCTTCTTATTTATATGTTAAATCTGAATCTCGCCTTTCCTCCAAGTACAGTCGTACCTTGGTTTTCGAACAGCTTAGTTCTTGAACGGAAGTGCTTGTTCTAGTTTGCGAACTATTTTTGGAAGCCAAACGTCCGACGAGGCTTCAGTGGCTTCCGATTGGCTTCAAGAGCTTCCTGCAGCCAATCAGAAGCCGTGCTTTGGTTTCTGAATGTTTTGGAAGTCGAACGGACTTCCGGAATGGATTCCGTTTGACTTCCAAGGTACGACTGTAGTGCTCAAGGCGGCTAATAGCAGTAGTACATATGCAATATGAAAATGGTGTTTCATATTTCTTCCCTAAACATGGTTGAAAGGGCACAAATGGTAACTAAGAACTGTCTTTGCTGGGTGACCTAAGTTCCACCCAGTTAGTTTTCAGGGATAATCCCAAATGAGATCCACGCCCTGGTCTGCATCTAATCTTTTGGCAGAAGCACCCATTCCCACCTTCTGTGGGAATGTAGTGACAGGGGACTTGACTAAGCAAACGCTGAGGTCCCTCTCAGCTAGGCATGGGCAAAACTATTCATTTCAGTTTCTCATTTTTCCTGACTTAAGTTCAGTTCTTCACATTTCCACATCAAGCCCCCAAACTGTTCGTTTTAAAGTCCTCACCAGTATTTTAGTGTGAATTTGTCCCTGAATAAGCATGTTTTTGTATACAGCTTTACCTAATACACACTTTTTTGCAAAGCAATGTCCTCTAAGTTAAAGCATTTCTGTATGTTGCTTCCATGAATATATGCATTTTTGTGCACATGGCATTGCAAAATTCAGATAAATGCAAATTTCAAAGGCAGGCTGTGTTTCAGTTTGACTATATCTTTGGGAAGTACAAATTAGGTAGGCTCATCTTTAACTGTGATCTAAGCAGAATATCTCCCCCATCCATACCTGCAACTGATTCAATGCATTTGTAAGTTACACATTGCATTAAGCATGACTTCGTTTTGTAAGCCTCCTTCTAATCTATTCCACTGGGTAGCATCATATTCTAGTAGTACTGAAACACATACAGAGAGAGAGAACTCAGAGTACCTGGCCTTACCATGCATAGCTCAGTTAAAGCCAAAGGTTAAGTAAAAGAGGATGTTCTGCCTCCTCCATCCCATCGCTGCTTGCACACCTCCAGCAGATTGCTTATGGCAGCAACAACCCATCCTTTGCTCCACACCACTGGCATTTCCACTCCAAACCATGATTCCTTTGTTTCAAGCCTCTGCACTACCCTTGAAGGCAACTGATACCCTCTGATCTCGGAGCTGTCATACTGCACAGTAGTCAGGAGGAGAAAGAAACACCATTTACAGAAGCTTCCCCCAGCTTTTCCACTCCATCAGATAAAATGGTTCCACAGCCAGCCTTTCAAGATGACGAACAGACGACACATCCTTTCTTCACTCTGAAATATCTTTTTGCAAGGCCAAGGGTAGCAAAAGGTAAGAAGGGGGGGATACGCAGCCAGAGGTCACTTCAAAGAGTTAGGAAATGCCACGTTTTTGCATGACAGAGCAGACACTTTGCCCGTTTTCTGCGCGTGGGCACAGGCAAAAATGCAGTAGGCGAGTGGATTATGCATTTGGCCTGACATTATCCCGACTGGCTTTAATGGGAATCTTTGGCTCCACGCCTACAGAGGGTCTTTCCAGTTCAAATGCTTTAAATGCCCAGCCAAATTAAGCAATTTGGACCATGCCTCCATCATGGTGCCAGAAGTTGCCTAATCAAGTGAGGGGAGGTACTCTGCCTCAGTTAAGTGCCCACGTAGCCACCATTGCACCCATGGATTAAAGTGAAGAGGAGAAAGAGGATTATGAAGGGATAGGTCAGCAAGCGGAAACATGAAGAACTGCTCTTAATGTATGCATTACCCGATCTCTCTTTGTAAAAACAAGCCCAGGGCAGAGTTCCTTCACCATTTAAAAAAAATGCAACACGTGTAATAAACCACTAAGAAAATAATATTATTCACAAACTTAAAACACCCAGTAAAATCTAATACAGTGGTACCTCGGGTTACGTACGCTTCCGGTTACATACGCTTCAGGTTACAGACTTCGCTAACTCAGAAATATTACCTCGGGTTAAGAACTTTGCTTCAGGATGAGAACAGAAATCGTGCTCCGGCGGCGCGGCAGCAGCAGAAGGCCCCATTAGCTAAAGTGGTGCTTCAGGTTAAGAACAGTTTCAGGTTAAGAACGGACCTCCGGAACGAATTAAGTACTTAACCCGAGGTGCCACTGTAATCAAATACGGCTCAAGTGCTAATGCACAGCAAACACCTGGGCAAATGTGGCCTCTGGCTGGCACTGGAATCTAATCAGAGTCTGTACCAGACATGGCTACACATTCAGATGCCTTCAGATGGCAAATGAGACAGAAATTAGGATACTGCTTAATTCTAGAGGGCACTTGATCCTTCATAACAGATTTATTGTGGCATAAACTGTGGTGAGCTAGAGCCCACTTCATCCGATGCATCCCAAGCTTATGCCAACATAAATATTAGTCTTTTAAGATCCCAAAGACTGTTTTTGCAGCAACACACTATCACGGCTACCCCTCTAGAAGTTGCTCCCTGGATATGCAGGCAAAAGCAACAGCAGAGCAAATTGCCTTGTGGTTAAGTGCACATGAAGACGTGCCCTTGGAAAATCCAAGGCAGAGAAAATATTTTAAATAGAGCGATGGAGAAAAGCCATTTTTAAAAGTTAAGAAAGATAGCTAAGAATAAAGTGCAGGCTCAAATCCTGCCTTTGCAGAAGCACAGCTGGGATTTGGATTAGGGGAACGTGCAAAAAAGTGATGCACATGAGACCAAACACCCAGCCTAATTCAAGTGGTCCCCAGACTTCCCTATGAAGAAGACTGCTTAAGAGAGCGGTGGCAGGCTCTCTTGGTCACTGACTGGCAGGAGTTAGTGCCAACGACTCCACTTCTGTCTTCCCAGCAAAAGCAGGATCCAGCACCCACCAGCTTCCACACTGGACACAAAGGGGCTGCACGTTCCCTTTCGCAGTCTGGTGGGAGCTGGCCTAGAGTCCCTCGCTATCCCTTTAATTGTATCTGATATAGATGCAAGGCTTGGGCTGGGGGAAGGGGGGAGCATTAAAACAAAGAAGCTTTTTTTAAAAAAGAGGACCAAGAAAACTACTCCCGCGCTCCATTGCAGATGCCAAAATGATCGCACAAAGGCACATTTCATTACTGAAATTTCATCACGCCAACGTGATTAAACGCCAGGGGGAGCGGGGAGGACAAGGAGGCCTGTAAGCTTTAACTCCACAGATTAACCTTTTCCTGGCCAGGTTGCTGCAAGCACACAGCACATTCCTTGTGGCTTCAGTGCCCTGCTCCTGCTGACAGCTGCTTATCATATCCCTTTAAAGCGGTCATTTCTCAAAACTGCCTCTTAAACCGCTCCCTTGATTAAATCGCCGTTCGCATCTCTGCATTCCATTTTCACATGGGAAGACATTATCGATGGGTTGCCTGAAGCAACACACAACACAGGATGAAGGCTGTTGGTATTTGAGGGATGGGGCTGGAGTGGGGGGATACAGCCATATCAAATCTGCCTTGTCAGATGTAGCTCAGGATTTCATGGCACCCACGGCAACTGTTGGTCATTGGCAAGGCACATATACCCTACACTGGTCACATGGATGAGGAGTAACAGGAAGCTGCTTTAGACCGAAATCAAGGCTACCGATCCATTTAGCTCAATACCTTCCCCACTGGCTGGCATTGGCTCTGCAAGGTTTCAGGCAGGAGTATTTTCCATAGCCCTTCCTGCAGATACCTGGGACAGAGCCAGGGATGTTTTGCATGCAAAGTGTCATGGACTGGCTAGATGCAGAAGAGTGGCAGGAACCAAGGAAAGAAGGTTCAGAGCTAGGGGATCAGTGGTGGGATGACGACGACGATGGGACAGTCTGGGAGGAGGAGGAAGAAGCTGAAGGGGCAACAGGGTTTAGTGAGCAGGAAGAGGCTGGGGCAGAGAGCAGTCCTTATTCAGAGGAGGTAGAGGAGGGGGAATAGGAGACAGAGAGGAGGCTGGCTGCTGAAGAATCCAGGAAGTCTCCCCATCCTGATGCGACCAGCTCCCCTCGCCACTGGTCTGCCAGAACACACAGAGAAATGAAAAGAGCAGGGTAGAGATTGCATGCAGACACAATTCCAATTGCTTGGGGGAAACCCTGGAGAGGAGGGGACTTAGGCAAGACCTACATGGGGGCAAGACCTACCGAGCTGACTAGGTCTACACTGTTTTGCTTTATTTGAATTGCTGACCTCCACTGGGCTCCAACTCCTGACACAAAGCACGTGCTCTACTGCTGGGTTTTAAGGCAACATTTCCGTTTTGCAGCTGTCATGCACAGACTGAAACCTGGTCAGGGCACAGGTCATGAAAGTCCTTCACTTACACAGCGTTGGTAGATCAATCAGGGGTGCCAACGTGGAAAAAATATTGGGGGAGGGGGGCAGGTGAACCCTGCCCCACAATAATCAATCACATGATGCGGTGCAATCACACCATTTGAATGGCAATGCCTATCAATTTTGGGAGTGGGGCCTGGCTCCCTCAAATATTTTATGAGGAGGGGCTGAAGACCCCTCAGCCCCTAGGAGTTGTCTCCTATGAGATCAATTCAGATATGTCTTCCTCTTAGGACTGATGAATCGAATTGGTTTCTAAACATTCTGGAGATGTTGCCAGCTGCTCCCACTAGTGTTTTGGTTTGTAGCCAAGTTGATTATTGAAATCAAAAAGTATTTTGCCATGATCTCTCATGTTGCTAACAAGAAGGATTTCTACTTGGAGTAGTTCTTGGCAATGAAATTGCAAGGAAGTAGCAACTTGAGTACAAGTGATGGTAGATTTGTGCAGAATTTAACTAAAGTTTACACTTAGACTCTAGATCTGGAGTAGCCACCTTGGTGCTTTCCTAATATTGTTGGACTCCAATTATTTCTGGCTAATAGTTATGCTGGCTGGGACTGATGCAAGTTGTATCCGCATCTGGAGGGGACATTGGCTACCACAGATCTAGATTATTAGAATTCAGCAGACAGAGTGTAACAGTGCTACTTGACCTCAGTGACTTTCACCATTATAGATCAGAGGTAGGAAACCTGTGGCTCTTTAGATGCTGTTGGGCTACAACTACCATCTGCCCAGACAGCATGACCAATAACCAGGGATGGTGGGATTAACCTCTTAAGTCCTACAGATTCTTCACTCCTGATTCATGCAGTCTGGAAGTGCTCCTTGACTGTGTATGGCTGATTAATTCTCAGGTGGAGAAAGTGTCCAGTAATGTTTTCCATCACCTTTTGTTGGCAAACCATCTAAGACATTCTTTTAGCCCAGAATTTTGCTCCTATCGTCTCTGCGATGGCAAGGTCTGGTTTAAACTGTTGTAACGTGCTGCCCTGGACTGTTTGAAAAGGTAATACAGAATGCGCTTTCCACCTACTGGTAGCTTTGTCTAGGACAGATCATATTATTCTGATGCTGATCTGTCTGCCCACTTCTTTTTCGGCCCCAATTCAAGGTGCTGCTGTTGACCTTTAAAACCACTTTACATGCTTAGGGAGTGCCTGCTGCCTCATGTACTTCCACTCACATTGAGATCAGCAAATCAAGCTCTGCTCTGTAACTCATGATGTATTTATTTTGATTTATTACATTTATATACCACCTTTCCTTTGATGATCACAGAGTGGCTTACATTTGGTGGAGTCTGTAAGAGCATAGTATAGTTAGGAGTGGTTCTCTCCCCCACCCCAAATTATTAAAAACTCACTTCTGGAATTCTTTGCCCAGGGAACTTCAGTTGTCCACCCACTTTGTAGCTTTGTCATCCGCTTAAGATGTTTTGTTTCTGACACTTTTACAGGTTACCACCAACTGCTTTTTAAAACTTGCAGTGCAGCAATTTAAAGGTGGTGCTGTTTTTAAAGGGTGGTTTTTAAAGGATGGTTGTTGCTTTAAAATCTGCTTTCAGTACCTAAAATCTGGAATTAGTGCTATATGCAGATCTTTAGATCTAAGATACACAGCAAAAACAATGAAGAGACACAATTAATTTGTCAGTCTTTAAGATGCCAAAAGACACTGTTATTTTTTCCAGAACAGACTAACACAGAAACCCATCCAGAAGCATCCAAATAGCTGCTCTTTTCTATTTTGTTTTTTTCCAAAAGTGAATATTTCCATTTGTTACCCACAGAGTGCCTCAAACAGATCCCTGCCTCAATAGTGGTTGATTCACTAAAATTTAAGAACCTCACTTCCTTACAATAGGAGGACCAGATGTACTTACATTAAGGCTATGATGGGATCTGTGGGAAAGAGGTGCACTGATACATACCGTAAATCATAGTTTATACCTAAAGATGTAAAACAGAGCCTCACTGGGTTGGGATTCATAGAGGCAACTGTGCTTTCTGCTGCAGAACTGCCACTGTAAGGGGATCCTGTTGATTGATAAGAAGCTGGGGCAGAAGAAGGGAACAATGGGAGATTTGATGAGAGTTGCTCTGTGATACTCCTGAGAAGCCCACAGAGCCAGCCCTGATCAGAGGGGAAATTGGGGGTTTCCAAGGCAACTTGTTCCCAGGCACAAAGGCATGTCTGTCTGCTGGCAGACAAGAGAAAGGTCTCCTCTACTACAGGCCCCTGGAAAAGGGTGTGGGTTGGGCAGGGGGGAGGGTGTCTCTCAATTGCCTTAGAGGGCACCTGGCGGCCTGGCAGCTGCACAATCACTTTAAAAAACACTTAAATATACAACATGGCAGTCAGAAACAAGTACATGAGAGTCTGTTCTTGTGGTCCTCAACTAGTTTGCTGATGTAGTATTTCAAAGCTCAAATCTAGCAATAGGCCAAGTAGCCTAGAAGCTCCAGAAAAACAGAAAGGAAAAAAGGATACTACGACCTCTTCACGGAATTAAGTTGTAAGAGGAACAAGTAAGCAACTAAACATTTATAGTGGGGTTTTAGTATTTATTTACACAAAAATAAAAACATCTGCAGTCAAAGTGAAGTCAGAGCACAGAAGGATAGCTGATCAGTCTGTGATAATTAGCTCATCCACACCCCAATCTTCATAGCTTCCATCTGGCAGATACCGGCGGATTATTATGGGAATCTTCCGGGCTCTGCAGGGAGGAAAGAAAAGTATATAGAAGAAGGCACTTTGGCCACATCATGGAGTTTCGCATCCAAGGGCACTTTGGTGGGGTAAGATCACACAAAATGTTTACAAAAACTTCTGACATTAAGTGATGAGTTCCCCCACAGCTCAGCAGGAAATGGTTTGATTTAGTAATACTGAATCCCAATCAATGGATCATCCCTGCCCCGCCCCCCCGAGGTGAAGAAACAATTGAATAAAGATCCTGCTGGGATGACAGAAATATCTGACACATGTTGACCTATCTATAACACATCTGTCTAGCAGAGTCTAAAGAGCTCACACACCTCATCAACCACTGAAACGGCCCCACCTTTGAGTGGAATACAATGGCTGTAAAAAAGCATTTGGAAAAGTGAACATTTCAGGACTGAAAGGAAAGAAACTCAAATCCAGATTAATCTAAGTACGACTTTTTAGGTCAACAATGTAATTAGCCAGCTTGGAATTTGTCCAGGACATCAGGCTTATAATCTTGCAGCACATGAACAGTAAAAAAAACCCCACATGAAAATCTTTAAAAATCACAAGAATTCATTACATAGCCGTGTCCAGAATGGCGTAACTGGTGCCCCTCATCATGACTCCTTCCACACAGCTCAAACATGCAGTAAAACAAGCTTACAACAAAACAAGCTTACATACTTTTAATGTTTGGACTATTCAAACTTGTTTCCACGAAGTTATACAGACACAGATGTACAGATGCTAAATTATATGGAAAACAAGAGCCAAATCTCTAGACTCTTATGGAGAAAGCCGAGCTATAAATGAAATATATAAAAGTCTAGCACAGATGCGAGGAAAGGTTGATTGATTTGTCATACTTTTTCTCATCACTTCTGTAATGTGTGAAGCTGAAGTTATGAATCTCACTTGCATTATAGCAGGAGCACAAGTCGCCAGCACTTCTTTCACAACTCCTACGTAATTTATGAAGTGGCACTATGGCTTTCAAGCTAATGAAGGTTCTACTGCGCTTTTAATAAGAAAATGAATTTTCCATTTAAACTCCATATCAATACCAGCCTTGTCTGTAATCTACGTGTGAATGAAATGACAGCAAATATTAAGAGATGGGATGAAGCCCTCTTCTTCACATTGCTTTATATCAACTTTCCTCTTTCAGGGCTGAGCATTCTACAACAAATCACGCACACATGGTTAAAATCTCCAACTTACTTGAGTTCTTTCATTGCAATCAGTAACGGGTCTGTCTCTCCTTCTAGCTCTACCATCACTGGGGCACACATGCTGGGAGGAGGGGAAACAATTCCAAAATCATTACAGCAATAGGGATATACTGTGTGGCAGTAGCAACTCTATTCTCAGTTCAGAGTGGGCAGTGAATTCCATCTTGCACCATATTTTTCATTTAACCTGTGTTTTTATCCTTCTACTGTTAGCTTTTTGACCTAGTTTCATGATTTCTGCTTGCTGCTATTTTAACTGAGGTCACTTAATACCACTTGCTTTATTTGTTTGAGATGTTTTGATTGTGTTTTTTAAATTTTCTATTGTAGTTTTTAAATTGAAAGCCACCTTAGGGGCCCTTTTGCGGGCAAAAAGGCAGAATAGAAATATTTGAAATAAATAAAGCAGACAGAGAGTATAATTGTCAGACACACACATTATTCTGACAGGCGCCAGCAAACATGTCTCAGCTGGCTTATCAAAGCAACTGCGCTATGTGGGACTCCTATTAACTTCAGGGAGAAAAGCAGTCCAGGGATCTTTTGTATCTACAAACTACATTTATTTTTGCCCTTTCAATGTTGTGGAAAAATACTGTTAGGCTCAGCTCAGGAGTACTGTATTGCATTACACTGATTCCATGTGCTTCCCTGAAGCCCTAAACAGAAGATATTGCCTAACACTGGACATCACTTCACTTTCAGTGACCAGTTAATCCTGAGCAGAGAAGGGCTGCTTTTCACTTCCAGATTTTACAGAATGCCAAGCAGGGAAAATCTCCATCTTCTGCAAGACATCAGGTATCTCAAGTAACAACAAACACAGGTGAAGCAAGGTACTTTCAGTACCTCACCCTAAAGCTTCCCTTTCTCTTTGCCCAGTAGACTGGAGTAGATGTAGTAATTTTGGTGCCTAGATAGATATCCCACCTCCTGCCCTTCATACCTTCCCTTGTGTGAACAGTGAAGTTATTATGTGCTAATATAAGTAGCATCAATGTACTAGAAAAAATTGTTTTACCAGGAAACTTAAGAGACTTGGACCACACATCATTTATTCAGAGCACACAAAATGTCTAGACCAGGCATCCCCAAACTCAGCCCTCCAGATGTTTTGGGACTACAACTCCCATTATCCCTAGCTAACAGGACCAGTGGTCAAGGATGATGGGAACTGTAGTCCCAAAACATCTGGACGGCCGAGTTTGGGGATGCCTGGTCTAGACAATACACCTTAAATTCAAGACAGTTTTTATTTTAACAATTATGGATGCAAATTAGCTTTCTAAAAATTCTGGTTTGCACATGAATAATATTGCTTGGAAATACTGGTCTTTTTATGAAATAACCTGTATATTATTATAACCAAAACATGCACTAAGCCAATGCTGCATTCACATCTAATATTACACCTGGATGAGAAGTTGAAGAAACATTCTCAGCAAAATAACTATGCATGCTACACTGATCTAGCTCCTACAGGCCTATATTCTGTATTCATGGCATATTAAGTTATGCAGCAACAGGTATTAACTCAGAGATACAGAATGGGAACCTCTTTAAGAAGAAGAAAACACTTTTCTCCTTGACTAAGCTTACTTATCAATGTAAAGAAGATTGTGCATCATATACATTCACTGAAAAATGAAATGTATTTACTAACTACAAGAACATAAAATATGAAGAGAAAAAATGAAATATTATGTACCATTTTGTTATATAATTAGTATGTAAGCTGATAAATTTGTTTTTCCCTTTCATTTCCACTATTTTAAGTATAAACATTTTTTTTAATTGAGTTGATGCTTAAATTATTTTAAGTTTTAACCTTTTCAGGTTTTTTGTTGTTTATAATGCATTTATTGTTTGCTTGTTTGTGGACCCATAATAAAAAAGACCACCACCACCCCTTATCTTAGATACTTTAAAGCACATCTCCATAACATCACTCTAGAAAAATGAGATACCTACATTTTATGACAATATAACGGACTGGAATTATATGAAAACCTAGAACCAGAGTAAAAGGTGAAATTTCACATGCTCATATGAAAAGCTTTCAGTGGATGGCAGATTATATGCAACCTGTTCTTTGTCACCCCTTATGCACAGCTTACTTCTTTTGGTGATCCACTGCATGTGTAGTTGACACACATGTGGCCCCTCAAGACCAGAGTTTTGTGTGGGTGTATTCTGCAACATGTCACTGTCACAATAACCGTGTGTTACTGGCCCATCCACACATCATTCCACTTCATTAGTTGTTCTGAAATGCTTCCCAAATGTTATTCTATTATTGCTTTCTGGAGGGGCACTGTTGCACAATGGGGCAAAAGAAGGGGGCAGAAAATTATAGAAAAAGCCTAAAACCTTCTGGGATTTGGCTAAAACACCTAACTTGCTTTATAGCACATGGGTATTATCCTTGGTTGGAACGCCAAATCTTCTGAGGGGGAGAGGATTGAGATAAGAACTAGGTGTAGATCTAAACAGAAGTAACTTTAAACATATGAAATAAGTTCTACCAATTCTCATTGACGAATATCCATATTCCTGGACCAAAATCATACTTACGCTATTTGGAGGGCACGTGTACCAAGAACTCTGGCACGCTCATATTTGGTCATATAAGGAGTGGTGATTCGCTTCTGGTTTGCCTGCTGGCGTTCTCCAGAGGGGAGGATTTCTACATTTTCCTGACCCTCCTGTAACACAAATATAAGGAATTATAACCATATTCACAGAGTTATATGTATATTAGTTGTTAAGCCACTTGAGATCAAATTCAAATCTACAGAGAAGATTTCAATAAAATATTTTAAAATAAAGGTCTGAAAGAGGAAAACCATTGGCTTCCGGGGGGCGGCGCGAACGGCAATGGCGGTCTTCTCCCGACGGGAGAAGAAGCTCCGCTGAAATCGGGTCGTCCGCTACGGCGAAGCGGAGACCCAACGAGAAAAACCCCAGGCAGCAAGAGCCTGGGGTCCTGAGGCTCGGCGGGCGCCAAGAGCAGCCCTCCAACTGCAGAAGGAGCCTCGTAAGGGGCTCCGGAGCGTGGAGGGGGGTTGCGGCGCTGTGAGCCGTTTCACAGTCAGCGGAGTGAAGCCGCGCTGCTGCTGCCGGTGAGCGCTGATCCCTTTTCCTGTTAAAATTCGGACCTGGAAGAAAACAACTTACTCGTGAGTAAAGACTGAATCACTTGGAATTACAAATTTTAAATGAGAAGGTTTAATTTGGCTTGAATTTGGCTGAAAGCGGAGAGACGTGGAAACAGGAAGTCCGTCTTCCGCTGCCATTGAACTTGGAAAAAAGCAACTAAGGCGGAGGAGTGGAGGCTGAAAGAAAGAGACTTTAAACTCTACACAGCCAAGCATCTATGGAACTTACAATTTAAAGTAAAACTAGTAAGTTAAAGATTTGGATCTTTTATTTGTACTTGACTTCCCCCTTTTATTGGATTACAAATTGGAAGGTGAAACCCAGAGTCAGGATTGCTTGAGCACTGTAAGAGCGAGCTGTCAGTGTTGATTTGGATACTGTATATTAGAAGTTGCAACAATCTGAGGGTATTGAGACCTTTTAAATTTGAAACATTCTTTTTGGAGACAAATAAGCACTGTCTGCAACAAAGTGATTACTTTTAAACTCTGCTTAATACTTATATTGGAAGGTTCTGGGACATTAAATCAGACTCTGAAAGACATCTTAAGCTCCCTCTAGAGGATTGGATTAAAACAGTGACTTTACAAATACATTTACTTTCGATTCCCTTGTTGTTTGCTTGCTCTGGGCCTTTCTATTCCTGTGGGAAAAACTCAGTGTGACCTTGACTGATAGATAACATTGGAATGAGTGGTACAAGAAGAAGAGGAAGAGTTAGACAAACAACTCTAACAACTCTAACCTCAGCCTCGCAGACACGTAGATCATCTGTGCCTACTTTGCCCTCAGAAGTACAACTTGAAGAAGCTGACTTGCCACAGGCAAAAGAGGGAGAGGGTGAAGCAGAGCAGTTACAATTGGAAGATATGGCCTCAGGATCATCTGTTTCTGTGCTAGAAAAATCTTTGAAAAATTGGAAGCTTTGGACAAGAAAGTAGATGCGCAATCAGCAAAGATTGATAAAAATACAGACTGTCTAAACAAATTAACTACACAGGTGGGACAGAATACACAAGCAATTGGACAGTTGACGGAGGCCTCAGTAGAAAACCGAAAATTGGCTGAGGATACCAGACAAAAATTGGAAAATTTAGAGCAAGAGGTAAGACCACTCACTAAACAAGTTGGGGAACATCAGACTTATCTTTCTATGATAGAACTGCGAAATCGTGAGAATAATTTGAGGATTAGATCATTACAAGAGGCAGAAGAAGGAAATCTAACTGAGTTTTTGACCAAAGAACTTTCCAAGTTCTGGAATTTGGAAGAAAAGGACTTTAAAATTGTGTCAGCTTTCAGACTTGGAAGATTTATAAAGAAGGAGAGGCCCAGGGATTGTTTGATTACATTGAGATCGAAGGAGGAAAGGGATAAGATTTTGGGTCTACATTACGAAAAGTCACTGGAGGTTTTGGATAGAAGAATTGAGATATATAAAGATATCCCAAGACAACTGTTGGACCTTAGAGCCGCCTACTCTGAACTTGCTAAACTACTAAGGAGCAACGCAATTCCATTCAGGTGGGAATTTCCCCAAGGATTATCTTTTACCTTTAGAGCGAGAAAGGTCAAAATTAGAACATTGGAAGAGAGAGATAAATTTCTGGCTACATACGGAGAGGACCTACATAAAGGAATTGAACTACCTTCCGGGCCTGGGGCAAAGCCAGCGTCAATACCTCCACCTGGGGAGCTTGAAGACCCAGAGAAGACACCACCCCGGGAGAAATAACCAGACAGATCCAGGATGTCTCTGCAACTGTTGAGCTGGAACATTAATGGTTGCAATATTCCGGAGAAAAGGAAGAAAATATTTCATATATTAAAAAAGAACAATTGGACATTATTTGTTTACAAGAAACACATGTGACGAGGCTCCACAGAAAAGTGTTAATAAATAAAAGATTGGGCCAGGAATTTATTTCGTCGGACAAAGTGAAGAAGAGAGGAGTGGTGATATATGCAAAAGAGAGCCTGTCACCTAAATTTCTATTTAAAGATGAACATGGAAGGATTTTGGCCATTGAGATACAATATCAAGGAGAGAAACTGTTGATATTAGGAATCTATGCGCCCAATGAAGGGAAATCGGAATTTTACAAGAAGTTGCAGGGGACAATGCTGGATCATCTGGATTACAACAACATCATAATGATGGGAGACATGAACGGGGTCGTGTCAACTAACATGGACAAGTCGCAAAGTCAAAATGTCACAAAAGATGGCAGACTACCTAAAACCTTTTTGAAATGACTGACAATATGGACTTGATTGACATTTGGAGAACAAAGAACCCACTAGGTAGAGAAGGAACATTCTTTTCTGAAGCCCAACTGACCTGGACAAGAATCGACCAAATATGGATCTCTAGAGGCCTGGCACCTAGGGTTAGAAAAGTGGAAATCTGCCCAAAGACCTGCTCTGACCACAACGCAGTAAAGATGGATATGACACTACTACCAACTGGATCCTTTAGATGGAAGATGAATGACAATTTGTTTAGAGATCAGGAAATTACCAAGAAGGCCCAAAAAGTTTTGAAAGACTATTTCGAGATAAACATGAACAATTCGGTGGAAAAAGAATCGTCTGGGACGCAAGCAAAGCTGTCATGAGGGGATTCCTGATACAACAGAATGTAGTAAAGAAAAAACACAAAATGAGAAAAAGACAAGATTTTGGATAAAATAAAAGAATTAGAGAAGAAATTAAGAGTGAATCCAAAGTCACAGCCAACTCTGAGAGAAATTAAACTGTATCAAACACAATATTCTAAATTGATAAATCAGGAAATTGAATGGAAGATTAAATTAATGAAACAAAAACGTTTGAGTCGGCGAATAAATGTGGAAAACTGCTATCTTGGCAGTTGAAGAGAAGACAAAGATTAAATACGGTTACAAATTTAGAGGTCGATGGAAGAAACATTCAGAATCCAGTGGACATTAGAAAGTGTTTCCAGAGATATTTTAAAAACTATATACCCAAGGGCCGCAAGACGAAGTCGAGATTAAACAATTTTTGCCAAAAATGGATTATCTAAACTGTCACAAGAAAATAGGACAACCCTGAACTCTAAAATAACACGACAGGAGATTGAACAAGCTATTCAGAACATGCAACTTGGCAAATCTCCAGGGCCAGACGGGCTGACCTCCAAGTATTATAAGACACTAAAAGACTATTTGATACAACCCTTGATGGAGGTTAGCAATGAAATTATGGAGGGGAAGAGGGCACCGGATTCGTGGAAGGAAGCGTTTATCACATTGATACCAAAGTCAGAAGCTGAAAAGACACAACTGAAGAACTACCGTCCCATCTCCCTTTTAAATGTGGATTACAAAATATTTGCAGATATTTTGGCAAGTAGATTTAAAAAGTTTTAAATGAAGTAATTCATAAGGACCAGGCCGGTTTTCTCCCAGGTAGACATCTGTTTGCTAACACAAGGAACATTATTGATATCTTGGAACTTCTCCAAACTGACATAAATACAAAAGCAGTTTTAATTTTTATAGATGCGGAGAAGGCCTTTGATAATATTTCTTGGAAATTTATGATGGGAAACTTAAAAGAGATGGGAGTGGGACGGGGTTTTGAGAATGGGATTGAGGCGATATATTCAGAACAGAAAGCTAAACTGATAGTTAATAATGTGGTTACAGAAGAGTTCAAAATTGAAAAAGGGACACGACAAGGCTGCCCTATCTCCCCTTTGTTATTTATTTCGGTTCTGGAAGTGCTATTGAACATGATTAGAGGGGACCAGTTGGTGGAAGGAATTCAGGTTGGTCAGAAACAATATAAACTAAAAGCTTTTGCAGATGACCTGGTTTTGACCTTGCAGAAGCCAGAGCCTAGTACGAAAAGAGTATTACAATTGATTAATGACTTTGGTCGGGTGGCGGGATTTAAATTAAATAAACAGAAAACCAAGGTTTTGGGAAAAAATTTGACTGAGACAGAGTCAGAACGGTTTCAGAATGAGACGGAACTTAATGTGGTTAAAAAGTAAAATACCTAGGGGTAAACATAACAGCAAAAAATCTAAGTCTATTTAAGGATAACTATGAAAAATGTTGGACAGAGATTAAGAGAGACTTAGACAGTTGGTCAAAATTGAAACTTTCTTTGTTAGGCCGAATTGCTGCGATTAAGATGAATGTATTGCCAAGAATGTTGTTTTTATTTCAAACACTTCAGGTTTTGGACAAAATGGAGTGCTTTCAGAAGTGGCAGAGAGACATCTCGAAGTTTGTCTGGCAGGGCAAAAAGCCCAGAATTAAGTTTAAGATATTAACTGATGCAAAACAAAGAGGGGGCTTTGCCCTGCCGGACTTAAAATTGTATTACGAAGCCGCAGCGTTCTGCTGGCTAAAAGATTGGCTACTTCTTGAAGACACTGATGTGTTAGATTTGGAAGGGTTTAACAATGTTTTTGGATGGCATGCATATTTATGGTATGACAAAGTTAAAGCAAATAAGGCCTTTAAGAACCATATTGTTAGAAAATCACTGTTTAATGTCTGGACAAAATATAAAGACTTGCTGGAAAATAAAACACCAAGGTGGCTTTCACCTTTGGAAGCTAAGGCCCGAAAAAGACCCAATATGGAGGCCAAATGGCCAAAATATTGGGAAATACTAGAAAAAGATGGAGACAATTGGAATTTGCAGAGTTTGGAGAAAATGAAAGACAAAGTGCGAGATTGGTTACATTATGCTCAGATTAAAGAAGTTTTTAAAAATGATAAGAAACTAGGGTTCCAGGTGGAGAAATCGAAATTAGAAACAGAATTGTTAGAACCAAAGACTAAGATACTTTCAAGGATGTATAACTTGCTGTTGGAATGGAATACACAAGATGAAATGGTTAAATCGGCTATGATAAGGTGGGCACAGGATATTGGGCATAATATTATGTTTGAGGACTGGGAAAGGCTGTGGAGTAATGGATTGAAATTTACTGCATGTAATGCTTTGAAAGAAAATGTAATGAAAATGATTTATAGATGGTATATGACCCCAGTCAAACTCGCAAAAATTTACCACCTGTCTGATAACAAGTGCTGGAAATGTAAAGAGTGTGAAGGAACGTTCTTTCACCTCTGGTGGACTTGCCCTAAAGTGAAGGCGTTCTGGGAAATGATTTATAATGAATTGAAAAAGGTATTTAAATATACTTTCACTAAGAAACCAGAGGCTTTCCTTTTGGGTATTGTCAGCCAAGGGGTGGCAAAGAAGGACCAGACATTTTTATGTATGCAACAACAGCAGCAAGGATACTACTCGCAAAACATTGGAAAACTCAAGATCTACCCACACTGGAAGAATGGCAGATGCAACTGATAGACTATATGCAACTGGCTGAAATGACTGGCAGAATCCGTGACCTGGGAGAAGAGAGAATCGAGGAGGATTGGAAGAAATTTAAGAACTATCTACAAAAGCATTGTGATTTGACTGAATGCTGAATAAGATGCTAGACTAAATAACTGAGCACCACTTAACTTAGAAGTTTTTAAGAAAGTAAGAAAAACTGTGAAAGTTTAACTCTTTATGAGAACTTTAAGATTATGAAATATCGAAGAGATATAAGAACTTAAATAAGATGATAAATTGCTGACAAAATGTTATAATGATGAAGGTGGGAGCGGGAGATGCGAGGAAGTCCAAAGAAAATGTGAAACTATGTTAAGACGAATGTTATATTGTTTATTACATTTTTTCCTATTGTAAAATTCAATAAATTGCTTTAAAAAAAAAAAAAATGAAAGAGGAAAACCATTAGAGAGAAGTATTTATTTGATTAACACAGAAGACTAAGTTTTACCATTTCCAAAAAAAAGAAAGGCTATGAGATATGTTCACCTTAATAGATTAGAACTTGTTCCCTAATCTTTTTCTATTGTTCTCATCACATGAGTTTTGGAGGAGTTGTTGACGTTAGACATAGGAACCGTGCAGGTACAGGTTACAGACACAGATACAAGAACTGCAGGTAAATGTTGGGATGTTTACATAGGCTATAGGACATCATATACTGAAGTCACTTACCTCCTCAGCATTTTCCAGATCATCCAGTCCTTCATCTTCCTCCACATCATCAAAATCATCTCCATCAAAACTGAGGAAGAAATGTATCAAAGGCTTATATAAAATTTCAGAGCTCAAATCTTACTACATCACTGTCTTCAAATACTCTCTTGCTTGTTTTCATAATAGCCACTAAATACTCAAATAACTTTTTGTGGAATTGGCTAGTTACTGTATCTTGCTTAAACTTTACTAACAGCAAGATTCCCTTTGCAAAATCATCAACAAAATATGTTCAACTCATCTCCTTTGCCAAGGCTTCCAAGATTGGAGAACTGAAACCTGCCATCACAGCTCTCGTACATCTTCCAAGAATCTCCAAATCCCAGCATGAATCTTTTGCATATCGCAGAAGACTTGGGGAAAGGTTGGTGGCAACATGCAGTAGTGGCTAGTCAAAGTTTGTGGGCCACTAGTCCTGCTTCAAGGCCTAATGTGACTCACTGGATTCCTTCCAACTTTAAGACACTTTGGACCAGTTCAAAATACTATACATAATATGAGGTGAGAAACTTATGAGCATGGCTGCCATGACATGAGATACATAGCATGTACCTCTATGTAAACAATGCACCTTATTCTCACAATCCTTTCCATTGCATTGAGTGGAAGGTTTGGAAGCTAATAGTCAAATTAATTTATGAGAGTTTGAACTGACTGCTTGGCTTATGTTTCAGCTTGGCAACTAGTTTAAAGAGCGACCACAGACAAATCACAGCCTTTCAGTTTTTTTCACCTTAATACAGTATAAGAAAAAGGGAAAGAAAAAAACCCAACCACCACCTACCAAAATCTGGATTCAAGCACAAGACTGCTCTCCCCTCCATGGACATAGCCAAAGGGGGCAGGGGGGGCAGCTTAATTCGTTCCGGAGGTCCATTCTTAACCTGAAACTGTTCTTAACCTGAAGCACCACTTTAGCTAATGGGGCCTCCTGCTGCTGCCATGCCGCCAGAGCACGATTTCTGTTCTCATCCTGAAGCAAAGTTCTTAACCCGAGGTACTATTTCTGGGTTAGCGGAATCTGTAACCTGAAGCGTATGTAACCTGAAGCGTATGTAACCCGAGGTACCGCTATACGTAACTAATTGACCAATCACATCATTTCTGCCCTCTCCCCTAACAAAAGTCCTCCCCCCCCAAAAATCCCATGCTCCCCTCCTGTAGTTCTACAAACTGGTATTGAAAGAGATTACTGGTGCCAACTGTGGCAGCAGGGCATAGCCATTGTGGCCAATAGTCACTGGCAATATTTGGTCGATCCTCTTCTAAAATCATCGAACTTTTGTGGCCATCACCACCACAAAACTGTTGGTCAGCCATGAAGCTCACTGGTTGAGTTTTGGCCAGTCCCTCTCTCTCCATCTAACCCACCTCACAGGGTTGTTGTGTGGATAGAATGTGGATAGGAATAACCAGGTAGGCTTCCCTGAGTTCCCTGGAGGGAGGACGTAATAAGAATAATGTCAATAATGGCGTTTAATATTTGGGAATCCAGCGGCACAGCACAAAATAAGCGCCCTGCGTAAATACCACCGCTGCTGCCTACAGAAACCCCAGCGACCCACCCCCATCCCTTTCCCCTCACGAGGGTCCCTTACTTATCCTCGTTGTCAGACATGCTGAGGCTTTTCCGGGTTCGGCGCGACCTCTCGCGATACCAGAGGCTCCGACGAGAAGCGAGGCCCCCAGCACGAGGGAGCCAAGAAACGCCAAACGGCACCCCGGCCGCCGCGCACAAGCCTCGCAAACGTTCTACCGGCAACGATTTTGCTAGGCGCAAGTCCTTCCGGGTCGCAGCTGACGTCACCGGAAGTGGACGCCGGAGGCGGTTGCTATGGCGACGGGAGCCGCCAGCTCGGGCAAGAGGAGGAGGAGGACGTGAGGGATTCGTCTTACCCTTACAAATGAAGGGAACAATTAAGATCCTATGAGGGAACTTTTTTCTTTTAAAGGTAAAAGGGTGGAATTGGGGCGTCCACGGTATATGTAAGGCGGAAGAAGACTGTCCCTCCGTTGTTTGCGAGGCAACAAGCCGCTCCGTGGCATCACGTGCGATGCCAAAATGCCCCCTAGAACCAGTCGGGAATAAGAAATGCGCGCGGATTGTTGTAGCAACATGCACGAGGGGCTGTGTGTTCCCTTATGGGATTGCTGCTTTGTTTGTATTTTATTGTTTATGAAACGTGTTCTTATCTTGTATTTTTATACAGGGAACTGCCCTGCCCTGAGATCTACGGATGAAGGGCGGTATACAAATTTAATAAAATAAAATAATAAAGATATCATTTTTGTCTTTAAATTGGTCTTGTGAGAAATTCTGGCTGAGTGCCTCCCCCCCCCCCGCCCCAAAGCACCACAACTGTAGTTTAGCCATCACTGAGCTGCAGTTCCAGCACCATTAACAAACTACAGTTCCCAGTATTTTTTGCGGGGGGGGGGGGTAGGCATGTCGGCTTTAAATATATGGTGTGTATACAGCCTCAGCATGAGAAACTCATATGTTGCAATAATACCTGAAATATTTGGCTTCCTAGAATCATAGAGCTGGGGAGACCAAAGAATCCGCTAGTTCAGCCCTCCATCACATGACAGATGACCATCCTGCTTAAAAACCTCCAATGAAAGAGAGTTCACCGCTTTCTGAGGGAGTTCATTCCACTGTTGAACAGCTCTTACTGTCATAATGTTCTTCCTGATGTTTAGTCGGAATCAGCGTTCGAAACTCCCATTGTTCTAGGCGCTTTGTATTCTTATTAAAAAGTGTGTCTAGACACTCCATTGTGGTGCCCCTAACCTAGGTTTAAGGTGCCATTTAGCTCCTAGCTTTCATATCTCAGTTTGTAACACTGGTCAGAATATCTGTTCTTGTAACTTGAATCTATTGGCTTGAGTCCTACCCTCCAGAGCAGGAGAAAACAAGTTTTCTCAATCTGTGTGACAACCCTTTAGATCTTACTTGGTACTAAGCCCCACTGAAGTCTGAAGGGCTGATTTCTGAGTTTTTATGTGTTTTTATTCATAAGAGAGGCATATAATAAATTAATCAATATTTAAAATAGCATCTCAAACACAGTTCTAAAAAAAAACCCAGAACTGTAACAGCATCAGCTGCTTTTTGTAATTTGCCTCCTGTCCACCCAAACCAAAAGCCATTTGAAAGAGCCAAAGATTTGCAGCTTTTCAGGTCTGATATCATTATTCAGGATGAGAGCAAATGCTGTAAAAAATCTGCTTCTACCAACTGAGGTTCCCATCCCCTTCAATGATGGAATGCAAAGGGTTTTCAAGGTTAAAACCAGCACCATGAATATCTGCTGGAAGCACATTAGCAACCAGTACCCAGTAAATATGCATAGGACTGGACTGCATATAAGGCAATCAAATCCTGAATTCATTTAAACCATTACCTGTAACTTCTCAAAGTATAATTTTCACTCCCCATCTTTTTTTCAGTAGTACCTGACAGCACAGTGAAAGGGTAAAATTTGTTGATGTTGACCAACGTTTATTTGAAAAACTACATTTGGTGTTGGAATATGTCTTAGAGCTGTAGTTCTAACCAATGCAGAAAATGCATTTCCCTACCTTTCTTTTAAAGGTGCTGCAATGGCTGCCCGAGAAAGGACCACACCTGCTGTGGCAAAAGGCTCTGGATTCTGGCATGTTCCCATTGTAACTGAATATAGCCAGGAAACACAGAAACTGTTGAAAGGTAATTAAGGCTGTTAAGCAGATATTAGAACAAGACTGAGCTTTCGTAGACCTTGCCCAGCAACTCTGTACCCTGCTTCATGCACCAGATCATTTGGCCATGCTGCCCTGTATAATCTTCTGTGTGAATGCATTCCCACGCACATAGGTCCTTGAGATTGTAGATCCACATTCACTATCACAGTCTGCAGTCCATCTAGCACTCATCGCCCCTCTTTTGCGGCCTGTCTACACCTCGGGCAACAGCAAGTGCAGATACAGCAAAGTCTCTGCAGTTACATGAACACTGAAAGGTGCTTTCTACCAGGTCAGATCATTGAGTCATCTCAATCAGTATTGTCTGCAAAGATTGTATGCCGGGTGAGAATCTGGGGCTCTCCAGATGTTACTGAACTCCCACCATTCCTGTTTATTGTCACTGCTGGTTGGGCCTGATGGGAATTGGAGCCCAACTGCATCTAGAGGGCCACAGATGCCCCACCACTGCTCTATGCTGACTGGCAACTGCTCTGCAGGGTTTCAGGCAGGAGTCTTACCCAGACTGCTTGGACAAACAAGGGGCTGACATCATGCATACTACCACCATGCTACAGGTTTTCTTTGAGCCAATAATAATAATAATAATAATAATAATAATAATAATTTATTATTTATACCCTGCCCATCTGACTGGGTTTCCCCAGCCACTCTGGGTGGCTTCCAACAAAGATTAAAAATACAATCCACATGGCATGAGTTTTATTGTATAAGTGCAAGAAAATGGACTTGCATTTCAGAGTTATCTAATTTGTGGGCTTCTCACACTTCTGATTTAGCCCTCTTTATCCAAGTCTACACTTAAGAGCACAAGCCAAAGAATATATATTACGTCATAATACAAATAATTTTTAATGGTGTTGAAAGTGCAAATCGGGATTATAAAGTAAAGGCCTAGTTTCAGAACCAATTTCATAAATGATGACTACAGAAACAAACCTACATCAAGTCCTTTCTTTGCCTAGCATGTGCCAGGAAGGATTTCCACACCTGCCATGATGTAGTGGAAGCAGCTTTTGGCACACTACCATAAGCTGCTCAAGCTCCCAACGCATGGGGACAAGTGCATGTGTCCCATTTGCCATGCTCTGCAGTTAGCTCCATGTCGGCAAAGATTGGGTTTCTCTCACTGCTGCTGTCCACTGAAGTTTTAATGGAAACAGATTCTAAACTGATCTGCAATTTTGTGTTATATAAAAAAAAAGCTTCTGTATAATGGCCTTTCTGAATAATACTTTTTAAAATGAAAGATCCAGTACAAACTCATAAAAGTGTCTCTTTCCTTTGGATTTCTGTGGTTCAGAAGGTATTTAAATATTTGTATTCTTTTTCAGAAATATGGGGAAAATCAATTATTCCATTTGGGGGTCTCTTGAAAAGTTCAAATAGTCATCACCATTTCACCCAAGAATTCCACTTATTGAGATCAGTGGGAGCTGATGGCGAATCACACATTTGAAGATTTAAGTAGTTATTTTGCTGTATATACTTTAACCCCCCCCCCAAAAAAAACACGTTACCTAAGATCTTTTAAGAATCTGTAGGACCATTGCTCTTCCTGTTTATGTTAAAACTAATCCTGTGAAGGTGATGATGTCCTAGGAATTTTCAGGACATGATATTTACAGATAGCTTCTGTTTTTCAGTGATGATGCAAGAATCCAAACTTACGAACTTCCAGCAACGTCATCTCACAAACTGCATAAAGCGTGAGTTATGTCTAATTTCAGCCTTGCCGTTACACTTAGCATTGCTGCTGAGTTGTTGGTTGTTACTAGTCCAAATACGGTTTAGTCACATTCATGTTATCCATTTACAAACAAACAAATCATCCCTTTGGAAAGGAAATTAGCATTGACTCAAGCAGCTAAACAGAATGTAAGTGGAAATGAGTCATGGATGATTCCCTAACAGATACTAGTTCTATCCAGCTGTCTCTGTAGGGACATAATAAAGGCTGTTTTATTGTTCTGGTCACTGCATATACTGTAAAACTAGATTTGGGTAGTTTTTATTAAAAGCTGAGAATCAAAAGATTCTGAACGTTAAATGTCATCTACCATGCTGCACCATGCATTTGCAGCCAAACCAACTGCCAGAGCCGCTGCTGAGAGGTTGTGAGTAGAGCACTGTGCATCTGCTTGGCTGTGTTAGGCCTTTGGTTCAAATCTGAGCTCTTGAAATGCTTGGTTTTTACCAGGTATACCTTTGAAGCCTCAGGGTTACAGTCACTTGCTTCTGTCAGTAAGTCACAAGATCTACTTCCTTGATCTTCTGCTCTTGGTCTTTCCTTCCTTAGGAGGTGACTCCCTTCCTGATAAATGCAGCCCAACATCCAGCAAGGAACCAGAGCTTTCCAAGCCTGTCTCACCACCAAAGGCTTTTTTGTCCATCAGTCCATATGGAAGACCTCGTCTCCGGCCTGCTGAGATGTGCCGGGCAGGCGATGCATACATCCGGGAGAAATTCAGGCCCCAGGCCACCCGTAAGGAAGCAAATGATAACATTCCCAGGGGACTAATTTTGAAATGGGAGTTAAGTAACCCTGACAACATTTTGCATTTATGTAGCACTTCAGAATGTAAAATGGATTTAGCGCTCTTCACAACAGCCCTGTCAGGTCAGCATTAACAGTCCTTCCGTGTGCAATGGGTGGGTGTGTTTGTGCTGAAGCGGATGGATAAGTGACTTGCCTAGGGCCACCAATAAGTTAATGGTTGAGGGCAGGATTTGAACTGGGAAATTCCTGGCTTCCAGCTCCTAGCCACTGCAGTGCAGTAGCTCACAAGTTTTCTTTGCAGTAACGTTTATGAAAGTTCCCGTTTGTGAAAGCTCAGCAGAATTTTTAGACCACACACTGAAATTTTCCAGGTGTTAAACCAGTTTTCACACCTCTCCTCTGAAAAGCTTAATAGAATCTAGTTTCCATTACTAAGGCTACAAGCCTTATGCATGTTTACCTGGGAGCAAGTCCTGTTGAACATAGTGGGACTTACTGCCAAGTAAATATGAATAGGATTGTGTTGCAACCTCTGCCCTCCTCTTACCAGTTTTGGTGCCTGCCATACCTTGCTGTGTTCAGGTTGTTTCACATTACCATTGCTGATTGATTTGTGTCAGAACTTCTACCCAAAATATTTGTCATTTTCATGATGCATGGCCTCTGCAGCCTACAGTCTGTGGTGCCTGATTTTGATAAGTCTCCTATGCAGACACCTTTGTAGGAGCTCTGAATATCTAGCACAGAAACTGCCTGAAGAGCTTGCAATAGAAGAAAGCACTTCTCCCACATGTTGTACATCATTTGCTTGCTTTGGCATTTGTAGGAGACCTGGAGAAGGAGAAGGAAAGACTCCAAAACATTTTTGCAACAGGAAAGGACAAAGTTGAAAAAAAGCCGAAGAAAGAGCCAGTCAAGGTAGAAGAGAAGGTCCCAGAACCAGACCGGTTTGAAGAATGTATGTACAATGGATTGCCTTGGTTGAAAGCAGTGATCTGATGCTCTATGTATGGTAGGGAGGCTGCTCTCCTATTCTGAAGCATAGGAACTGGTCAGAGGAAAGTAAGGGTTGTATTCTTGGGTTCAGGGAGAGCCCTAAGTAAAGAAATCTCTCTTATTGTGTCTTGTCAAAGAAGGTTACCTCACTAAGTAGGAACTATAGAGTGCAGGACAAATTCCACCCTATAAACATGGTCAGTAGTGCCCTCTGTTCCCTGTGATGGCACTACAGCAGTCTGATACAAGATTAATACATATTTAAGATGGGTATAATGAGTTACAAGGGCTAGTTTCGTGTCTGAGCACATACAGTGCAGACCTGACTCAGTAAAGCTGTCCAAATATACAAGCAGACTAGGCAGGCAGCCTAGTTTTCCTAGTTAAATGAACTCCTGCCACAATAGAAACAGCACACGTATTGTGGGCTTGTGTCCTCTGTGTAAAGTGAATTCACACTGCAGACTCCCATTAGTTTAGGAGCCCCAGAGGTGCATCCCATTTGCATGGGAACGCCTTCACAGTGCCAGTGACAGCGGGGGCATCAAAAACCTTGAGTTGAGCTCATTCTGAAAAGCATCTGCCAATGGTGCAGGGGAATATTCTCATATTTGATTTGGAAAACATGCTGAGTAGGTGATATATATACATGCAAGTTGGGAAAGCTATGCATATTTTCCTCCGCATTCAAATATGTTGATTGGTGGTGATCAGGCAAAAGTCATTTCATAAACAGGGCTGTACATTGCTCTGATGATTGGTGAGAGGACGGTATAAAATTAAATACTTTTATAAATAAAAATAAAAGGAAACAAAATGTTATTTTAAATTTTTAGAACAGTATGTTTACAATATTTGTAATTGTATACCATTTTTTTAGTAATTGTTTTATACCATTTTTTAATAGGATTGTATTTTTAATGTATATTAAGGCACCCCTGTGTGGTGTATCAAAACTAGAAGGGCAGAATATTAATGCTCTGATGAAAGATTCCTGCTGGATCAGCGTAAGGGCCATCCAATCTAACGTTCTGGCAAGCAACTGCTGGCTTGTACTTGTTGCCCTCCAACCACAGCAAATAGACTTATATGCTCGGCTCCTCTGAATTTGGAATTCCCATTTAGTTATTATAGCTCAGCCTTCGCCAAGTGAGTAGTCCAAAACATCTGGAGGGCACCACACCCATCTTCCCTGGCCCTTGAGCCATGCTGCCTGGGGTTGATGTATATTGGATGCCAGCAAGTTGATATCCATAAATTTGCTCTGACCGCCACTTTTATATTGCAAGCAAATTCGATAAATTAATTAGGCACTGTGGGAAGACTTCCTTTTCATACACGTAAATAAACCAATTCAGTCATCAAGCTTTCTTTCCGAGAGAGCAATGGTCCTTTCCAAGTTTAAAGAGCATACTAAAAATGAATACAATATGTGTAGTAATTAGGAAATTGGATGAGTCAGAGTTCCGGGAGTACTTATGTGTTCCTGCCTTCAGGCTCCGTCATTCCATTGTTTCATTTTCTCTCTCCCCCCCCCCCCAATAAAATACTCAGTGGTTAATGAAGTTCAAGATAGAAAGAGGTTTCTGGAAGAAATGGAGGCCCTGGGACAAGGCAAATTGTACCGAGGGATCATCCTCACTGAAATATCACAGGTATGTGGCCTCTTCTGGTTTGGACATTCTGTCATGTATAGTACTGAGCGTTACTGTTCTAGTCTGATAACTGGCCATAATGTATTTTGAGAAGGTGGGGAAAGATTGACCGCCAGGTATATGAAAGACATGAAGAGCCTTAAAAAATATGCTACAGGTGTGGGAGTAAATCTCTGGCACTTGTTGCATGTAATTTTGTGATGAAAGTGTCTGGAATTCTCACTGCCTCCCCTTCCCCTGCTTTTTGCAGAAGGTTCGAGAGATGGAGATCATCGACAAACAGAGAAGTGCAGAACTGAAAGAGGCGATGGCTAAATCCTTCAATATAGGCAACAAACCTGACCCTGAATGCACAAGTCAAGAAGACCAGTAGTCCTTTCCCACTCCAGAACATGATTATTGCACAAGGGTGCCAGAACTAGACTTTCCACAAGAGTTTCAGAAATGGCTCTTAGCCCATAAGTGGCAAATGGAAGTTTCAGTGCCCCCAGGGGCTTTGTTTTTGCAGGAACTCAAAACATTCTATTTTCATAGCCTTTAACAGCAAGAGGCCTTTTTGAGGGTGTGGTTTAAAAGTAGCCATAGGATTAATGCCTGGCTACAGTAAAGGGCATGAATGGGCATTTCCTCTTTAAACAGACCAGCAAGGGGTAGAACTTCCACACACCTATCTAGTCTCAATGTGAAACATAACAGTATGCAGTTTTCTAGAAGGTTGTGCTTCTGCTTCTTAAAATCACAACAGCCTATTATAGGAAGTGTTTGGGTCAAAAGCTTCTGTCTAAACTCATATCCTTTACTTTTCACACGTTTTCCGGTGAAAGCTGAAAGTCTCTTACAATCTTGTGTACAATTATACCTGACAAATAATGTTGCCTGCTGCTTCAGAGCTAGTAAGAACACTGTGAGGACTTGTTTTTAATTTTATGGCTACCTCAGTGAGATTGGGAGCATGTAGGAACATGTCAGGACCAACCTAGATATAACAGAGGGCACCCATGTTTGTTTAGTCACAGGCCTACCCCATTCATGACTAAAGCTGGGGCCAAGGAGGACTGATATCTTATTTGCTTTAACTCACTGTGCTCTGTCACTTGAAACATTTTCTGGCTGTTTAGCTCATGGTTTGTATTGGAACCCGGGCAAATGCCTGAAGTGACAAGAGTGGAAAGAGGTAAATTGGGGAGAGAGGAGGCAACCAGCTCCCCTTACCTCTTATTGTAAAAAGAACACCCACTCCAGTTTAGTTGTGGGGCAGAAGTGTGAATACAAAATACAGCTGCCCCCTCAAGGCTAGTTTACCCCTCATATACTCTTCTCAGATTATTATTATTTTTAAAAACAAGACTGGTATGAAATATATACCTGAGACTTCTCTGTTTTATATGCCCTGGGACTACCTTTATAAGAGAGGGTCTGTTTTGTTTCTACTGTGATTCAAAACGGAGAAATAAACACCAACACTGTTGCTAAATACAATAGTTTTATTTCATTTGTTTGTTCCCTGCATGTAAGTGGAGATTGTGGTTAATACAGTGTAATTCTGTCCATCAGGGCTAGGGGGATTTGTGATGGGAGCGTCTCTGGTGGCATTTTGTAACAGTTTCGTTTTAGAGGGGAATGTTGTGCTCTGGGATCAAACCCCAGGGTGGCCTTTCTGTGGAGAGCAGGATTCAGCAGGAGGTTGTCATCCACTTGTGGGGACTGATAACAAGGCCCCGAACCAGCGCTGGCAACACTGATGAACTCAGATCCCCTTCTGGGACAGCGTAGGCTGAGCATCATAGCCAGGGACTGGCCAAACATTCCATCATATTTGGATAAGGCAGCACAGCAATTTGCTCTGGGCTGGTAGTCTACTCTGCTAACAAGAACCCAAGACTAACAGCTGACTAACCAACACCTACAATACTATCAGTGTTTAACTCAGACCAAACAAACATCTCAATAAATAGCTCCTCCACTCGGAGGAGAAGGCAGAAAGGAAAGTGGGAAGGCCCCTTCCCTCCCAGCACACACGCAAACACACACACACACGCAAACAAATAAAAACAAAGCTGGAAGGGAGAGGTGGAAATTCAAGCTAAGGAAGCAGTATAGAAAGGAGCCCTCTTGCACTCTTAGGAAAGTATATACATGTCAAGCCGAGGGGGGAGCAGCTGGAATCCCTCCCAAATGGGCTAAGGGTAGCACTGGTGAGCAAGGCAAAAAGGAAACCTTGTTGGCATCGAGTACAGCATGAGATCTTATGCCCTCACAGTGGAGGGGAACGTTGGACACTTTCCCAGCCCACTGTGTCCCTTGAAGAGCACCATGGATGAAATTTAGCAGCAGCAACCAAGAGGGTGAAAAGGCCCAGTGAGTGTCCGATTCAGACCTTACCAAGTACATGAAAATCCAATCCCATTAAGCTTTCCTCCCTGCATTGCTAAAAACGGTTTCCAAGAGACTCGGCATTTGCAGCACATTGGCAGCAGGAGAGAAATAGGCCACTGGTTAGGCTCTTGGCTGTTTCTATCCGCCCTTATGGCATGGAAGCGTTTCCCATGATACTCAGTTTAACAGTTTTAAGCCAAAACAAAAAAATAACCGTGCTCCAAAAGCCCAAAACCTTTCCAAATGACCCAAGTGGGATTTCTGACTAGCAGGCTAATGAGAAAAGGGATTTGGAGCAGGGGAGAGGAGTCCCCGTCCCTGGACTACTATGGAAAGTCTCCTCCTCCCCGAAGGAGAGGGGTACGAGGCACATGTGACTATCACAGTTGAGAGACGGGAGGGGGACAATTAGTGCAAGTTTCCCACAGACACCCAAATTCTGCACTGCTCAGAACCAGTAATAAGAAGTACACACGTACAACCGAGGAAGCCTAAAGCTATTTCACTTTCCCACCCCTACCCAGAAGCCGAAGAGACAAGTAGCTTCCTCCTCCAGTCTGTCCCTCCAACTATTTCAGTGCTGACTAGGCTTACCCCACCTCTCTCCCCTTTTACTAGGCAAAGGAGCTTCTGTTGATGGAAGCTGATGGAATTTCTCCGAGGGAAGCCAGCTTTGGTGTATGGCGAGGCACAGCATTGGTGGTGGCGGGAGGGCAGGGAAGGGGCAGGAGGCAGAAGCCCCATTTGCCAGGTGGCCGGCCAAACAGGACCGATTTTGTCCCTCCCCGCTTCTGGCTGCCTCCTGCTTTAGCTTTTCTCCTTGGGCGACTTGCTCTTTGACTCATGTTTGTTCCCAAGCAGTTTCAACACTTTCATGGGCTTGAATTTCCCTCTCTTCTTGCTTTCAGCTTCGGTCTCCTTATGAAATTCTGGAGAAAGGAGGGAGGGGGAGAGAGAAAGTACAGTGATCACTTTCTGTGGAATGCACTTGGGGTTGGGCAAGGGAGGAAGGTAAAAAACTCTTTTCAGCTGAGTCAGACAGGCGCTCAGCACTGGCAGCAGCTCTCCAGGGTTTCAGACAGGAGACGCCAACACTGTTTGGAGACGCCAGGGACTGAACCTGGGCTAAAGCCCTCCCATATATATCAGGATCTTCATGCAACAAAGCCTACCCTGGCAAATGCTTGTAACATCATGGACGCTACAGTTCTATACTAAAATTAGATTCAGTAACCAGAAAATCCAAATGCCTCAAGGGATTACATTAGCTAAATTAGCATAAATCTGCTTATTTGCATGCTTCATACAACAGGCCAATTGTCAAGTCAGGACAAGCATTGTTTACAGAATCTGGAATTATTATTCTGCAAGGAATTGAGAAAGGAGGATCATCACCTGTGGAAAAATGCAAAAAGGGAGGAATAGCAACCACTAAATAGATTTGTGACCCTTGCTGTTTGCCAAAACAAATATGCACCTAAAGGGTGTATTAGTTGACTGTATTAGATACAGTCTCAAGCTGGAATTATCCCTGGGTGTTCAGGGGTTGATCCCAAAGCTGTGTATATCCTGCCATTCTGCAGGAGTCCAGAAAAAACCCGTAATGTTTTCTTAGTCACTGAATTTGGTTTCCTGATTAAAAGAAAAAAGAAACCAGGAGGACAGAAAAAGGTTTCTAGCCTTTTTGGATGTGAAGAAAAGGCTTGAAAATGCAGAGTTAAAATCTCAGAAGCCATAAAGGAGACTGAATTTCCTATGTTTGGGGGCAGGGCTTTCAGTGCCTTGCATAGTTTATTGCCCTGCCCTGTGGCTAGCAAAACCAGACTAAATTAGCAAATTAGCAAAAACAAGCATGCATCCATGAAAGAATTTCCATGGCTTTCATTCTTCCTCTAAAATAGTTGCTGCAGAAGGGAAGGGAAAACTTAGATTCCCTTTGCCCCCAGGCAACTATTAAGAGGGAAGGATTCAGATTTAGGTGCAATGTCTCAGAGCTTCCTCCTTCTGTATTGCAACTGCTTCCGAGATGAAGAACAAGACCTGGGCTATAGGGATTATGTGCTGCCCTGTGCTGGGAGGGATATTCCCCAACAACAGAGGAAACATGCATGCACCACCCATGGCCAAAGGCAGTTTGGGGAGAAAGCAGAGGAGCATTTGACATCCTTTCCGTCCCAAATCCCCCCCACCTTGGCTTCCTGCCCCTACTGCATCTGCAAGCAGAAGGCTACTTTCCTGAGTGATCAGCAGGATTACAAAAAAAAAGAAAAGAAAAATTATGCAAATTTACTTAATTTTGCATTTAAGTCATACAATTCAGCTTTCCTTGGAGCAGAATTCAAATTGCTTGGGTGCATACTTTTAGTGTGTTCAGTATGGAAAGGACACATAAGCACGTTGTGTCCTGGTTAACAGTCGTTTTAACTATCTAAATGAAAGGTGGGTTAGAAATATTTTAATAAAGAATATTCCAGGAACCAATGCCTTAACTCCTGGACCTCTCTTACCTTTCTTTTTAATCATGGCTTCCAGCATTTTGTCCTCTTCTTCTTCCCTGGTAAAACAAGGAGAAGGAATAGTAAGATCCGGTCTTTGCCAGAACAGTTGAAGTGAAGCTTCTAAAAAGATGTCATTATGCCATAGCACACAAGAAGCTGCTCTTCTCCCAATCCTGCCCAGCCAATAGTTTCTATGCTGGGGGATAGGGCTCTATGGCCCTCCCCTAGAAGCTGTTGGGCTCCAACTCCCATCAGTCCCAGCCACCATGGCCAATGGTCAGGGATGATGGGAGCTGTAGTCCAGAAACAACTGACAGGCCACAGGTTCACCATCCTTGGCCCAAGTAGGAAAGCCATTCTTTCAGATCCCAAATGCACCACATCTTTGGGCAAGCTCCTAGCACCCGCTCCCTTGGACAAAGCTCTTGTGTCTTGTCTAGGGAAGATGTTCACTATAAAAATGGCATTTGGGGCCATGCAACTACAGCCATCTTTACAGTCACCCCAGCCCTACTATTTAGAAGTAGGCAGGCCATTTCCAACCACTTCCCCTTCTGCTACCTTTGCCGGTCCTCATCCAAGCAATTGACAATGGCATTCCGCTGCTCAATAATGGTCACCAGTTCTTGCATCAGCACCTTCTCCCTCACACGGTCCTCATCTGTCCAGTCTTTCTCTGTCCGCCAAGAAAGAGGGAGGTGAGTAGGCGGTTATTTATTTACTAGGTGTTTGTACTTATAAGCCCACCTTCCTTGAAACGGTCCAGGAGCGGATTACAAAAAAAGTGACAATTAAACAAGTACAGTTTACGTTAAAATCATAAAATGAAAGGACAAGAACACTCAACAGCAAAACATCAGCACAGAATAGCAGCAAAGAGCAATGCAGGAGTTATGTGATGGAACTTCCTAGGGTTAGACGGTCGCACTTCTGCTCTGCGAAGGATTACATGACAAGTGTGTGCTTGAACCCAGCGTGCTCCTCCTTTTAACATGAACAGTGCTAAAGTCTGAGCAAAGTTCTGGCTTTTTAGCCTAGAATGTGCCACCCAAAGGATAAAAGCTGGCCCTTATGAAGGGGCACAACCCGTGGGATTGTGTGGGACAGAGTGTGTCAGTTCCAGATAAAATGGGTGAGAAAATCTGTATCCTTCAGAAGTTGCTGGACTACAACCCACACTGTCCATGACGGGGTGTTGGCTAGGACAGAGAGGAGTTGTAGCTCAGCAACCTCTGGAGGGACCCAGGTTAGCTACTCCTGAGTCAAAGGGGTCTCAGGTAGTAGAGTTAAGGAAAACCTCTGTCTGGGTCCCCAGAGAGCCACTGCCCTTCAGAGTACACAGAACTAGACTGGGCAAAGCAATGTGTAAGGCAGTGACTCAGAACAAGACTGCTCCATGTTCCTTTCTTGCCTGTGAGGCTGAACATCTTCCAAGTTCTCCTCACAAAGGGTCAATTGTGGCTCAAGAAACACTGGGTTTTGCTCACTATGTTCTTCCCCATACCTCTCTACAGATCATCCGTGCCTTGAGCCTGTTTCGAGAGCTTCCCTCTTGTTGGACTTTCATGAACTAACTAGGGCAGGAAATGCCATTGACTGAAGGCTGGCAGTAGGGAAAGAACCTCTCGTTTTATTGAACAGTGCTCTCTGCTGGCAGTAAACGTGTGCTGAGATAATATTCTGCTCTGGGTAGTATTCCACCTACATATAGGTTCATGTCGAAACTCTGAAATCCTTCAATCTCAGCAAGCCTTAGAACAGCCCTGTAAGGTAGGCCGCTATTATTCTGTTCATACTGCAGATGAGATTGAATCTATGAATCTGGGAATCTATGGCTTGCCAAATGCCACCTAATGCGCCCATGGCAGAGGAAAGGTTCAAACTAGGGAGTTCTCCTCTTAGCTGACACAGTAACATCAGTTGTCTAAACGAGCAACACTCAGGCCATAGTGGAAGAACAGTTCCTGGGTCCCAGGTATTAGGCAGTTTCCTAGCCTGCCATTCCATCAGCCTGAAGCATACGGAAAAAAGGACCGCTCCATCAGCTCCACTGAGAAGCCGTCTCCAGCAGGCTTTTCTTCTCCCTCAAATTCCATCTTGCCATTCTGTCAGACTGCAGCAGAGCAAAGGGAAGGGAAGCAGGACCACTTTACTGGCTCTGATGCAAAATCAGCAACTTTTGGCCGTTCCTCTCCTTCAGCAGTTTCCCTTCCAGCTAGTCAAAAGAACTCCATATCTAAGAACTAGTTCTGAGTTTTGTTTATTTCCTCCTCCTGCCCAATCCTTTTTCCTTTTGTGTTGTGTCTTTCAAATTTTAAACCTAGGGACAGGGGTGTTTGTGGAATGCTCTCCCTAGTGAGGTGTGTCTGTCTCCTTCATTACTGATTTTCAGCACTCTAAAAACATTCCTGTTTCTCCAGGCATTTGATGGTTGAAAAACACTGCTCTTGACAACCCTGAGGTCACCGAATGAAATAACGTCTTTAGCTGGTTTTTAGAATGCATTTAACATGCTTGTAACTGTTTTTGACTGTTTTTAGTTGTGATTTATCATGGCTGTTTCTGCAGTCCTAGACTTTTTCGGCAGGAAAGGTAGGATATAAATTGGATGAATGAATTATTGATTGCTATTCAGTCTTTTTTTGGCTGAAGAGTAGGGTAAACAAACAAACAAACAAACAAACGGACATACACAATTTTAAGGATACTGAAGGAACTGTAAGCACCTTATGAAGAAACATACTTAGGCTAACGTTCAAAGTGAGCAACCTGGAGCACTGGCCATCCCAGCAAAGCCTGAGCACACCAGGGGAACAAGAAACAGCTCACATTGCCTGGCATGGTCTCCTCACGTAGATCCTGTAACACTGTTCCTTTCAAATGCATCCAAAATCATTTTCAAGTAATTCTCAAATGCTACGGCAAAGATCGCTTTTTTAAAAACTGCTTGTATCACACCCTGAGAGACGTACCAGGTTTGTTGAGGAGGCATCGCAGCTCATACTCCACATCAGCCTGACGCTGCTCCAAGTTCTGCTGCTTAAAACTAGAAGGAAGGAAAAGAGGAGAGTTACATGCCAGCACCAAGATGTGGGAGCAGTGGGATGGGAATCTTCAGCAAGGCAAATTTATTTTTTATTTTTAACAAAATTTGCATAAACCGCTTAACTGGAAGTAAAACTTCTAAGTGGTTTACAAAAGGCATAAAATATACATTAGAATTATTGATAAAAGTTAAAGTTATTTTTTAAAAACAAAATATATAAATATATATATAAAATATATAAATAAAGTCAGCTAGGCTAAAATGGCAGATTAAAATGTCTGTCAGTTTTTACATGTTTGGGTAAAGTTTCTGACAGGCGCTGAAAAGAGTACAGTAAAGGCGTCAATAGGCAGTGAGTTCCAGAGTTTTGGTGGTGCCCCCCCCCGCAAGATCTATTTCTTACAAGTGCAGAAGTAATATTATGTGGCATCTGTAATAGTATATTCTATAACTAGCTCATCCTCCTTGCCATTATGGCATTCCCTATGCCGACTCAGCAAAGTCCAGATTATTTCAGAAGGTTGGAAGATCCAATCCTGGATGGGGAATCTGAGCCTCTCAAGATGCTGCTGGATGAGAGTTCCCATCATTGCTGACCACTGGCCATGCTGGCTGGAGACGATGGGAGATGGAGCCCAACAACATATGGCGCCCCCCAACCTCTGATCTACCTGTTTGAGATGGCCTTTGGCGTTTGGGACTGAGCCTGCAAAGAGCGGCACTTGCCCCCTAGAAAGTGTGTGGCCATTAATCAACCATGTGTACTTACATATAGATGAGTTCAGACTCCCGGCGCACCAGCATGTGCTTCTCGTGGATGAGCTTGAACCAGTCGACCAGCAAGCCGTCTTCAGGAATATCTGCTGGTCAAAGGGACAGAGGAAGGGAAAGAGCTGAGAAGGCCACACGGGTACGAAGCTACCTTACTGTCCTGGCCTATCTCAGATAAGGAAGATGCACGTCTGACAGTTAACTCTTTGTTGGCTAGAGAAACACTTACAGTAGCTTCCATCGTCCTCTGGATACACATACTCACACACTTCTAGCCTCTATGCAGCTGTCCATAGATCTGGGCCCTACGGAGAAGTTGCAGCAACAATGGGGCCCCCTCCCATCCTCAGGCTTATCTGACGGGTGGCATGGCCTCAACCTGAGACCTCCTGCACAGAAGTCGTCACTGCTCTTCCATTTTCAAGCCCCTCCTGCTCCCAGGAGACAGTGGGACAGAGGAAGGTCTACTGACCCGTCCCTTGCCTGAACGGTCTCTTCTTCTTCTGCCTTGAATTGCCCTGGCTCCTGGTCCTGCCTTGTGGGTTGCGTGGCATCCCATAAATCACTGGTCCCTCTCTGGGGTCACTCCCCTGTCCCCCTGCCTCTGCTACACACTCTTCAGAGCCTGACACCAATACTGAATTAGACTATTGGTTCATCTACCTTGGCAGTGGCTCTCCAGGGTTTCAGACCAGGGGACTTTCTCAGCCCTACGTAGAAATGCCAGGGACTGAACCCAGATCTTTGCCACTCACAGCATGTGCTCTACCACTGAGACCTTCCCTGAGATCTGCCCACCACAGAGGCAAAGGGATGAGGCAGCTACAGCAGCTCTTACTGTTAGTCCACATTAGCTTCAGGGCACCTGAAACCTAGAAATGCTATTTTTGAAGCAGCAACACTACCAGGACACGCACAAAGGCATTTCCTCAATCACCTCCATCTCCGGACACAAATACCAAACATCCTGGAGGGTTGGCTTTTGTTTTTAAACCTGACCCATCTTTTCCAAGTTGCCAAAGCTTAACCTCTTCCCTCCTTGCCTTTGCTCTGAACACAGAAACCCTTCTGCCTGAAAGTTCCCTAACCAAGTATTACGTGGTATATATTTTAACAAACATGGATAATTCATATACATAGAATATTTTTTAACATTCACCCCATGAATATACACAGTGGGATAAGCAAAGATAGGCAGGTGGTGCCCAAGCCATGGAAAAGCAAACTTGGCTGCATTATATCAGGTGCAGGGAAACCTTTGGCCTTCCGGGTGTTGCTGAACTAGAACTCCCAGCAGCCCCAGCAAGCATGACCGAAGATGACGCTCATATATCCTGCGAATCTTCCTGCCTTCTGCCTCGCCCTGCGCAGCCTCACAGGCAGTGATCCACCACTCTACCATTATTTTCCATGCTGCGAAGCTTCCTTTCCAGCTCAACCCCTCGATGCTCCAGCTCATCCAGCTGTTGCTCAATGCTGTCCATCTCGCCATAGATGTCCTCCACTGGAACATACTGGTCTGACTGAACCTGTAAAAAGGCAAGGAACCAAAGATCATGCTTCCTGTTTCTAACAAGGCAGGCGTGGCTTTCTAGAAGATAACTACTGACTCCAGGGTGGGAGGAGGGAGATAAGAGTCATGGGGAATACATTTTTAAAAATATGTATCTGTGAATTAGGGCAAGATGTAGGGCAGAACCTGGCAGGGGTTTCCCACCCAAAATCCTTCCTAGCCTCCTTACCTAAAATTATCACTACTGAATGTTTCAGATGGTTTCCTACACAATCATGAGGGGCAGAAACTTGTTTTGGCCGACATTCTTAAGGAGACAAATTCTGGAGTCCACAGAGTAAACATAAAGCACTGGTGAGGAACCTCCAGCCTGCAGGCCTAACTAAACATGTCCTGGTCCTACTTTGGCCTGTGCTGTCATTTCCCTAAGCCTTGCCCCAGCACCTGCCCCACACCTGACCCCAGATAACTGTTCCTCTGCAAGCGAGGCTTGCCTTCAGCACCTTTCAAGCCAGGTTTCAGGCTCAGCATTTAGAATCTGCCCCAGCAACTTTTGTTACGGTGTAGCTTTCAGAGGAAGCCACAACCACTACATACAAATGCCTCACACCAGCCCTTAGCTCTCAATCAGCCCGCTAGAAAGTATGCAATCCCTCTTCACAGGGGTGGTATTCAATTAAGTTTTACTCAGAGTAGAACCCACTGAAGTTAACAAACACGACTGAGTTAGCTCAGTTAATTTAAATACTCCTTTTGTGAGCAATTTGTGGGAAATTAAGTAGCATGGCAAATGAGGCAGAAGCCCCCAATCCTCGTTACCTTCCGCTTAATTAGTGGGAAGCCATGTCCCGGAGCAGGAGGCCTCGCTGGCTTGGGTCCCTTTGGAGTTTTCTTAATGGAGGGGGATGTGACAGGCGACGGCTTCCGGTTGAAGGGATTCTCTTTGCAGGATGACTGGGGACAAACACACCAAGCAGAATATCAAAACATACCTCTTGGGCTGCACCACCATGGGATCCTGAACCTGCCACTCCACCCTGGCACTTTTGAGGACCATATCTCTGGAGCAGGGACTCAGCTCTGGCACGGGGGGGGGGGCATAGGAGCCAGGCCTCTTTTGCAACAGACACAGGCCAGGGACTCCTGATTTTGAGCAAGGGAAATGAGGCAGTGCACACGAGAAATCACAAATGCTGGGGACACTCCCGACAGCCATGCTCAGCAACTGAGGACAAGCCAGCCACAGTGAGACTGCCCTGCAGTTCAAGGGATCCTGGTGGAACAGGGAATTGCATGGTGGAGCAGTGAGTTTTAAATTTCCTGGGGTAAAAGATGGAGGGAGGGGGGCTGACACGAAACCCTGCAGCACTCTGTGGCTGAGGAATTTCGTGTCAGCCCCCTCCTCTGCAGCTCATGAGCCACAGGCAGCCCTCATTTCAAGCCCTCTGCATGTGATCAGTTTAGGCTTATGTTAATGGGAAGGGGGAGAGAATGGAGCAAAAAGCCAAAACTGATGGAGAGATAAAGCAGGGGTGGGGGAATCAGAAGCCCCCCAATCAGATCTGGCCCTAAGCACCATTAAACACAGCCCTAACAGACTTTCCCCATGAGAACAGCCTTTGTTGTGCATGCCATCTTTAAAGCAGCATTGACAGAGGATCTGAAACCCTGTGCAATACTTCATAACAGCAGCTTCTACCCGGAGTTAATTATTTGTAAGGCTGCAAAATAAGCAGTACATAACATAACCAGCGGGTGGTGCTAGAGGCAAGAGTGGAGAGCAGGCCAAGAAGTTGTCATGTCTCTGGGGATACACTGGTACCTTGGTTTACAACCATAATCTGTTCCGGAGGTCTGGTTGTAAACCAAAACAGGTTGTAACCCAAGGTGCGCTTTCGCCAATGGGGCCTCCCCCCAAAAATGGGTTGTAATCCAAAAAAAAGGGACACACACTTCCAGGTTTGACGTGGTTGTAATTCAAAGCGGTTGCAAACCAAGGTGCCACTGTATGAAGACAGTAAAGCTGTAACTCTGGCTGGGACTTCCTGGCCAGATGCTTTGTTACACACACAAACATGCACACATAAGAACTTCTCAGTTCATTTCAGGGACCTTTCAAAGTAACAGAGCAAGGCAAAAGGTCATTGTTATTCAAAAACCTGCATGGACGAAGGATGGGTCTCACGACCAGAACCTAGGAAAGCGACTCCAACTTACCTTTGGCTGTGCTTTGGGTGATGGAGAGCTCCTGGCAGCCGCACCACTCAGCTCCGAGGCCAAGAGGATAGGTGTGGGAATGGCCCCGGCCGAAGGCTTGGGGGAGGCTCCCCCAGGAGAGGTTTTCAAGTTCCCAGATGAGGAGGTTCGGGCAGTCTGTGAATGTCCCCCTTGTGCCTCACTGCCATCACCAGCCAAATCGCTGGAGGACGAGAAGGAGGAGTTGGCCGAGCTGCCGGGCAGGGCTGTGGGACACTCCTCACCAGAGGAGGAGAGACAGGGGAGCGGAGGGGCTGAGGAGGAGACAATGGAAGTGGCGGCCGGGACGTGGACTGCGGGCTCCGAGGAGCTCTTGGGCACAGAGGTCTCGTCCAAGTCGTCCGCGCCCTTGGCCAAACACTCGGATGCGATGCTCTCCAGGCTCAGGGCGGGCGAGGGGGTGGAGGAAGACGGCTCCGAGCGGGAGAGTCGGGAGATGGGGTGGTGAGCTGCAACGAGGGGAAAGTACAGGTGAGACGAAAGTGGGGGAACTCAGGCCCAAGCATGGCTCTTTAGGCCTCTCTGCCCAGCCCTCTGAACCCTCCCCATGCCACACCTCCCACTGGCCTTGCTTTGGCCCCCAATATGCCTGCTTGGAATGTGTCCTTGAATATTGCCTCTTGATTGTCCATTTGGAGGACAGAGAACGATGTGTGTGCGCAAAACCTAGCCTACTGGTCCAAAGGCAAAATTTACCTTTGCTGCCCCAGCCAATTTGCCCCCCCCCAAAGCACCCAGGAGTGAAGGCAGCGCTTGGGCAGAAAAAAAGTCATAGCATGACATAACACCTTTTCCAGACAGGCCCATTCGAAAGATGGGGAACCTGAGCATCTCCCCTTCAACGTTGCTGGACTCCAACTCCCATCAGCCTCCTCCAGCATGGCTAGTGGTCAGGGATGATGGGAGCTTGAGTCCAACAAAGCCCTGAGGGCACCCCAGCCACGACAAGCATGGCAGGACCAGGCCTCAAACATCCAAGCCACATTGGTGCAAGCCATGAGAGAGCTCATTCTTTTCCTTCCTGTCGGAAGGCAGGGTGGAGACTCACCAAGAGGGGATGCGTTGGGGGCCCTTGGAGCTGGCCGCTTCTTGGTCTTGGGGCTGCTGGTGGGGGTGATGCCGTACCAGGGGTGAGCCACCTTGGAGGTGGGCTCGCCCTCACTCTGCTCTTGCTTTGGCGTGCTCTGTTGCGTGACGACTCCCTCCTCTTCCTCCTCCTCCTGCTGCTCTTCCTCATCATCCTCAAAGGGATTATACGGCTTGGGCTCCTCCGGAGTGGGCCTGCCTTCCCTGCCTTGCGCTTTCCCTTCTCCGCCTTCATCCTCCTCTGAAACCCTTGAGGGGCTCTCCTTGCGACTACCTGGCGGGGGAGGCGGAGGGGCCGGCTTCTTCTTGGGCTCTCCCTGGACCAATGCAATCCAGGGAGGGTCTTTGGGCCGCGGGCATTCCCCAGTTCTGGCAGGAGAAAATATATGGGGTAAGGAAGGATGAAAGGGGGAGAGTACAAAATGGAAAAGAGGCTCCTCCCAAGCAAGACGCTCGGTCCCTGAAGCCCAAGGCTGCACATATTCCGCAAGTGTGCCACACAAGACCACAAGCTGGTAGTGAACACAACATTCACTCCCCCCCTGCAGAATCTTAATTTACTTCATAACCCTTTGCTTAAAAAAAAAGAAAAAAGCTAGACACATGTATATTTTGAAGGCTGAAAAGCAGAAAGCATATTTTCTTGGTACTGAATCATGACTTTGGTTGTTATGTTTAGAATATACACAGCCCTGTTATTTTTTTCTCCAATCTTTCAGGCAGGAATACTGAGCAGCAGCTTTGGATTCTCAAGCTAAGGATAGTCTGATGCACTGAGAACAACCATTTCTATCTGTGCTGGACTGGGAGACATCAAGTGACTCAGACATAACCCTGAGCCTTTCCATCTTCCCCTCTATGTGGCTGAAATTGCGAAGAGCTGCTTAAAGCATGATGAAGAGTCTTGTGACACATGGTCCAGGGAAAACTACCCGATTTCTTAGCTTTGCTAGTCCTTAAAGGTGCCACAAGACTCTTTGCAATAGACTAGCATAGCTACCCTTTGGAAATCAAGACATGCTGTTCTTCCTACACAGGGTTCATCTGCATGATTTACTATCTAGTCAGCCTTCCCCAACTGGGTGCCCTCAATATGTTTTTTAACTCCACCTTCCCATCAGCACTGCACAGGAAGGGTTCAGGGATGGTGGGAGTTGCAGGCCAACAACATCTGGAGAGCACCAGGTTGGAGAAGTGTGGTCTACACAGTTGTTTGTTAACTTGCATTTTGGCAAGAGATACACAGATTGAAGGGGGGGTGTTGCTGTCTGTATTGCTCTGCAAGGACCCTGGATTCTCTCTTCAATAGTTTGTGGGGGGGGGGGAGTGTCACTACTTCAGAATAACAAGTTCTGAATGAGCCCCCATCCCTCACTTAAAACCTCCAATGCATGCCCATCCTGCAGCTCAATTTGCATGAACAGGGAAAAAGGAAAATGGAAGGAAGGTCAACATTTATCTCGCTGTCTGTGTGTGATTTGCAAGCAAAAGGGACATACCGCTCGGAGGACGTGGGTCTGCCTCTGGGCTTCGGAACAGGAGGACAGGGCTCAGGAGGCCTACCTAATCCAGAAATGAAGAACACAAGAAAGGGTGCAACATTAGGGGTTTTTATGTTTAGGAGAGGGGGAAAGGCAAGTAAGGGAGAACATGATAGATGTGTATACAATTATGCAGTTTGGAAAAGTGGAGAGAAAGGATTTTTCTCCCTCTCTCGCAACAGTTTTCAAGCACTACTGAATTTGTTGGAAAATTCAGGACAACAGTTAATACTTCTTCACATAGCACACAGTTAAATCTATGGGATTCATTCCCACAGGACATAGGGATAGCCAGCAAAATAGGTGCCTTAATGGAGGCTTAGACAAAGTCATGGCAGATTGCCATAATGGCTAATAGCTCTATGTTTTCCCCCTGTACTGTCAGAGGCAATCTGCTGCTGAATAACAGCTGTTATACAAGTGGGGAGACTGCTCTTGAGCTCTAGTTTTGCTTGCAGGCTTTCCATAGGCCTCTGGTTGGCAACTGTGAGAGCAGGATGCTGGACTAGATGGGCCTTTGGTCTGATCCAGCTGGGCTCTCCTAATGCTCTTAACATACCCATGTGTCTCATTTCCTAGCAAGGATGTCCAAATCCATTACGCTGGGATAACTTGTTTTTATAGCCAGGGATGAAAGCTCCCAACATGCAGCTGCGCAGCATCTTGCGAAACCTCAGAAACTAGGAAAGTGGCCAAATAAATCTTCTCTTGCCTTCTGGGAGCATGACTGCACAGCCACACAGCTCCTTTCCCTCCATCCTGGCTACGGCTCTCTGATCTATGCCCAAGGCACACCCAGCCTTGAATCTCCACGCCCTTCTTTCCATCCACTCCACTGGTCCTTACAAGAAAATCGTGCTTGTGGAAGAAGAATGAAGCATCACACAAGGAGTGAATGCAGTTAATTCATGGCCACAGAATCCAGGTTATCTGTCCCATCAGAAGGGCATGTTTCACAGGACAAAAGGGCTTTCGCCAAGCTGCCCACTGCTACAACTGAAATGTACCTCCAAAGGTTTTCTCGTACAACCCCCTGCCAATTGTATTTATTTATGCAGAGAATTCTATACTGCCCCTCAACAAGGATGGCTGCAGTGCAGTTTACAAAAAAGAGACAGCAGGGAATCTGCTCCTGCAACATCACGGGTGGCCACCTACCAGAGATGTTGTAGCAGCAGGTTTCCTGCCTCAGGAGTCTAACTAGATGGCCTTTGAGGTTCCTTCTGTGATTCTAAGATTCCAATCCACACAAGCTGCAAATGAGGGCTCCCATTTCAGTTTGGCTATTGCCACGGTGCTGCAGATGGGTTCTTCACTACTTCCCTCTGTGCACGCATTTCCTTACCATTGGCCAGTCCAGTGCCAGGCTCACTGGATCCCTCGCTTTGCACGTTGGCTCTGGGTTTTGGAACAGGCTGGGAGCTTGGCGGTGACAGGGCTGCTGCTGTGTCTGTGCTCTTCCTGGGGGCAGGCGTGGGCCGAGCCTCCTTGAGCTGCCCGTGTTGCAGGCTAGCCTTCTCCTGCATGAGCAGAGGTGGCTTTGCTGGCACAGGAGGTTTGGGAGGTGTTTGGGAGCAGGTTTCAGATCCGGGAGCAGGGGCGAGTGTTTCGTTCTTTGGCTGCGCAAGAGGCATCTCGCTCTCCACTCCATCAGCTACCCTCTCCCCCGTTTTGCCTATCTCTTCCGCGGCGGATGGGTGCTCCTCCAGTATTCCGTTCTCTTCCTCCGCACCAGTGCTCACTATCCCAGTCTCTCCGCTTTCCCCCACGTGCTGAAGATCTGGGCTTGGCCTGCGCTCCATCCTCCCGCTCAGGCCCAACTTGCCACGATGCTGGGTGCACACAAATGTGCCCAGTTCAGGTCCAGGCTTGTAAGAACCGGGGAGGAGAGTGCTGGAGCATTCCTTACACCTGCCAGAGACACAAGCAAAGCCTGTCACCAAACAGTGGAGATAGGCAAGAATTGCGGAGTTGTGATCACAGGCACCCTTAGAAGAACAAACTTCCATTTACAGCTTCGCCGAAGATGCCCTGTGACACTCCAGGCTAAGTCACTTAGCTTCTCTGTTTCTTGATTCCCCATTTGTCCACATAGAAATTACAATTGATTTGCACTTCTAACTCAGGCTATAAGGTTTTCAGAGCAGAGATTGGTGCCGTCTCTCTCACACGACTTAAACTCAAAAGCAGTTTTGCTTTCCGGGGCTGGATCTGTCTTCCATTTTTGCGTGGGCAAATATGACACCATAAAGTTAATCAAGTACATTTTATTCCTCAGAGAAAAGACATATTAAGTAAAACAATCAAAGCTGGTTTGGAAAATGTGCCTCTTTCCTGAGAAACAGACGTGCCCCTCACTTTTTCTACACTACAGTCGTACGCCAATAACACAGAAAGCAGGTCAGAACTGGGAATGACAGCGAGACTTATGAGCCTCATGGATTTAGTAGCAGAACATCACAGTAGAGTTCTATATTCCCACACCTGCCCATATTTTTGAAAATGATATGACCTCATCATTTAACCTACAGTAGTGATGTGAAAAAGCCTTGAAGCCCCATCTGTTTCAGCTTTCTTTTTTCTTTTTAGGCTGCTGGGTTTTCGAGGACTGGGTTTTAATCTTCAGTTTATCTGGACATTCTGGTTATTTTTATGCTGGGCTGTACATTGTTTAAAAGTCTGATTACTTTGTAGCTACTATTCACTGGCTGCTGTTGCAATCTGTGTTTTACTGTTCTGATTCTCAGAACAGTAGCAATTATGGGACCCACTCAAGTACAGAAGCTTTAGGTTGCTGCTTATTTCTTTCTTTTCGTAATGAAGTTACTGACCTCATGGTAGCTGGCAAAAATATGCAGGCAGTATGTTCTCACTACTCATAGAACAGAGATGATCTACGTGGGCTTGGCATAATTAGAAGGCGATGCCTGGCAAAGAAGGATAAGGCCAAAGGAGAGCAGGTGGTTCCACTTGGTCTTCAGTGAGGAGGAAGAGCTTACCTGAAGCACTGGCGGTGGTACAGCTTGCCATCAGCCAGGTAGCGCTGGACCAAGTGGACGTGTTGTTGGCAAGCTGCGCAAGTGCTGCTCAGGGTGGTTCTCTGGGACTGCTCTGCCAGGCCGGCAGCATCCTCATCCTGTGGCAACAGAAAGGTGGCGTAAGAATGCCTCCACAAACAAAGAGATTCAGACATTCTTGGGACTGGCCTCAAGAGGACTCTTGTCTAGCACAGCAGAGCCTCAAACCTGAAGAAAGATCTATTCAGGTACCAGGGTTGCTTACCAATTTAGGGCCCCACCCAGTTCAAAGTATTAAGAAGCAATTTATCCAACATCCGCAGCCCAGATCTCAGCAAGGTGCTCTGGCTCTCAGCCAGTCTTGGAATGAATGGAGCATGATGCTCTTTCCTACGATGACTGCCAAGGAGGAAGAGGGGAATCTTCCAATACCAGTTCAATAATGTAAAATTCTCAACAGCTCATGAGAACTACTAAATCTCTCAACAAGACCCTTGAAAGAGGCACATATATAGCTTCCAGGTTACACTATTATTTTCAGAATAGAAGCCGTATCTTGACTTTCCTTCTTCTTCAGAAATTCAGTTGTTACCTCCAAATGGTTTGCATTATTTGGCTTACTCTCAATTTGCAGATAACTGGTTTGTTTTCTGTATTCAGGAGCGGCCAACCAGAGGTGTACATGCCACATCCACACACCAAATCAATTTTCTATGGACTCTGGTAGTAGCCCCCCCCCCCACCTTCTAATTAAGTTATGGTATCTGTCTGTCTACGTTTTCACTTGTAAAGATGAAAGTTTCTGAGTTTCAGCAGAGAGGCATGCTATACTCTCTTTTGGATTTTGAATGTATTGTTAAGCCTGAGCAAATGTGCTGCACAACTTTGCAGGATCCCTAATTCACTGTCGCCTCCTTCTTTGCGTGCATGTTTCCATTCCCCGGATGATTGCAGGCTTCTGTGTTATTGTTTGACATGATCATGTGGAACTGTTGGCAGTAGAAAGTGTTATACTGAGAAGTCATGGAAGAAGCCAGTACTTTGTCTTCATGCATTATTGCTGACTGGAGAAAGACAGGTGTTTATCATACAGCAACCCTGTCCAGAGGCAAGCTCTGTTTCACAGTCTCTATGTGCAACTGAATCCTAGTTTGAAATGTGCATGACAAGGTTTAACAGGTTTGCTATTTGCCCTGGGCAAAAATGTTGACCCCTGTCACAGGAAAAAAGGTTGTTTACAATAGAATTGTTTTTATCCCAAGGTGAAACAAGATATGTAGGGCTGATATCCTGTAAACACAACAACCACTGATGTGAGCTAAGGGATAGTTATTTAAAAATACTCAATTATGTAAAAAAATAAATAAAAGGCCCTCGGATATCAGGAATAACAGCAACTCTCTACACCAGACCTGCACAATTTACAACCCAAGTATTGTGGCATGCATGGTGCTCAAACACCCCTTTTTTGCAATCCCTGGCAGGTAGCATAAACAGAAGGTTTAGCAAACCCTTACAAGAGAACCTCTAACCCTATAGATATTATTGGACTACAACTGCCACGATCCCTGACCATTGGCCATGCTGCTGGGGCTGCTGGGAGTTGGAAGACTAACAATACCTAAAGGGCCACCCCTGGCTTTGTGGGCTGTTATTAGTGGCACAACGGCTGCATTCAACTTTGTGAGTAACACCTGCTCTATACACTGCATTCCCCTTCCTGAAATATACATATCTCTGTGTCAAGTGCAGAAACAATATAAACGCAGCCGCAGTAACCACAAAAGGAGACCCGTAAATTCTTCAAAGCTGAAGAGGACAGAACGATCAGTCATACTTTTTGAATCGCTCGCTTTTGGAAAGATTCGATTCAGAAACTGGAACCTGAAGCAGGTTAGAGACATCTGACCGATCAGAGGAGCAGGCTCAGTACCTTGGGTGCTGATGTGGTCTCGGAGGCAGGCACAGGTTTGTGTGCTGGCAGAGTAGGTGAGGAGGCAACTGCAGGGTGCTTCATAGGCGGGAGGACTCTGGCTGCAAAGACAGATGGGAACCAATCCATGATGGTGGCTGCTGAGTAAGTAAAAGACAGAAGCCCTCTTCAGGTGCTCACCTGAAAGCATGTGGGCTAAAAGTGGGCAGGGGACAAGTACATGTACCCAAGCACATCTCTGAACACAAACCAGAGGGAAAGTCAGAAAAGGGAGTCTTAATGTGTTTGGGTGAGCGTGCTTAGGCTCCTTGCGATCGAGAACCAGCTAAGGCATGGAGAGGCTCATGGGGAGGATTCTAGGCCTGTTGGGTGAACGCATTTAGAATCTCCAGACTTTCCCTCTCAACATGGGTCTGAAGCAGAGCTGGTAAATGCAGGGACACTGGAGATGGATTTGCATATCCACTCCCACCCCCTTTTAGCCTTCATGCTTTCAGGGCCAGAAGTTGTAGAGAATCACTGCATTTGACAAGGTGGAATTGGCCTACCTGGATTTTCTCACTTCGCTACTGTCTCATAGTTGAAAACACCTAGACAGGGGTGGCAGCACACAGCCTACATGAGTTTCTGTTCTTTCTGGTTGTTGTGGGCAAACTATTCACCCCATTCCTTTATACTTCAAAGCTGCAATGAGCCCTTAAGCTCAACTTTCAGCACAGAGCCCAGAAACATTAAGCAGCATCATTAAACCCATAAGCAGTTCTGGGGATCTGCAAAATTTGGCCAATTAGGAGCAGGCAAGTGTTTGTGCCCTGCCCCACGCCAGTCTCAGGAAGGGTGATGGTGTATTGCTCCCAGTATGGTACTTTGGAATCTACTAACCCACTCACGAAAGGCAAGACTCAGCAGCTGAACTACAACTCCCATCAGCCCCAGTAAGTATGGCCACAGACAAGGGATGATGGGAGTTATAGTTCAACAACATCTGGAGGGCTAAAGGTTCTCCACACCTGCTCTAGGAGAAGGGCATGGATTCATCAAGCTTGGAAAAGTCAGTGCTCACCACTGCAAACAACTTTATGGACTGCAAGCGAGCAAAGATGCCAATATTGTCATGGAGCGGGGGGTGGGGTGGGGTGGAGAGCACAACTCCTCCTCTTTGTCATTCAGATCCCTGGAGGGGTAACTGTAGGAAAATGCCCCGCTTCGGAGCTCTCACCTTGGTTGGGGTTGTTGAAATGGTTGTAATACTGAGAGACGTAGGTCATGATGCTGAGGCAGTCAGGGACCTTCATGGAGACCATGTCACTGGGATCCAGCAGGGCAGGGATCCCCAGCTCTTGCTCAGCCACCTCAAAGGCCTGCAAATGCAACAAAGAGAAGACAATCAGGAAGCGGAAGCTGACTCTGAGAAAGAGACAGGCACACACCACTGGTGGAACAAAATAAGGGCAGAAGTCGCCAAGTAGAAACTTGCAGTACAGAAGGAACTAATAAGGAAGATGACACATATTGGGACCTTGGCCACTCATACCACCTCTTTCCATTGGCATTGCTACCAGTCACAATGACTATGTTTTGCCTCCACTGTCAGATGCAGCATGCCTCTGAATGCCAGGAGATCACAAGTTGTCGGGGATCACAGGTTGGGAGAGTGTTGTTGTGCTCAGGTCTGCTTTCGGGCTTCGCACGGGCATCAGGTGCCAGAAGAGGTGGGCCTTTGGCCTGAACCAGCAGAGCTTTTTTATTGTACACCTCCAAAATTTCAGCAAGGGTCCAATGATCCTTTCCACCATTTTAGTTTAACACCCCCCTCCCCCCCCAAAAAATTATATCTCTCTCTCTCTATATATATATATATTACACACACACACACACACACACACACACACACACACAAATTGGGAAGAAGTTAGTGGCAATAGAAGTGCCCCTGCCAGGGTATGTGAATTTCTCCAGTCATTAGCAATTGCTCAGGGACAGAGAATGAAGCAGAATAGAGATGACGATGCTATATTTGCTTCCAGCATGGCCCATTAGTCAGAATTTGGACTCTGACCAATTCTCAGCTGCACCACAGACTTACTGGGCGACCTTGAGGCTCTCTCCCTCAGTTTGAGAATGTTGGCGCTTATCAAATATAAAGCATAAATCATATTGTGAGGAGTATATTTTATTTATTTGTTTGCTTAAAATTGCTTTCTCCCATTCCGCCCCCCCAGAAATATGTGTTCAAAGTGTTTGCAATCAATATAAAACATAAGACAACACTGAACAAAACACTAGGAAGAGATGCATATTAAACAAATACCAGTCACACAGAAATGGGAGATCTGCCCACCACAGCAGTAGGAACCTAGGAATCTGTTTTATACTGAATCAGACCATAAGTCCCTCTAGCTCAGAATGGTCTATGCTCACAGGCAGTGGCTCTCAAGGATTTCAGTCTCTCCTAGTGCTACCTGGAGATACCAGGGATCAAACTTGAAAACTTCTGCTTGGTTCCATTTGGTCTTGGGCTGGAAATTTAAACACAGTAAGAAAGCCTGGTACCATGACTTTAGTGCCAAGGGAAACATAAAGGCAAAACTTCAATAAAGGCACTCTTGACTAAGTATGCCTGAACATTTGTACGGTACATATGGTTTGCTCTGGCGTTTTCCAGAATGGAACCACAAAGGATTATGTCAGAACCAGCCCATCTCCAGCAGAAGTCTGCAATTACATCAACGCTTGTTTGCCCAGCTGAGATTATTATTTACACTTGCTTGGTATCACTGGCAGGCCACAAAGAGAAATCTAAGCACATTCCTCCACTGTCATGGCAAGTCCATCATGCTGGGCTGCATATTTGGGTCTGCAAGTTTGCTGTGCAAATGTGGAATCTCATATGCTACCCTGGAAATCTGAACTTGATTTCTTTTTTTAAGGAACAGAGTGGCGGGGGGCGGGGAAGAGAGTTTCTAACAAATACAGTCTGGTTGAATAAGGATGGAGCTGTACACTGACCACATTCAGATGGCCATATCTCATCTCAATAAGTCACAGCCTCCTTTGGGAGGAATGGTGGCATATGACATTAATAAATAACAAACAAATAACAAATAAATGAGGAGAGGAGGAGAGTCTTTGGGGCCTTTGCCCCATCCTTCACACAAGCAAGCAAACATAGCAGGAAGTCTTCAATTTACATCTAGTTTCAAACTATGGGTGGTATTGAGCTAAGTTATTGGACCTAACTTAGTTTTCAGCATCAGTCTGTCTAGAGAGACAATGGAGTGTTCCTCCAAGGGTAAAACCAAACTGCTGTGTTAGCAGCACCGAAATGATCTCCCTGGGACACAAACCTGGGCAGTGTGTCTGGAGGTCCTGGACTGCCCAGGCAACAAAACCCCCTCTTGGCCTCGCTGATGTGGTCCAAAGGAAAGCAGAGCAATATGTTTGGTACCAGCTTGGCTGCAGGAGTTGCCAGAAGGAGGTGTAAAAGGCACCATCCAACCGTCTTGGGGACTCCAGATTTGTCTAGGGTTTACTCCTTAGCTTTTTCTCCTCCCAAAGATATCCCACAAAACAGCAGAGGTTTAGGATTAGAGTTTCCCTCTTCCTAGATGGGTTGCCTTCCCAGGTTGCCAAGCCCCTTCTGTCCCTCACCAACTTAGTTAGTAATGTTCATTAAATTCCATGGCTCTACACTGATTAAAACTTAGCCAAAAGGTTTCATAATTCCAGCTTGTTCTGAAGCTATTAACCATAGTTTCCTAGTTCAGACAAAATGGGAAACTACAGCTAACGGTTTGATTGTTTGTACAAGGAAGAAAGGATCCAAGAGTCTGTGTGTGCAGCCAAAAGTCTAATTCGATTTCAGCTTATTAATCTGAGATAAAATCATACAAACTGCCTAAGTGAACACATTCTTCCTTCTTTTCAGTACTGGCTGCTTTCAGTTTCATTTCTGCTCCTTTTCCTATACAAACCAATTCCCCTTGCCAGGCCCATCTCTATCCCAGAAACATTAAGCAGCTCACGATCCAAAACTTTGGTCCACATGCCTTGCACACATCCGTTTAAACTTTACAGAAAACTGAAGGTCCAACACTTTCCAGAAGCAAAAGCTGGTAGTTACTGGACAAGGCAGTTCACATTCATCAGATGAAAAGGGAACATCCTCATTTCTTTATATAGACTGAACATTTGGAATTTGCAAGCGAGTGAATTGCAGAACCTGGGTACTTAGAAGAACACAAAAACAGGAGCACACAAGCTCATCCTGGTGGGCACAGCAGATGATCTTTTGGGTGATTCTATAGTCATTATTAATTAATGACTATTTATATTTATTTATACTTCAATATCTTCACTCGCTGGATATCAACATATTTATATTTAGGTAGGAAGAGATAAGAGGGATAATCCCCTCTGCCAAAATATCTGAGTACCAGCATCGTATTTTCTAGACACCTGGGCAACCAGGCACCTGGGATTTTTTCAAAACCTGCTGTAAGCCAGAATGGCGTCAGAATTAAGTGAAGTAATCAAGAGAGAAGACAGAGGCAGGGACTCACCAAGCGGTTGTTCTCGTATACATTGTCCTTGGAAAGCGAATTAAAGTCCCTGAAAGGAAAATAATAATAATAATAATAAATAAAGGAGGTGTTACAAGAGGAGCAGAAAGCACAGTTCAATCTATACCAGATCACACATGAGATCTGAGAGGCAGCATCTCTGGGTAACCATTAGTATAGAGACACTTCAAAGCACACTTTTCAAACCACAGAATCTTTGTAGTTTAATTGTCCTTGATGTTACAGGCAGGAAAAGAAAGCTTCCGACTACGGCATTTTACAAAACACAAAGGCAGGAAATGCAGGCCGTAGAACCTTGATTTTAGGGCGACCAAAGATAAAAAGTGAGCTTTGGTTCTTATTATTATTTTCAAAAGAAAACCAACACTTCCACTGCTGCTCCACAAAGGCACTGTACAGTTCTACACCAATATTTTCATAGCCAGTACACGTATGACATTTCAGTCTATCCAAATAGGGATATACCATCATGTGGACTGCTTCACACATGACATTTCCCCTAGCAGAGGGCTGCTATACGTCTGGAATTTTCTGGACATATCTGGGATTTGTCCATTGGAAATAGCATCTGGGCACAATTTCCCAAAACCGGTAAAAATGTCAGGGAAAACCCGGGTGTATGGCAACGCATGTCAGAAGTGTTGGGTTTTGGGCAAATTTCCTTTAAAAAACAGCTCAAAAACTTCAATTTTGGGGGGGAGATTTTGGCCAAAACAACAACAAACAAAAAAACCTTTTTTGAAATATGGCAACTCTACCCTAGCATCCTGTAGTTGAAGAAAAACTTTGTGTACAGCAATGACAGCATCATAGGGGAAGGCTGTGGTTTGCCACACTGTGAAGTAAGTTAGTGTTTCCACCTAAAGAGGGTGGGGTGTAAGACCATTACATCCAGAGTCTAAAACTACCCAGTGGCACTTAATTGCTAATGGTGTGGACGCTTGTTCAGCAAAAGAGGTAACATTTGCCAAGATTTCCAGTACCTTTCGCAAAGGAGGAAACTTAACAAGCTAGGGCATGATCTGCAAATGTCTGAGTTGTTGCACATCCACCATAACAGCAACCATGATTGGTTATGATGGCACCATCTGCCCAATGATCTCAGCAATTGTGTGTGTATTTTAAACCTTTAATTAGGCATCTCCACGGACCTGAGATGAAGTCAAAGATCATAGAATTGTAGGGCTGGAAGGGACCCAGAGCGTCATCTAGTCCAACCCCCTGCTGCTTCATGTGCAGGAAAACAAGCACTTTGATTAAGGATGGGGCTAAGCTCCCTTTCTTCACATGGATTCATTTCATCAGTTGCACAAGGATTTTATTTTTAATTTAGTCTGTTCTCCTGCTACCCTATTCAACCCTGCAAAGCATAGAGTTTTAGCACTTACATTCTATGCAACGTCCTGTGTTAATTTATGAATTGTAGACTTAAGGATAACAAAATCTAACTCTGACTGAAATCTTATGAATACTTTCTCAGGAACTCCATATGGCTAACTTCCTGAACAAACATATGTAGGTCTGGTCTATGCATGTCTTTCTTTTCCTGTTATTCATGTTACTTATAAAAACTGCCAAGTAAGAAGAGTTTCAATTTGTGGGCCCTACCTAGCAATGCTCCTCACACAAAACACAGAGAGAACTTTGCCATCTCACTGGCATATTGCTGAGCGAGTGCCCTCAAGAGAAAAAAAGGTGTATTTTTTTAGCCTTATATGCAGGTCCCGGAAATAAGAGGGACCTGAGAGTACAGAAATAGAATTCATTCATGCCATTCCGGCATTAGAGTAAACATTGCTTTTTATGCACCACCCAGTATCATTACTGCATCTGTTTCCGGGATGCCCATTTCAGGCCCCAAAAAGTTTGATCTGCAAATCAGCCTAAGCAAACCTAGCTAGCATGGTATGGGTATTCCCATTACTGAAGTGACCTCAGTGAAGAACCTTCTGGCCACTGACTAACTACTAGATCCTTCAGGGAAAGATGGAGTATAAGGCACTCCTGTTCTGCATGAGGTTTCCTAGAGCAACATAAGCTTGATGAGCAATAGTGAAAGAGGGAGGGAAGAGTGAAGGAAAAGATGCAGCTGAGAGCAGCAGCTCAGAAACACGGTGTGAAATGTGCTAGTTATAACCGGAGTCGAGGAAGTTCACAACTGGATAATCAAAGACATGTGAAGCTGAACATTCATTTTTCTCCAAGAGGACAACACATTTTTTTTCTCATTCGAGCAAGGTTCGTGCATTTCCCAGCAAGGCCTCCTAGCAGTACTGCTTTTAAGCTCATCCATCCAATGGAGACTCAACTGCAGGAACTACTCACTAAGAAAGGATGGGATTTCAGCATAGATACGGCCAGGAGGGGCTCCACTCAATGCTGGAGCAGGTTTAGGCAACGCAGAAGCAAAAGTGGGTCATACGATACTGCAAGCTCCTCTCTCTGTGCAACTAATAATGTTAGAAACCCACTTTGAGAAGTGAGGGGGAGCTGATGGGCCTTAATCCCTATCCCGTACCACAGATGCTGATTTCTCTATATCCATCATGTCCCCAGGTTGGCAGCACAGAGCGCCAGGCAGCGCCTCTCAGGAGCCAGGTTTGTCCCAGGGCCTCTAGCTGCTAACTCTAAAGCAGCAGGGATTTCTCTTTGTGATGTATTTATTTGTTAATCTCAATATGAAACACCTCCTCTGTCATCATCTCACATGCAAAAAAATAAAGCATGGGAATGATATGCAGCCAGGACACAACATTGACTAGCTGCTCGTATATAAAAGGTGACTTAATGCTTGGCGTGTACAGAGGCACCACAGCCCAGAGAAAACTTCACTGAGCCCAAGGATGGTATTAATACTGATATAGGAGAGAGAGAGCTCATTGATCAAATTGAACCAACATGCAACTCACTGGCCCGGGGTTTGAAAAGCTGTGTCTGATCCCAGGCTCCTTTGGTTCATTGTGTAGTCAGAAAAAGGAGCAACTACCCTGAAAACAAAAGGGCAAGGCTTATTCCAGGTGCGAGTGAATGACAAGGAACGTATGGGTTGCCACACATCACCTTCACTGAATGGCCACAATGAACAGAGAGAGGGTGGAGGGTGGAACGGGTCTATCATCCTCTTCCTCAACCCATATCTAGTTCACCACCAGTGATGTATACGAAGACAGTTTCAGTGCCCCCTACAAATAGTGCTGTGTGTATTCCACACTGGTACGCAGGAAAGGGGAAAATAACATAATTCAGCTTCTTTGGTGCCTATACTTTAAAAAAATCAAGTTCCTTGTCCATAAGATTGTGAAGACATGCTTAAAAGCATGTTGACAACCCTTGGCGAAATCTCAGGTCAAAATGACTGCAGGATTTCGCATGGCCAATAGGCAGGACATTCCTCCCCTTTAACTAGTGCAAGCTGAATAAGTCAGTAAACATACAGACTAAATTACGCAAAATAAGAATTTAAAAGTATTCTATTCAAGTCAGAGAAATCTTTCCTTAGTGGAGTTTGGATTTATTTAGTGGTAGTGCAGCTGGGATAGCTCAGTCAGTAGAGAATGAGGCTCCTAATCTCAGGGTTGTGGGTTCAAGCTCCACTTTGGGCAAAAGATTGCGGCGCTGAATGGGGGTTGAGCTAGATGATCCTCACCGTCCCTTCCAACTCAACAATTCTATTACTTTTTACCACACAAAGCCCTGATCATATGGTCTGTGTAAGCTGTGGCAATGATTAATAGCACAGCTGCATGTGAGCATTCAGGGCTTTTATAGAATTCACTGTGGTCTAAGCAGATTCTTTGAGTTCTCCAAGGCCTCAGCTGAAACAGCCAGTCCATGTGGAGGACCTTGCAACCACAGCCAGAACCCATTAATATGAAGGGAAGGAGAGAGGGTCTGCTTTTGATCTGTTTGAGTGGTTCTTTCCACTCTTAGATCCCCTGCTTCCAAATCAAGGCATACTAAAGTGGTTAAAATGATTCAACACTCCCCTTAGATGCTGCTTCGAAAATCCTTTCTTAACGTGCCATGTCCTTGTAAGGTCCTATGTGTCAAGTCTGCAGTATAGTTCACTAAACTGAGAAGTGCTTAGTTAGACCATCTGCTAGAAAAGAGATTTATGTCCTGGATATTTAGCAGCAATGACTTCTGCTTAATGGGATAGAAAAGCTGTTTGGAGAAGTTTGCCACTGCTGAATGTAGCTCTTCTGACCCACTTGTTCAGATGCTGTGCTTAGGCCACATGCTCTTTAAACAGCTGCTTTTTGGACCCTTAACAGCTGCCACACACATCTAAAAAGTGTATGAATTGTTCACTGTTCTCATGCCTGTCTGTCATCGCACATCAATGTCACACAGCACTCCATGGAGACCCTTGGCAAGAACTTCTCCACCTGTGAAGATAGAACAATGTCCTAGCAACAAAACCTTGTTTGCTACAGGTTGTGGGTTTACTCTCTCGCATGTGGTGTGGACCTGTGCTAAACCGAAGCTGATTTAATTAGCAGCTAACCTTCTGTGTCTACACTGAAAACATCTCAGAATTAGAGTAGAAATCACCAAGATAATGTGTTAGCAAAATTCAGTCTCCATTCTGAAGAGTAGCAAATGTTCTCATAAAAAAGGGCCAATCATGATGATGATAATAGAACACACATATAAGAAGGGAATATTTATTTTAACAATTACATTCTGCTTTTCTTCTGTTATGGAATCCAATGCAGGGTACATAAGGTGCCCAGATGGTCACCTATCCAGGCAATTGCCCAGACTTTCTTAGACTTCAGCAAGTCTCATGCACTTTCAGGTCGCACCTTTACACCATTTACATACATTACCACAATAAATAATCCTTATGGCTTTGTAAGGTAGGCCAGTATTCTTGATTCCATATAGCAGAGAGGGAAGGGTCTGAAGCTGAGAGACTACTGGCTTGAGTAAGGCCGCCTTGCAAGAAAATCAAAACCAGAGACTTCACGTGTTTCTAGAAAATCTCCCCCAGCAATCTGTTTCCTGCAGAAGTCAGCAAAATGCGCTAGGAACCTTTGAGGCAGAGCATGATGAAAACAAACCTACTGTCCATTACTGTTACCATCAGTAGCCCTGGTCTGCCACCAAAGGAGGTGTGGCTAACAGTAAAAAGACTCTGGTAACTAAATTGCTGAATTCTCTCTCCCAAAAGTTCAGTTGGCCCTTTTGTTCATAGTTTCCCGGTTGACAGACAAGACTTCTTTAAAAATAATGATGGTCAAGTTTTTAATGAGTTTTAACTGTATGTTAAATTTGTTTTTATAACATTTTTACTATTTTCAATTTCTATCGTATCTAGACTGTGTTTTTGTTTGTCCCAAACTACCATAAGGGTCCTAATTCAAGATTTTTTTTAAAAAATGCCATCCTCTGTCTGCAGCAGGGCCCTCTAGATACAGTACTGTTGGACTCCAGCTCCCTCAGCCCCAGGCAGCATGGCCAATGGTCAGGGATTATGGGGTCCAGCAACATCTGGAAGGTCATGTTTCCCAGTTCTCACCTACATGGTTATTTGAAATACTAGTTAATTTTTAAATTTTTTATTTTAAATTAAAACCTTTGCCAAGTAAGAACTGCATTTGAACACTCTCAAAGCTCTACATAAGGAAGTTTCCTGTTGAAATGGCACCAATTTTTCTCCCCAAGCACTTAATCAGATCATAAGGAAGCAGCAACCAGATGCAACCGTCCATTGTAATACAAGCACAGAAGTCACTGAAGGACACAAACTAGGTCACATTCATCAATCTCTTGCTTTTGTCTATGGATGTTATTCTCCGGTGCTGCAATTCACAAGTCATGTTTATATATAGTAATATGGAAGGAAGCAGCACATTGTCTGAGACAATGCAGGAAGCTTTCAAAATGAGATTAGAAGGTGAAGTATTAATTACTACACTAAATGGCAACGATAATACTGAATTGTCAGGAGAAGTTGGCACTATCACATATTAAAGGCAACCTGTCTCTCTTTCTAGAAAAAGGCTCAACCAGTTTGCAACAACCAGGTGTGTGATAAAGAAACTCCAGAGTGTACTGGGTTAGATAAGGAAGCTGAACCCATCAAAGGTTGCACATGAATCTTGGCATTCAGATTTTAAGACGGCACCACCAGCACCCCAATAATCAGATGCCTCTCTTTTGGCTGGAAAGTTCCTCTATGATTTCAGAGCAGCTATACCAATGGCAGTCTGAGGCCACCACTCCCATCAGAGCAGCCCAAGCAAAGAGGAGCCCCATTATCAGGTTTAATCTGCTCCCTCCAAGTCCTCTTTGATAAGGATGTTTTCAACCGCCTAACTAGACCCCAGACTTCAGAAAAACAGTCTACAACCTCTCTTCCTTGATATGGGTTGAGGACTTTGTCTGGTATTCCCTTATATATGGGCCTAGTTTGCACGTAAAACTAAGCCAAACTATGGCTTAGCATGAATGATCAATACGCAAGTCCCTCCCAGCCTAACTGCAGCCATAGTGCTCCTCTCCCAGCCCTACTGCACTACCCATAGTTAAGTCATGGTTTGGCTTAAGTGTCCCATCCAGACTCAGGCTTATGGTTTGTCTCCTGCTCTCAAAAAAGTGATAAACCAAAAAAAGACTTTGGTTACAACGCACGGTGCCTCTGCAGCAAGACCGAACCACAAGACCGGGTTCAAGCATAATACCATGGCTTTGCTCGCTATAGTACAGCAGTTGTGGCTATGATCTTTGGTCTAGGAACTTATACATCTGCTTGTTCTGGCTAAACCATGGTTACACAAAACCTGGGTCATGAGATCACCTTTAGGCAGATTAATTACTCCCACGTTTTAACTACCCTAATCTCTATATACAACAATGGGTGATCAAAGAAGGATTAAAAGGGCGGACTCTCCTTCCAGCCTTTTCTAGGCTCTCATTTTTGAGGCGAGGCCCTAATTTGTACTGGCAACCGTAATGAGCAAAGGACAGAAGTCACTCAGGATCAATTAATATGGAGCAGAAGGTGTGCACTTGGTGCATGTTTCCGTTGACAAGAAGGCTTCCCCTCCTACCTGCCAGGTGTGGCAACCTGGGCTCCCTCTCCTCTTTCCTAAGGAGTCTAAATCCCACTCGAGGGCTACCCCACATCTACCCCATGGCCAGGGCGCTTCCTTCAATCCTTCCTTCTCTACGGCTTGTTCCGCCCCTGCCCCCTTTTCAAATCTCCATTCCGCAGCGGCAGAAGAGTCACTCCCCGGGCCGGCTGCTTGCCCAGGCGAGAGCGCGGCTGCTGGGCCTAGTCCCGGAGGGGGGCGCGGTGAAGTGGGGTCGGGGTGTGAGGCGCTCGCCCGGTACTCACAGCAAATCAGGCCGGTTCCTATGGAGGATGGCGCAAAAGGCCAGGCCGTCCCGGAAGGAGCTGCTGAGGTCTCGGATCTCCACGCCCGGGTAGCCCTCGCACTGGCGGCGGCACCAGGCCTGCAAGGCGCTGCGGGGCCCCGACATCGGGGCGGGCGACGAGCCGAGCAGCGGGGCGCGGGTCCAGGCTCAGGGAGCCGCCGCCGCCGCCGCCCTGGCCCGGCCGAGGGACATGGATGGGGCGGAGAGGCAGCCGCGCCAGGCTGGCTGGGCGCGCCTTGGTTGGATGCGGGCGGCTCCTGCGCGGCTCGAGGCGGGTCTGTGCCTTCCAGCCCGGCGCGGCTCCTTTGCCCCGTGCTTGGGCGGGGAGGCTGAGCTCCGGGGCCCGCGCTCAGGTTCCCTCTGCCGGCTCCCGGCTCGCCTCCTACCCCCGGGGGGCGCCTCCTTCCTCTCTCGCCCAGCCACACCGCCGGGCTCTGCTCAGACCTGTCTCTGCCGCCGCCGCCGCCGCTGCTTCTCCGCCCATGATGATGATCCCCGCGCCGACCCCACCGGAGCGGTTACTCATGGAGCGGCCCCGGGAGAGAAGCCCGTCTGGCGGGCGAAGGGAGGTGCGGCGCGGCCGCCGGGCTGGAGAGGAGCAGGAGGGCATGCCTCGCTCCCCGGCAGCCGAGAGGGGACGGACTCCGGCCGCGGAGCGCGCTGGCTGGAGATGCGGCAGTTTATTTTTAGGAACACCAAATGGAGCTTCCATGGGCAGAGGCAGCGGGCCGCTCAGCGCCAGCTGCATCCGCGGGAAACGGGTCTGTGAGCTTCCCGGAAGCACCGAAGTGGCTTCTGTGGAAAGCGGGATATTTGGTCTAGAGATCAAGGGGGGGGGGGGGACTTTGGTCCACCAGGTGTTGCTGTACTACAACTCCCAGCACTTACACCCCGACCATCGGCCTCTGTTGGCTCGGGCTGGTGGGAGTTTTGAGTCCCTTAGTTGCTTCAGGTTCCCCACTTCCGGGGCTAGATGGGTTTTTGGTCTGCTCCATCAGGGCTCTTCATGACATGACACTGGGCTGGAGGAGACCAGGCATGCAAGCGTTTGGTGCTGAAGCATTGGTAGTTGTGGCAGGGAAGGCTTGAGCGCTGGAGAGTTCAACGGTGCTCCTGGGAATGCCAGACCAAACTCAAATCTGTAATATCACGTCCCAGACACAGACTGAGTCCTGTGGGCTAAGCTGATTTTCTGTAAAATGATGACTGCCTAAGGCCATACATAGGTTACCTGTTACTGAAATGCCCCCAAATAAGAGTATTAGACCCTTTAATCTATACATTAAGCTGAAATAATACTAAATCCTGCCCCCTTTTTCCTTACAGTCACTAGGGTAAGGTTACCAGATTTTTTTCAGTGAATCCAGGGACACTTTTCAACTTCAATGGATTTTGTATGGGGACTGATTTGTACATCTGGGGACTGTCCCCAGGAAACAGGGACGTCTGGTAACCTTACACTAGGGGGAAATGTGCAGGTATATGTATCTACTATTCACAGCTCTAGGGTTCTGGGCAACCAGTGCAGATGTTTTGGGAAAAATCCAGCCTAGATAGTTGCACCTAATTCCCTTTGCAATCAGTGGGATTTAAGCAGGTCATCATAACTATTTTTTCACATGGATTCTCATGGGACATAAGGGCAACTAGTTCAGTTAGGCTGGATCCAACTCAAAGACTTGTAAGCATATTGGACCACTTAATTTCAGGTTGTCATTTCACATTAATTTACAACACAGATACTACCTGCCTGGTACATATTATCAGAAGATGGTTTCTGGATGCAGAGATCTCTCAGAAATATTTGGGGCTAAAAAAGCCATCAGTGTGTGTCAGAAGAAGAAAGTAAGTTAAACCATTGTCTCTTGCTTCCCTTGGGCAGATAGTGCTAAGAATGGTTGCAGAGAGACAACATCAGAGAGAGAGAGAGAGAGAGAGAGAGAGAGAGAGAGAGAGAGGAGCTGTGCCCTGGAGGCACCCAGTGAGTTGCAAGATGCATGCCTCTGGAGTGCCTGTGCCCCCAGATATGTTCTACCTGTATAATGGTAAATAAGCAAAATATTGCAGAAACACAGTTTCCAGTTCTCCACTCACACGCACCCCCCAAATGAAACCAAATTCTGGCAGTGCTGCTTTTTGAACTACTCACAGTTCAGGGAAGTGAGGAGCATGTGACATTATCTAAAGTGTTTCTGAGAATCGCCTGGCCTCTAGAGCCGAGCTAAATCAGAGTGAGCATTACTGCAGAAAAAAGGTACAAGTGTGAAGGAAGAAAAGGAGTCACAAGTGCCATGTGTGAAGCCTTTGGCCACTTTCAGACTCTGGTTATTTTGCAGGAGGGATTCAAGTACAAGCTGGAAATTTAGGTCTGTGTAATTTAAGTAGCTTAAAGTGCTCTGTTGCCCTTGCACAACAAATTCACTTTAAAAAAGAAACAACAGACTTCTTGTGGTTAGGGAAGTGTGCCCTTTGTGGTCTGCATGCAGTCTACGGCTGCCCAGTGCATGATATGTCTGCACAATGCTATACCAACCTGTGGGGCATGTCTTTGCAAACTGCACTGAAGAGCCAAGCTGGTCTGTACCAGCCCAACCAGCCTGGCAACCATAGCATGAGCTTTCCAGCCACCAATGGGGAAAGGGGCAGCTGTAGTAGTGCAATACGACTCCATTCCACTCTTACCTGGTAATCCAGTTTTTCATTGAAATAGTCAAGTCAGCATTCCACAACTTGGTCCTCAATGTGCTCTTTTTGTCGTCGTCCCCTTTTGTCTTTTTAAAATCTGCAAACCTTGGGGTTTTCCCCAACCTCCAGCAAGTGTATGTGTGGTGCCGTTGTCTATTTTGTCTACATAAGCCAAGAATGGGGAACCTCTGGCCTGGGAGCCAAAGGAAGACTTCCAATGCTCTCTCTGCCACTTGGAACTCCCTTCAGGCCACACCCATCACTGATCTTGCTTCAGAGGATAGAATGAATATCTGATCCAGTTTCTCAGGGAAGCCTCTAATAGAGAAGGCAAGGGAGTGGGGACCCATTCATTGTTTCTTATAGTAGTTGGTTGTCCCCAAAACGATGCAGCAAATAAACTTCTTGATGGCTCAGGCTAAAGTTTTCAAAATTCTAACTCCAACCCTCCCATTAACACTCAATACAGTTGCCTCACTAGAACATGCAGTGTTTGTGCTGCCTGTTTTTTTATCATTTGAATGCATCTGAAAGACAGAAATTTAGCATCGAAAGGAAGGCCGTATTTAGCATATATTGCTTCTTGTTTGTTTGGCTTTGGATCCCCCGATGAAAAACCAGGACTCTTCTAAAACTGTATAAATCTACAGAAATCACATACATTATGGCATTAGTGAGTTCCAGCTGGCATATTTCAAAACGTCGTTGCCCATCCTCTCTGGGAATGAAAGAGAAGCAGAGTTTGGTCCCACGCTGTGACACTAATGAATGTGCATATTGTTACATGTTCCCCGCTGCCAAGCGTTGAGAAGTTCCAAGGACAGCACTACAGAATTAGTTTCTTTTGAATGAGAGAGCACAGGACTATTGTGGCAATTTTTTGGGTAATATTTGCTTTTAAAACCGATAGGCAAGCCACTATCCACAGATAGTGGAGGTGAGAGCTACATAGTGGAGGTGAACTCTACAAAAGGTGCAACTGTACACCAAGGATGCTTCAGCCAAATCAACACACCCTCTGCCTCTGAAATTCATACTGCAGAACTGGCTCTAAACCATTTCACCTTCTCAGTATCTGCTGGGAGTATTCCATTCCAAGGGCTGGAGAGGGAGACCCAGCTATTAAGGAGCATTAGCATTCTTGTGATAAGTCACTAGCCATTCATTCAGAATTATCAAAACCAGGCATAAACTCAACAACATTGTGTAACCCTCTGGGGGGCTAAGGTTCTCCACACTGAATTAAGCTAAGGAATATGTGATTGAAAGAACCACATATTCATCTGTTGCTTGCTCATTTCCTCCCAATACTTTCCTTAGTTACCCTGCATCTATTTTAGATTGTAAGCCTTTTGGGGCAGAAACCTGTCATACATGGTTCTTTTTAAAAGCACCATATGTATTGTTAGGTAAAATGATGATGATGTGGTGAGAAAGGAATAATTAAAAACAGTAACAATAAGTTTGATATTCTGCTTGACGGTAATAAAACCTCAATAACATAATGTTGGATCAGTTGTTTGGGAAAGCAAACACGGCTAGTCCAAGTCGTCTCCCAAGAAACCCATGCAAAAACTGGTCAGACCAGGGGAACTGGAATGAGGAGCTAAGCAAGGTAGGTGTGGAAGGGTGTGTCCTGCCTCCAGGCAGAGCCGTGACTTCACCTTTACAGGTACACAAGAGGATTTGGGGCTCTTAACAGCCAGTCACCTGGCAGCAGTGCCCTGAACCAGCCATGCTGCAAGGAGCTATGGAAAACAGCAGCATTTTCAGACCAGCGGATACAATGAGTTCTTTGTGGTCTCCAAAGCCGAAAGGGCAGGAGTAGGCGAGCAGAAAGGCTGGAGGCCAAGCAATTCGGAATATGACATGCTTCTTCCAGAGATAGCTGCAGATGTTATGGCCTTAAGCTAAGCCAGAAAAGATCCCCTTTGCTGCACTCAGACTGCCCCCTTCACATGTTTTCAAACAGTTTTGTGGCTTCCTTGATCCAGGTAACGAGGTTTACATGTCTCAAACTCTTCACAGAGGGTCCTTTCTTCTCGTTCTCTATGCTGCTCTTAACCTGAGAACAGAACACTCCTGAGGAGAACTTAAGAACATAAGATGATCTGTGGAATTTAAGAATGGATTACCTTAAAAGCAAATGTATTAATTTTTTTTCATTTGACTGCAAGCAAGAGGAGAGCGAGCTTCTTTGCTGTTGGCTCTTTTTTCTTGAGTTGGATTCCTGTGAGGGATTAAAACTGAGAGAAACAGCGCTTTAGTTGAGAGTCCTGCATGGCAGGGGGTTGGACTAGATGACCCTCAGGGGTCCCTTCCAACTTCAGAAGTTAAGAAGTGATTGCTGAAAGCAAAGCGGGCCTACGGTGTTTAGCTACTTATTACTGAGACTGTTGGGAGGAGAACTGTTAAGTTTTCCTGTGTTACAGAGGCCAGACTAACCTCACGGGTCCCATGTTGTGAAAACCTTCTTCCAGCAGAGATTCGATAGGCATCCTCACTTGTGACTTTCAAGCATCTCTTGAACACTTTTTAATGCCAACGGGTCTATGCAGAATTTTAAAACTGATTGTTTTGTATTGTTTTTAAGGGTGTGTTACATCTTAAGTATTGCTGTACACCTGTTGTTGTATATCGCCTGGATAAATAAACCACAATGCTAAATGTGCAACAAATAAATAAATTACCGTATTTTTTGCTCTATAAGACTCACTTTTTTCCTCCTAAAAAGTAAGGGGAAATGTGTGTGCGTCTTATGGAGTGAATGCAGGCTGCGCAGCTATCCCAGAAGCCAGAACAGCAAGAGGGATTGCTGCTTTCACTGTGCAGCGATCCCTCTTGCTGTTCTGGCTTCTGAGATTCAGAATATTTTTTTTTTTGTTTTCCTCCTCCAAAAACTAGGTGCGTCTTTTGGTCTGGTGCGTCTTATAGAGCGAAAAATACGGTAACTGCATACAGCGTGTCTTGTTCAGACAAGAGTTGCTTCGGTATGTGCATGCAATTTTAGCATGCCAGGGATCAGATGTCTGAACAGGCACCATGCTAGCATGTTAATACCGGACGCAGAGTTGGCCAATGGCCCCATTTAAAATATGAAGCCAGGAGCAGTATGGCATGGTGTGGAGATAAGTGCTTCTTCCTGACCTAGTAGCATGGTTGCTGTGCAGCACCTCCTCGTCCCCCCGCCCCCCTTTGCGTCACCTCTTGCTGACATGAGAGGTCTTGAAGAGCTTGTCACTATTTAGTCATACTTTGGTTGATTGATTTTGGAGAGCTTTTTTAAATGGACTAACACCTTTGCTTTTTAAGCCTCACTCCAAAATCTCATGAATGATAACTTTCTTTTCTGATCTGACAAGTGTTTTACCTACCCAACGGCTACCAACTTTCAGAATCTATCACAGCAGCTGAGCCTGGAGAGGAGAACCAACAACAATGTTGCTCCACAAAGGCTTCACCAGCGTTTCAACAATTGGACTCTGTTGATGTGGCTGCGTGCTCCAAATTCCTTTTGCCTTCTGTCGGTGCCAGGCACAGACTCTTGACGGAGCCCAGCCTTCCTCTCGCAGCAAAGAGCAACTGGCCTGATTTCTTTCCAGGAGGTCAACTGTGGTGAGTGGAGTGAATCTCTCCTAACCTTTAGAGGCTTGTGGGGGGATCACAGTGGCTTAAGTGTGCAACGCATTACATAAGCCATTCCCTACTAAATTCCTGGGAATGCGTAACAGGTGCAAGATGCACAAGTTCCATATTTAAGCCCCAAGCAAAGGCTGCTTTGTGTGCTGTACTCTTTTTATCACACATGTTGAAAATGCAACACGTAGAAATAAGGATCATTTGGAAAGGAACTGAAAAACTGCCAATAAACTGCATTATAAAAATCTATGGTGCAACTGCTCTTGGAATATTGGGTAGAGTTCTGGTCGCCTCACCTCAAAAAGAAAAAGGAAATTCACACCCACCAGAGGTTGTGATTGCCACTTCAATGGCATTAGAAAACCGCTCCACTTCCCAGTGGGGAGGAGTTGCGGTGGACCGTGTGGTCACCCACTCCCCACCAAGGGCAGGGGACTTTGTCCCCCATTGCCTGGGGGATCCCGGCCGCGTCACAGCCTGGCCAGCCAATCCACTGGCCGGGGGGGGGGCAGGGCCGGGGCCGTTTAAACCGAGGAGCGAGCCGGAGGACTTCCTCTTGGCTCGCTTCCTCAATCACCCGCCCTCCCTCCCTATTTGCAGGTTAGGCACTGGCCTTGCTATGGACTTCGGTTGGTCACCTTGGTTGTCCGAGGGGCCTGGTAGGAATTTTTCCACTTGGCAAATTGGCACTGGCCACTTGGTTTTCGCCTACCTTTTAGCAATCGTCACAACTTTGTTAGGGTTGCGGTTAGGCATTGTTTGACCTTGTGTGGGGGAGGGGAGGTGTGGCCATCACCTGCCCCTCCATGCTTAAGGGTATTCTGTTAAAGGAATCCGGGGGTGTTGATCTTGTCCGAAGCCCGGTTGGGGGCTAGGGCCTTGACACAACCCCGGTGGGAACACCAGGGGGAGCTTGAGTTGGCTTGCATCGACAGGGCTCCCCCTACTGGTGGTTTACCCTTACTGGACTTCCTGCATACCGAGCAGGAGTCAGATATAGTCGGGTCCAATCAATGCCTAAGCCAATACCGTTCACATTCTGTAATTCAATAAAGTTGTGGCCAAATTTGCCCAACAACGTAAACCTAATATCTGTGTCCTTGTGTGAGTTATTTTCCAATGAGGGGGTGGCTGCGGGGTCTCGATACGCAAGAGGATTAGACAAATTCATGGAGGATGGGCTATCAATAGCTACATTCTCCCTCTATTGTCACAAACAGTATGTCTCTGAATGCATTGCTGGGAATCACAGGTGAGGAGGGTGCTGTTCTGCTCAGGTTCAGATTGCAGAATTCCCATGGGCATCGGGCTGGCTACTGTGAGAACAAGATGCAGGACTAGACAGGCCTTCGGCCTGATCCAGCAGGGCTCTTCTGATGCATGATGGATAGGGGGTATGTCACAATAGGCTGCAACTCTTTGTAGCATGCAAGTCTCCCAGAACAAATATTTCTGCCTCTTTTGTCTCACATGGCTCTAGCCATTCTGAAATGGTTAATATATGTGTATGTAGTCCTATTCCCTCTGCCATCATGAGGCTATGTGCATGACTACAGCCAACTGTTACATTGGCCTTTCTCTTTTTCTTTGGAAAGCTCATTATGACAAAGTTGGAGAACCAGTTTGTTAACGGTCCTGCAAACTACATAAGCTTCTGACACCCATTCATATAAACAGATCTTCCCAGACTAATGAACAGGACCTTCAGTCAAGAGTCATCATACATTGCAAATACGTACCGTACATCAACCACCCATTAATACCATTTAAGCTTATGCAGAACAGTAGAAGGTTTACGTATTCTCTGACTGTACAAATAGTTGCTGCATGCATTCCAAATAAATATCACCCAGCAGCAAGAAGCAGTTATATGAAATGTGTTCAGCAAAGTTGCGAAATACAGTGTTTGCAGGACTCTGGTTTTATATGGATCTGATATCTCCCTCCATTTTGGAGGTGAGCAGACAGTACAAGGAAACTCTCACCAGGAGGCAGAAACTGGGGACTGACAACTGTGTTCTGTCCAAAACTGCTTTCAAAGCCTTCAAGCATCACCCATTCATTACCAAGCCTTATTCCGCAGCCAGGAATGAAAAACGTTTAAGAAAAAGGAACAGAGAGCAGATGCAGGTTCTTTGGATGCCAAATTGTGAGAAAGATCCAATTTTGCTCTTCTGTGGCAAACCTCTGAAGTGAGAGAGACACACATAGGCCTACTTATAGTTCTCTCAAGCAAATCCTTGGGAGGCTGCAGCATATGCATTAACAGAGCTCATTATAAGACGCCTCTTACAGGATGCAAACAAGGTTTCCAACAGGTGCTAACCTCACACTGAGAGGATGGATGAAAGCTATTTGCAGTCAGTTTCACATACTTGCTCCTGCTGGGGAAATTAGGAAGGAGTCTAACTTGAACAATGTGCTCATGGTTCTTTCAGCACATTGTTCCATCACTGCAATAAGCTTTACCCAACACCTGTTGCCCTCACTTACACTCTGAAAGCTATCCTGGCATCGGATTCAAATATAAATAAGATAGATTTGTGCTTTGTGCAGCTTGATCCTGTGCATGAGTACTCTGAAATCAACCCCAATGAGTTCAATGGGAGTTACTGCCACGTATGCATGGACAGGACCCCAGCCGCAGGTTCTTTTATTTTATACAAAGGGAAACTGAAAGGCCCATTCAGACCTTCATTGCTATATTTTCTGCTGTAAAAGACTTCTTTAAAGAAGGACCAGTAAAAACTGTCAGTTTCAGCATGAACTATACAACACAAGGAAGTCTGAAAACCTTTTGATATTGTAGAACTCATAACAATCCCCTGTTACAGTGGTTAGCGTATGTTTACCAAAAGGACACCTAGTGATAGTAACACCCCTGAAAGGTAAGCAGTGAATAGCTTGAGATCGGGATAATACTCTCTAGCAAATTGGATTGAACTCACATGACAGTCTAGAAATGCCTAGGAGAGATATAGCCAAGCCCTTTCTTTCTTTTAACGGTATACAGCATGTCAAGTCTCCTTCCTATGTTAGGAAACAAAGCAACAGGGGAAAGGGCAGGTGCAAGCTTTTCATTGTAGGTTGTTTCTTAAAATAAAGAAAGAAAAAAGGACAGCATCTACGGATCACTTTTCAAAGTAGTGGACGGCTGTCTTAGTGTCCTCATGTGTGCTCTGTCTGTCAGCTATCCCTACACACCTCTCACTCACAGAGTGGAAGTGGGTGCTCTCCACAGGCTTAGTTAAGATATCAAAAGAAGCTACAAAATTGGCCACCTCCCCCTGAAGGGACAAATGAACTAGAACTCCAGAGACACAAGAGATATTTCACTCATTTAATTAGATTTCTTAGTCCTTTTATATGAGCTCAGCTGTCTGCTATCCAAGTAAAAACTGCAGAGCCCTACAGAAAATTCCAAAATTCTTAGCTCATTCTCTCTCCCCGCCCCCCGCTTGCCCACTTAACAGAAAGAACCAGGCGGTTGATGACGAGTTCAAGACAACTTTCAAGGTCTTTGGCCCATCTTTTTCAGAGTGCGATTCAGCTGAAAGAGACAGACATCTAATTACAAGGGAATTTTCGGGGGCAGGGTAGAAAACACACACACACACACACACACACACACACACACAAATGGTACTATCCGAATTATGCATTTTTCACTCAAGGATTTGGGCACCATGCAAGAATGCCAAGTGTAGACATGGGGGAAATTAAACCACTTAGACCCTACCAAGATTTGAGGTCAGAACACAGAAGAGTTGAACATCAAATAGAAGTTTGCATAACTACGTAAGTTGCAAAGGATTGCAAGGATATTGAGTAATTTAGTATTTAGTAACAGGCAGCAAAAGACTCCCCTAAGCTAACTTGTGGCCCTCCAGTGCTGTTGGACTTTTAATTCCCATCAGCCCGAGCCGACAGACAGGGATAATCAGAGCTTTAATCCAAAAATTTGGAGGGCCACAGGCTCCCCACCCCTACCCATATGCCCAGTCTTAAATAAAATCATGCCCTGTCCATGTTCTTGCAGTTGGGAAGCAGCCAGCCAGACTGAAGTAGGCTGCATAAAACCTGTACCCATGGCTCCAGAATCTTCCTTCAATGTATTTTTGCTTTCTTGGACTGCATTTTAGAATGCCGAATACCACTCTACTACTATCTCTGCCTCTCCGACATTCTGTGCTACATATTCCCAGTTCTTTCCCTAACCCCTAACCTAGCAATCTTAAAAAATTCAACCCTTAACTTACTGCTCACCTGCAAATCTTGTATTTATCCTTATTCTTACATCTTTAAGTCATGCACAGTACAGCAGATGATGCCCATCTGTTACCAAGAAGGGCACTCTTCCACCTGTGGTGCTGTGCTCAGTGCTTTTGGTTAACCCAGCTCAAAGTGGCACTCTCCATGAGTCAAAACAACACAATGGCTATTTCCCCTTCATAGAGCTTTCATTCCCTCGGGTGGGACTTCTGGTGATGCAGTGCCCTCTGTGGGAGAGCTGGAACAACTACACTATGTCCCCCCTTGAAAGCAGCAGGAGACAGAAGAGGGTAGGTAACATTGGGAGAACTCCTTCCACTCACAGATAGATGGCACTACTGCCATCTATGTTTTCATTTCTGGCATTCATGTCAATGCTGTTTAGATTTCACTCTCTCCTGTACAGAGACAGACACACAGACACAGCTCTTCCTCAAACCCTGGCTGAAAGCGTGCAGATAGGTCACCCCATCAAATTTTGCAAATCGTAACGATATTTCGCCTGCTCATTCAGCAAGTAGCTTACCTCTTCAAACTTATGGATCTGGCGGATGAAGAAATCCCCATAGCGGCGAGCAACCTTTGTGTCTGCGATGTGGATCATGTCCTGCCAGGAGATAGGCAACAGTAAGGAACAGCCCAGGGGTGATAACAGGCAACAGCTCTGTATGAAGTTCACTTAGCCTGGAACTAGGGATATTTTTTCAGATAGGCTCCTTCCTTACTGAAGGAGTGAGGCCAACATTAACGTCTTCTTGGTGCCAGGTAAGATCTACATCTTTTCCCAGGCATTTGAAATAATCTGATTACTTGGCTATCTTGGTCCTTAAGCACTGTGATGTTTATTTTTTATTCCAAGTGGCTATCAATGATTTGTTTCTAAATATGTGTGTGTGTGTGTATTCATTCCCCACTTTCTGCAAGTTGCCTACAGACTGTTTTATGATGCCTTTTTTTCTTTATAATACTACTCCATACTTATAAAGAAAAAAAGGATAAGCCTGTCAGGTAGTAAAGTCAGGGTGCTTCAACCAATGCTCTATCCGTTGAAGACTATCCTTGTATTCACCCCTCTCTCTAGGAAACTTTATATATGCATGCAACTTCATCCACGCAGATGAAAATGGGAACTGATTTGATGATGATGTATATCAGGTATCAGGATATAGCCCTCCAGATGTTCATGGGAGCTGGAAGTTGAACAACATCTGGAGAGCCATGGGGTTCCCATCCCTGGTGTATAATCACTAATGTATATGCCTTTCATCTGATGTATTTGCAGAAGATGAACTGATGGAGAAAACTGGGTGAGTAAGGGTAGTTGATTTCTAAAGGTGGGAGTGAATGGAACTCTTTGGGACAAGATTCATAGCTTTGTCCCTTTTAGAATGAAATGGGGGAGCGCTGATAGTACTGGGAAACAAAGTACCTCCTATGGTAGGTGGCACTATGAATTTTTAAAAAGCATGCATCTATTCTTGGGAGAGCCTCTAACCTCTGCCTTTCCTGGCTTAAATCTCATTTCCACTCCAGGAACTCTGCAGTGAAGAGCTCATTCTAGCAGGTACCTCTGGCTGCCTGGAGATGGGCGCTCTAGGAACTCTGCTGGAAGCTGCTTTCTACCAAGTTAGACCACTAGTTCATCTAGCTCTGTCTTGCCTACTCTTAGTGGCAGCGAACCCAGGCTTTCAGACAAGAGCTTTTCTCAGCCCTACCTGGAGACCCCAGAGATGGAACAAGAGCCCTTTCGCACGCAAGGCTCTACCACTGCGTTGTGGTCCTTCCCCACGTCACCTATGCAATCTGACCAACCCGGAAAGCTTCTTGTAAGGGATGGAGAGAGGTGAACAGACAGACCTTGTCAATGTAGAAGTCCACCTCGGAAGCAGACTGGAACTCGCCATCCAGGGCAGAGATGCCGCTGGTCCAGACCAGGTTCTTCATTTTGTGTTTGAAGACGAGCAACTGGATACGGAACTCCTGCTCTGTCAGGTCCAGGAAGCCGGCTAGCTTGGCAACTGGCATAGTGGTGTAGAGCTTCAGGAAGCTGCGGATGGTCGAAAGCTGGGCCTGTTGCTGGACCTCATCGGCAAAGACCTTCAGCTGCTGCAGGAAAGGCTCCTTGTGGTAGTTGGGGTGAACGTTGTCATAGTTGGGGACCACAGGGGAGAGGAACTTGGGGCAGGCGTAGCTGAAGAGCTCTTCGTACACCTGAGGGTCGCCTTTCTGCATGCGCAGCATCTTGTCCCCGTATTTCTCTCGGAGCTGCAGGTGGATGCTTTCGTCGATGCGCATAGGGTACATGGTGAGTGCAATGGCCAGCAGGGCGTGCATCTGCTCATTTTGTTTGTTGATCTGCGACACAAAGAAAGCTTGATAGAAACACTCCGCTTTGTATTTTCAAATCTCCACATAAGGACTTGTGCAGCACAGTGGCCAAAAGTCTGAGTGACAGAAGCCTCCAGTCAAATCTCACCTCTGCTTTGAGTTGACAGGTAACTTTCATGGAGACCAAAACAGAATAGACAGGCACACAGCCTGAACTGCCAGGATTAAACTGAAAGCTGCCATTGGCCATTTCGCTACACGGATTCAGCCAATGGAGTCACTCTTACCCTGCATTTCCACAGTAAGGCCTATGTGCCCTTGCACTGGTAACTGAAGAGTGACAACTTCAGAAATGCCAGTTAGGAGTGCCTTAGGATCATACTCTCTTGGTAGCCTTAGGTAAGCCACTATTTAGAGATTTCTAGGTGTTATTAATGTTTTTTAAATGTTTTAAATATGTCTTATCTGCCATATATTTTAAGAAACTAAATTTTGCATGATTGTTCCCAAGATCCAAGTGCACATTTGCATTTATGTTTGGATACAATTGGATGCAGTTTTGAATCAATATGGCAGACCGAACCTTTCAAAACTGCACTGATTTTTTTTGTTTCATAGAATTTCTGAGCAGTGCTGGATATGAGGCTGCTAGTATAAAATACACAAAATAAAGTGTATTATTTTGCAAATTTGTTATTCCGCTCTTCCCCAGGACAGAAATGTAATAAATCAATCTTTTGAGTCTCTTCCTCCCAGCTGCAGAACAGGGATAACGATACTGATCTACAGGGCTGTTGTAAAAATTACTGAGATAATGTACACAAAATATTTTCTACAAGTATTACTATGTGAACCTAAGCAAATATAATGGTGCATTATTATAAAAGACAAGCATGTTACTAACCCACAGGGGAAAGCCTAGAAATATGTTGTCCGGGGGGGGGGGGGAGATGTCAAGAAAGCTTCCTTTGGCTATTTCCCACCTATTCTTACTCTCTATTACTTCCCTCCTCACCCTTCAGTTCCCCACTCAAAACAGAAGTTACTGAACTGACCTTTAAAGTAGATACATGCAATTTTGGTAAACAAGTTTAATTTGCACAGTTTATTCTGGACAGAGAACCTGGAGTACCTACGAATATGATAATAGCATCCCAAACAAACTCTTCCCACTACAATGAGACAGGTAATAACCAGAAGTGGAATGGCCTGGGTTGAGTTGCACCCTGACTCCTGAAAGATTTAATCAGCAGCATTCTGAAGGAGTTTGGCAGAAGATGTGAGTCCTGCAGGTACTATAAAATCTTCTAAAATACTACAGAATGAAGCAGCAAGAGTGTGCATAAAGCAGTGAGGTTTAAGGCCACTGTACTCACACATTGCTAGCTGACTGAAACACTGCAAATAAGCCTTAGTGGGGCAATTACACCCAAAGATTAATCATCCGTGATACCCAATACTGACTTACTGGTTTTAGGGATCCAGAGAACAAACTCAACAATTAATAGAGAGCAACGGCTTTGGCAGATCAAAACGATGAAACTGTTTCAAAGTTGGCTCCTACTATTGCAAGGAGGATTAATACAGTGAAGGGGTGGGGATGGGGGGGCGCGAATACACACACACAGAGAGAACATCACAGCTGGTATTAATGGCAGGGGAAAGTGTGTGAGCAATGTAATGAGAGACAAGGTCAGATTAGCAGAAGAAAGCCTCGAAGGTGAAGACTAATTTTGATGTATTTGGGCCAGACAGTAAGGAGCCAGGGAGAAACTGGCTCCTGAAAGATTTAATCAGTTGCCTTCTGGATGAAGATATAGGTCCCAGGAAGGCCAGTAAGTCTGTGGCCAAATCAGGCTTAACTGCAGGTAATATAAAATGGTTTAAAAAAAAAGGGGGGGGGGAGAAAACTTGATAATCTGGTTAGAAAAAACAATAAAGCCGCGATCTTGGTGTAGTCCAATTAAATACAATGGGAGTTACTTCTGGGTAGACGATGCATTAAATTACTCTGGACGTAGAGGAGCATAGTTTGTTTTACACGTAGCGCTAAGACATAGTTTATTTATCCTAACTATGGTTGTCTGAATGTGCAAACCCAGCCCAGCTAAACAAACTATGTCTTAGCGCTACGTGTAAAACAAACCATCATGGTTTGTTGGCAGAAAATAAGCCTTCCCCCACCCTGCTATGTTTGGCTACCTCAGCAGCTTAAAAAGGTAAAGGTAAAGGGACCCCTGACCATTAGGTCCAGTCACGGATGACTCTGGGGTTGCAGTGCTCATCTTGCTTTACTGGCTGAGGGAGCCAGCATTTGTCCGCAGACAGCTTCCGGTCATGTGGCCAGCATGACTAAGTTGCTTCTGGCGAACCAGAGCAGCGCATGGAAATGCGTTTACCTTCCCGCCGGAGCAGTATCTATTTATCTACTTGCATGCTGACGTGCTTTCGAACTGCAAGGTTGGCAGGAGCAGGGACCGAGCAACGGGAGCTCACCCCGTCGCAGGGATTTGAACCGCCGACCTTCTGATCGGCAAGCCCTAGGCTCTGTGGTTTAGACCACAGCGCCATCCGGCGCCACCTCACCAGCTTACCATGCTACAAAAGTCAAGGGCAGCTGGAAAACAAGCCATACTTTAGAAAAACAAGTCATGATTTGTCTGCTTGTTTGTGAGACAACTTGCAGTTAATTGGACAAATGGAAGTTCAAACAAATAATAGTTTAGCATTGTGTACAAATTTGGTCTATGCCTGGGAGGAAATAATCAACAGCATCAAGAAAAGGCGCTCGGAACAGAACCAACAAGCAACTGTTTACCACGTGGCTTCAGGGCACCTTACCATCTCATACTTGTAGGTTGTCCTCTGGAACATGCTCTTGGTCCTCTGAATATACAGGAGGATATTTGCAAAGACACGGATGGCATCTTGGTAGCGTCGCATCATGAGGTATGCAAAGCCGACGTAATAATAGGTCGTGACCTGGCACTCTGGCACTCGTGAATACATACTCTGGGAAGGGAAAAGATTCAAGTGAGATGACTGGGGAAAATAATTTTCAATCACTACCGAGGACAGCTTTCTTCCAAAGGATATGGTGGAGGAATTCTGCTCAAGTTCTTTATGTTAGAAAGGGGATCAGTGGTAGTCCTGAAGTGGTACAACAGAGCAGCTCCATGCTATCTTTTTAAACCAGGCTTGGGGCTTCATATATTATTTATTCCAGTTTTACACTGGGCATGACTGTTGCCTTTCTAATAGGTGTAACATTTTATTTGATTTACTAACAAACCTTAGCAAAATTTACAATTTATTTATTTTTCAGCATGAAAAAGGGGAATGGGGTGTGCCTATTTTCCTGCAGATGTACAAACATTTACACTTGACACTTCCTCAGTGCTAAGATCCCATGTTGTGTTCTCAATTCAATGTACTTGGTCACAACGGATGACAATGCAATTAACACTTTGATACATTTATCTGCTTTTATTGAGACCAGCATGTTGAGACAACATGCATGCTTTATTTAGAACCAGATGCTCAAGGATAAGATTTTAGATAGATGATAGATAGATAGATAGATAGATAGATAGAAACAAACATGGCATTCGGGAAAGGGCAGGTAATTCCTGAGGTAGTAAACAGGACTGGCAACATAGAGAAATGGGCAGGTCATATTTGTAGCTTGCCTTCTCTGAAACACGCTCTTGGTCCTCTGATTGATATTGGAGAAGTTCAGAAATAGCATCATGGTGCAAAGGATACAACATCCAAGATAATAGGACACCTAGCACTCAGGTACTTCAGAATATTAACTCAGGGAATGAAAGAAAATGACAAAACAGATGCTTTGAAGGAGATTCTTTGCATATTTTCAAATATACACCTCTAATTTAGAGAGCAAAAAAAGGTTTTTTCAGAAGAGCTGGATTCTCAAAACCCCAAAATTTTGACTGTACCCGGAACTGAAAACGAAAATTTTTTCACAGTACCCTCCATTTACACAAAATGGCTGTACACACAGCACTTAAATGGGGCAACAGAGATTTGTATTTGCCACACATGACAGCATAGGAGAGAAGAGCATTCAGAAATCATTAGGTGCACAAACCTCTTTGAAATCCAGAGGATTCCTCAACAACAAAAATGAATGTAACACACAAGAAGAGAAAAGGAATGTTCAATTTTAATGCTCTAGCATCTGGCAGGATTTGAGTCCTGTGCTCCGTTACCTTCTTGTTAAGTTCAATGTTCTCCAGAACCTTGATGGCTTGATAGTAATCTCCAAGGAGTGAATGGAGGCGCAGCAAGCCCACAAGACTGAAATAGCCCAGCATCTTATAGAGAGAATGGCGGCCATACTCTCCAGCTACACTCTCAGGGTCACCTACGGGAGGAAAATAGTATTTGCATATTTAATAGGAATTTGAAAGTACCACTGTGCATTCTGTAGCAGGACAGGGAAGAGACCAAATGCAACCTTCAACATGTTATTTTATAATCAGCTTGATCAAACTTTCCATACAGAAAGTTTATTTGGATTCATCTACGGTAGGAGAGGCTAGATCAAGAACTGAAAGTGTTTTAAGAACCTTTACAGGAGTTTGAGAATTTACTAGTTCCACTGAGACATTAGAAGAATCAGATCCTCCTGTCTGAACAAACATCCCTATTGTGCACATTAATCTATCCGAAATAAGCACCATCCTCTGGGTTTTGTACTTACAGTCACAACTACATCAGTGTACACAAATGGAGTAAAAAAAGATCAATTTCAACATATATAAAAACGTAAGAGTAAGGAACAAAGAGCCTGATCTATTTTTATTCAGAAATAAAACCAATGGTTTCAATTGGGATTACTTTCAAGTAAGTATGCAAAGAATCATGTCAGGAGTGGGAAACTGGTGGGCTTCCAGATGTTGATGGACTAAAAATCCCATCATCCTTGATCACTGACCATGTAGACAAGGGTGGATGGACCAGAGTCCCACAGCATCTGGAAGGCCACAGCTTCCCCACCCTGAATTACAACCTAAAAATTACAAGCCCAAACCCCACTTACTTGGAAGTAAACTCCATTAAATTCAATTCAACTACTTCTGAGAAGACATGGTTAGGCACTCAGTAAGCTCACTGAACTCAGTGACCTATTTCTGAGTAAACCTGCTGAAAACTGCACTATAAATGCATTGGAATGAAAATAATCCATATTATGCAATCTCAAGCATGCAGTTTACCAATTTAATTTACCACTAGTAAACTGTTTTAATAAATTGTTGATTGTTTTATGTATATTTGTTTTTCATCTTATCATTTATAGTCCGCTGTTTTTGTTTTTTAAAAAATGAGTATCTTATACTATTATGTAAACCACTAAGATTCATGTTTGATTAAAAGACCTACAAAACAAAACAAATATATTCAAAATGAAGTTTCCTTCCTGGCTAATCTACACACTGGCTAAATCCAAGCATTAGATTTAAGACTATTTAGCTTCATGTAAACAAAGTGAGCAGGATAGAATTAGCTTAACAGGCTTGCAGATTAAACTGTACCTATCACACAGATAAGGAGAGCTATAGCTCAAAGCCTCTCAGTGATAGGATTCTGGAGAAAGAATACTAATAAAGGTATTGGAGGATAAAACCACAACAAATTATGTTATTTGTAGAAAACTACACACATACAGAGCTGGTTTTATACAAGTGAGTTAATACAAGAGAACTTACAGCCTCTACAGGTTTCCAATCAGGCAGGAACTCAGGGAATAAGGCTTTAGTTTATTATTTACTCTATTTATATCTTGCCCTTCCTTGATCATGGAAACCAACACATTGTGGTGAATGCATGGTTCTTCATGTGCCTTCACACCACAACCTGGAACCACTTCTATTCTCTCTAACATGCACCTTTGATTCCTTCTTACCTCCACTAGTGTAGACCTCTAGTTGCCGGTTGATGTTGGATTTGTCCACCAGGGAATGCAGCACATTGAGAACGCTATGGACATTCCAGATCTTGGGGTTTGAACGCAAGAAATCAATTTCTTCATCTGACTTCTTGGCTGTCTTGCAACGGTACTGACTGAAGGACTGGAACTGTGAAGGAATATAGATAACAATGTTGGAGAAAACTGGGTCAGTATATATGTTCACTTCCAATAGTTTGTGCATAGAGTCAGAATACAAATCCCAAATAAATACTTTCCCAGAGCAAGGCTGGAGGGAAGGCAGTTTATTAACATGCATGCCCAAATAACAGAGGTCTCTAACTAAATGGTATTTTAAAGATGAGCAATTTGAGCAAGAAAAAAAAACTCCCTGAGGTTTCTTCACCCAGAAGTCAAATGGCGGCTACAAGAATGGAGGATCGGGGAAAACAGCATGGAATCAAATTCCAACTTTAAGCAAAAATCTCACCCAAAGCAGCTAGCAATTCACTTGTCATTTTCTGTTCAATATATCCACATTCTGTATCAAAGAAAATCAGATTCTAGATACAGAAAACATGTAAGCCAAGCAAGAGTCTGTCTAAGCCCATGTCTGTTTAGAAGTAAGCCTCTTGAGTTCAACAGAACTTACTCCCAGGGAAAATGTATATAAGACTGCAGCTTCAATCGCAGATGTCTCGGAAGTACTAAGAGCCAAGCAAAGTAAGAAGGTACATAACCCTCAATGAGAAGTCCTGAGCCCATATTGCCTGGTGCACACACTTTCCAGTTGACTACAGCTAGGTTTCTATTTCTTATGGCTTTCAAACTTAAAGCTACTGCACCTGATAGATGAATTCATCTATGATATCCCAGAGCCACTGGTTGGGCAGTTCCAGGGGAGCTGGTCCATCTGCATCTAGAGAAGAACATTCACAAGGAATTTATAGTGCTTAAGAGACTGAAAGAGCAATACAATCCCCTTGATGTTGTCTGCTGGAGGGAGCAACCTGCATGCACAGAGAGCTTGGCAGATGAAAAGCTACCGTCGGTGGTATTCCCATAAGTGGTAGAAAGAATTGTGCTTCACAAAAGGGCATTCTGGGGCGTAGCAGAGCTGGCTATGGATCCATAGCTTCTCTGTTCCCCCAAGAGGGGCCCAATTTAGGTCCTTAGCTGTACCTGACTTGAGGTGACATAGCCAACTGCCCCCATTGCTTTCAGTATGTGTGGGTGGGTGAGTGAGGGGGATTAAACATAAAAGGATCTGCTGGACAGAAAAGTTCAGCTAAACAGCCACCAACATTGTTTTGTGCGTGGGTAGAATAGAATTCTAGGTTGATTAAACCCACCCCTGGTATATAAATTATCCCTGTTTTCTCTTTCATAATAAAAGAAAGAGGTTATATATACAGATCCTAGGAACTCACTGAGAATATAGTTGAATAGATTGCAGTAGTTGTAATATGACTCAAATCTCTGTTCCAAAGATGGACCACCCTGTAATTAAAAAAAGAATCAGAGTTGAGATGGTATATAGCTTAGGAGTTTAATTTTCTGGGCTTCAAATATTAGCTGAGCATCTCACCTAATTATAAGCCCAAGTCAAGACAACCCAGGGATTCAAGGTGGATAAGCAACTGAATGAGTCAATTCACTTTCCATCACAGTACTTACACTGACTTTAGCATAGATGTGTCTATAATACAGCTCCTTGTACAAAATCAGGAAGACAGCATCTTCAAGAAAAAATAGATATATTATCTTATTTAAAATATTTGCATCCTATTTTTTCACCCAAAGAATTGATTCAATTTCAAACAACTTTTGCCAACCCACTGCTCACCAACTTGGCTGGGGCTGATGGCAGGAGGGTCCCATTGGATAATAATGATAACGATAGTAACAACAACAACAAATCCAAAATATTTGGAGGACTTCAAATTGGTGAAGGCTGATACAGAACAACCAAACAAGATCAAAACCACATCTAGATACATAAACCTTTCCAATCAACAGGAGAATGCCAGAAAAGGTGCAGTAGGAACGTAACAGAATAAAGCTTGGGGAAATAAAGTATCGTAATGAAAACGAGAGGAAAGTGTTTCTCTCAAAATTACCATCAATTAAAAACTCTCTTCTCTGTGCTCAGACATTTATAAAAGAAGTAGGAATCTGCAAAACTAAAGGATCTAGACATAATCTGAAGGCTCCTTTGTGACCAAGCAGAAACAAGTTTCTTAGAACCCACACAATGGTGGTCGTAAGTATCTAGATTACATAGTGCAGATGCCTTTGGTCTCTTTTCCTGCCACCTCCCCAATCTAACTTTTTGCAGTTAAATTAATGCAGTTGAATTAATTGTCGGCCAATCGGCCATTACAATACAGAATAACTGTATCACAGATGTCAAACACAACTAAGCATTTCCAAGCATAAGTGGGGGCCCAGGTGAAAATGCAGCACAGAGTAAAGCTTGCTTCCACTCACTGCAAATTCCCAAACTGTCATGGTTCCATTTCTATTTATTTTTAATAATAGGTTAACTGTTCCAATGTATGACAAAGGCCACAATGAGTCTTTACCTTAAGGACGTGATAAGAGAACGTGCAGCCCTCCAGAGCTCCATCAGTTCTGGAGGGCCGCAAGCTCCCCATTACTTTTCCTTATTAAGCTGACCAAGGGAAATGAAAATACTTACCATTTCCAACCTGCGGTGCAATAGCCTCTGCCTCTGGCCATGGTGTGTTTTTAAAGAATCTTTCTGTCAGTTTGGTCCAACTGCAACACACAGAAATGTTTAGTAAATCAAGTGCCTCACTCATTAGTACTAAAGAAACCAAGACATAACATGGTCAATAGTCATTAAGTCATTGCTGCTGCAACTTGCATTGCTTTTTCCAATTTTTTAAATCAAGCATATGTAAATATGGATTACTGATTTGCTGTGAGAAAGAAATCTACCATCTATAGACAGCAATAGCAAGACTTTTCATTTACACATGTCTGTTGGTGAGACCTGAAGGACCCCCTTCAGAATGGAATGAAAAAAAGTCTTCTTCTGTAAGGACTATAGCTCTGCAACACAGAAACCCCTAGGTTTAACCCCAAGCATCTCTGCTAAAGAAGATCCTCAGTATTATGGCTTAGAAAACAACCTGCCAGAGATTTTGGACAGTCACTACCTGAGATGTTTTGCCAAAATAATCAGAACTAGGCTAGTTGCATGATTGGACCAACAATATAAACCAACTTCCTACACAAACCTCAGCTAACTTCCCAGAATTTATAAACAAGGCAACTGCTGCGCATTTTTGTCCCATGAATTATTCATTCTCTTACAGGTGTTGATGTGAGGGACTCGATGAAACCACAAGACATTTATATTTGCAAACTTCACACTTCCCTGAGAAAACTGAATCTTACCTGTTTTCATAGATGTCTTGGATCTCATAAACCTTCTGATCAATAACATCACTAGATACACGACTGGCCTGAAGCTCATACACTTTCTGGTCAATCAAGTCAGACACAGTCTTGTGAAAGTACTGGATAAAGTTTTTTATCACCTCAGGAATCACTTGATAGGTTTGCTGCTCATACTGTCTTTCATAGGCAAGATCCTGTTTTGGATCTCCTGTGAGACAGAAGAGATGAAAGAATATTAAAACAGAACAGGAAGATGTAGAACAAGGTGGCATTCCAGATGTTGTTGAACTCAAAGTCCCATAATCTATGCCAATCGTCATGCTAGCTGGACGGAAATTGGAGTCCAACAACACAGAGGGCTACAGTTTCCCCACTTTTGATGTGGATTAATAGGAAACAGTTTGCACTCCAGCCTTCAAAAGCACTTGGCACTTAGAACCCCACTTCCCTTCATAATTTCTTTACATGCTTAATTTCCAAACATCCATACACATTACGTAAAATAATACTGGAACCCAGGAACAGCAAGATCGTTTTAATCTAAGAAATACAAATAACCATCATGTTTACTAAAAAGAAAAGTTTTAGGTCTTTACCTAAATTTAGGTCTTTACCAAATTTAGACATTAAATTTGGTAAATAGATATAATTCAAGTTAATCCCCCTCATACCAAATAAAATACAAGAATATAAAATCAGTAACAGTTTAATAGTTACTTTGCTCTGTCAAGATTTTCCTATTAATTAGTACTAATGGAAGGAGACAACATTGAGGGTAGCAAAGTAGCAGGAAGAAGGACCCTCATCAAGAACCTCAGGTATGGGGAATTTATGGTGCTCCAGATGATGGATTACAATTTCCGTCAGGGATAATACAAATTTTAATCAGAAAAGCACCTTATCTAATCTTCAAGGGTTGTCAGATTCAACACAGGAAAAAGTTTGGTTCTTTTAATAGTGGCCCAAAACAGAAAATTCCAAACAATGTTGTAGAATTCTGATGCAGCACTTGCTGCTGGTAAAATTCTCTTAGCAACTTTTGTACAGCACCCCCTTTTTTTAATTAAATATCAGCTCTGGTCTGTGCATATCCCACAATGTCCCGGCCTAATGTACCATGAAAACATCTTGTGTAGCACATCCACTTTGTCAGCATGTATTGGGAGTGGGCAAGGTCCATGTGTCTTCTTGGTACTCCAGGCCTAGAGGGGAGCCTCATTCCATAAGGACACTTTTTTCAAAAGCGGCACCCTGTTTGCGGACTGCCCTCCTGTTACAAGTACATTTCCATTTTGGCACCAAGTGAAGACATGTATCTGTCTACTCAGACTTTGTAGATTTTTAAGAAAGGAGTGGGTGGTGGGTTAAACTTCTCTGCTTATTTGTTTCTAGCCTAGTGTTTCCTGGTGTTTAAAAAAATCCCAGCTTTTGGTTGTTGTACTACAGCCTGAGATGAGAGAGTAACAAAAACATTCTAAAAAGTTTTTTTTGGGGGGTTAACCCCAAAAGATCTTACAATTTAGCAACAATACTGATGAAGAGCAGACCACCATATTTTTAACAAATAAAATAAGAACAAAATAACTCACCTGTGTGCATATCATACTCCCCTGGATAAGTATAGGGATCATATGAGCCCTGAAAACAGAGAGAGACCAGAATATCAACACACCTGACCAGTGTCAGATTTACGTATAAGCTAAACAGGCTATAGCTTGGGGCCTCACTCTCTCGGGGGCCCCCAAAAAACTTAAAAAGGGAAAAAACCTGGATGTACATTTCCAAAATATAAGATAAAATCAAATCAAATAAAACCTACATACAGCAACAGTGTTTTGTGTTGTGTATGGACCTATTAGGTCCATAAATTACCATATAGCATACAGTGGTACCTTGGGTTAAGTACTTAATTTGTTCCGGAGGTCCATATTTAACCTGAAACTGTTCTTAACCTGAAGCACCACTTTAGCTAATGGGGCCTCCTGCTGCCGCCGCGCCGCCGGATCACAATTTCTGTTCTCAACCTGAAGCAAAGTTCTTAACCTGAAGCACTATTTCTGGGTTAGCGGAGTCTGTAACCTGAAGCGTATGTAACCTGAAGCATATGTAACCCGAGGTACCACTGTATATTCAACACAAAAAACAGCGACAATTTGTTGTTGACAAAGGACAGCCGGATATATAAAGGGCCCCATTACCTTCAGTAGCTTGGGGCCTCATCAAACCTAAATCCAGCCCTGCACCCGACACACCCATAAGATGCTTTGCCCTTTCCCTACTCAGATGCGGACTGCCAGCTAACCAGAACGCGACACACCACGGCCTCGCCTTCCTTGGGCTGCTCGGCCGCCCGACAAAAACCGCCCTCGCCGCCTCCCAAGGCCAGCAGGGCTGCCCTCGCACCCCCAAGACCGGCCAGGCGAGTTATTTCCACCCGCCGACCAAGACCCCGGGTGGGGAGTGAGCAGGCGAGGCCGGTACCTCTTCGTAATCCTCCGCCGGGTAGGACATGGCGAGGCTTTCGGAGAGAAGGCGAGAGGAACGCACACCGTCAGGGAAGGACCGTTGCGGCAAAGAAAGCGCTCCGGTCAGCAACCCGCGCTACTTCCGGTGCCGGCCATCGGCGGAAGTACTCCGGGTGTTCGCTGAATATTGGCTCTGGGAGGAACGGAAACGCAAGAAGCGGTTCCTTTTAAGCGCGGTTTAACGCGGGTTGTTGTGGCGCAGCACGACTGAAGATGAGCCCCGCTGGCGCATATTTGGCACGGGAGGGGTTAAAAGAATGAGGAGAGTGCTGTTGGAAAAGAGCGAAAGGCGCATTTAGCGCGGTATCCTATTCCCACTGGCCACCAGCCAGATCGAGGAAGCCTGGTGAGAAACATCTCGTTTCTCACAAGGTATCAGATGTAATAAACAAAAAATCTGCAGTTATTCCTTTATGGGGGACACAAGAGCCCTTATAGAGTCCTTTGTAGGTTCTCCATCGGTCGGAGGAAAAAACAAGAGGCCAACCAGAGAATATTGAGAACCAAAGCAGCTAGTAAGCCTGATCTTTATTGATCTGTTGCAACTCACCACACGCAGGAGGGAGGAGGAACCCAGAACAATGGCACGCAAGGCCTTATTTAGATATTTTAAATTCCCTGCCCTGGAGCTCAAGACCACCCCTCCATACATCACAGAAGGGGTGTAACCCAAGACCACCCCCACATACGTACATCACAGAAAAGGTGGTTAAAACAGAAATTTGGATGTTGTTTTTCCTGTTTGCCAGGTTATCTGATTGCCTTTCCTGATAGTCTGTCACCCATTAAAATACCGATTACTCAATTCCTGAGACAATGGGAAGGCTCCCTGACCCCCCTCCCTCCTTGCAGGGAAAACATTTGGTCAGTTTGGGAATCAAAATGGTTTCAGGTCGGACTTTCTGTGCTGATCTATGTACGTGGTCGGTTGGTACACGTATGAACATTTAACATATATCTAAGACCTCAAAATTCCTATCACAGTATGAAAGAAACTTGACAAGAATATCACTTCCCCCACCCCCTGATGGCGTTTTAAAATACATCATGGCAGGCAGCAATTCTGCACATAGAAATGCCGCAATGTTAAAAGCTTCACCGGTTGAATTTACACAAGCAAAGGCCCAGGAATGTACCTTACGCCTTCTTTCTGCTGCAATTGCTTTGACAGCATTTCTGAAATGGGGCAAAAATAGTTTTTATTTAAGGGAGAAAGCGAAAGGGTATTTTAACCTTGCTGTATAATGCAAATCATTGTGGATTCCTACATGTGAAAAGTGCAACAAAGGGAGCACTTTGCACATGTCTGGAGCTCCAGCCGGCTATCCCATCCTCCCAAGATACTCCATTTTACTTCCCTTCCACAGTTAGCATTCCCACCCAGCCACATCAAGCTTTTTTTATTAAAAGAAAAGAAAACTATTATTAACATTAACAGCTTGGCCCGTCGATGTAGCCCCGCATATGGCGGATTCCTGCGTGGTAGCTCCTTTCTCAAATAAAGCATCTCTTTGGCGCACGACCCCTCTTCTGACGTCATTTGCCCCGCCTCTTAGAGTCGCTCGCCTTCTGCCATTGGCTACGCGGCGGCTTCTGCGGAGCTCCTGAGTGGATGTTTGCGGTGGCGGCAGCCGGACTATCGCCTCTTCCCTCTTCCCCCTCCCCCACCTCCTCGCCCCACATTCTATTGTTCCTATGGTTACGCGAGTTCGCCCCCGCCTTCGCGCTCTGAGCCTGGGCCCGCTTCGCTTGAGATCCGGACGCGCAGTGGCGCCTCGACGGCGGGGATGGAAGGCGGAGGCGCCGGCAGCGCGGGAGACCCGAGTCCGGCCTCCGCGAACATGTTCTCCCTGACGGGCCTCGGCGCCGCCTTGCGGGCCGTTCCCGAGGCGCCGGATCCCGCCTCGCTGCACTACCTGCAGCTGCCGTGGCAGTGCGAGCACCGCGTGTGCAAGCTCGTCGGCCGCCGCCGCAAGGCCGCCCGGCTGCACCGCAAGGTGGGGCCTACCGGCAAGGAGATCCACGGTGAGGGGCTGGGCGCGGAAGGGGGCTGTCCCCGTCCGCCTTGTCGGCGCGCCGCGCGAGGGAACCTCCAGGCCGCCGCCGGGCCTGTGCTGGGAAAGATTTGTCCAGGAGATTGGGGGGGACGGTGGTAGCCCAGAGTGGCTGGGGCAACTCAGTCAGATGGGCAGGGTATAAATAATAAATTTAATATTATTACTATTTATTATTGGTAGCCTAGAGTGGCTGGGGCAACCCAGTCAGATGGGCGGGGTATAAATAATAAACTTTTTTTTAACTATTGCACGACTAACAAGCCCAACCTGTGGCATGCATTACTGGGAGGAAATCCTAATGGGTTCAGCAGGGCTTGCACCCATGCAAATATGCATTAGGGGAGTGTAACTTCAGTGGGGATTCTTGGGCAGCTGTGCCCCAATAAACACGCACAGAGTTGGGCTTCCATCCCAAATGTGCTTTCTAGGAAGTGAGGCCTGTTGTGCACTGAATAAACAGCCACAGGACTGGGCTTTCATGCTAGGTCACATGGTCAGGTATTTCAGCTACACTGCCTGGAAGTTGTGATCCACTGTGCTTCAGCTCTTATGTTGCTCTATTGAAGACCCACTGTAGTGTAGCGACCAAAGTGTGCTTATGGGGCACAAAGTACCATGCTGAGCTCCCCAGAAAAAGGGTGGGATGCAATAGTGACACACAAATCTGAATTAACTATAGTGGCTTGGTTTTATAGTAACTGGAACCTTCATTTTACCTGTTTTACCTATTGAAGGTTTGGGGCATGTTGTTGTCTTGATTGGGAGTAGAAAGGGTATCTGAAGTTTAATTGATCTGTTTTGAATAATTCTGAGTATGCAAGAGCAAGACTATTAAGCATGCTTATGCAGTGGAAAGACCACTGGAGCTTGCTCCTGGGTAAGTGTGCATAGGACTGCAGCCCAAGTGAAGTCAGTTTTGGCTTTGCAGAACCTGGAGAAATAGCAAGCAAAAGAGAAGGGGGAAAGATACTCCCTTCTGGGTCACTGCATGGGAAGAAAAGAGATGGGAATACCCTGTCGAGTCACACTTGTCTCTTTATACAAATACAGCATCACTTGAAGAGTTTCTTCAGAGTGCACTTGTATGAGAGGGTGCAAAATGAGGAAGTGATTTGAGAGAGAAAACAGTTTGCAGGTAGACTGGCTACATGAATGCAGCCAGGCTGTGGGTAAATTTACACTCCCATGTACAAGATGGGGCAGTGCAAAACCTTCAAAATCTTTTGTAAAACTTTACAAAATAATGAGACTATCAGATAGGGTGGGGGAGGCCTTGCTGCTGTTTGCACCTGTAGTTTTTTTTCCTTAACAGATGAGCGCTCTTGCACAGGAGTTATATGGTGGGGAAGCAGATGGCCTTCTAGATATTTTTTAAAGGAGTGCATATGAAAGTAGAAGAGTGTTGAAATGCAGGAAATACCCAGTTTAGTGTCAATGGGAATTGAACAAGCACCTTCTGCATGGCAGTCACAATGAATATTAGCTAGACAAAAACTGTATTTAGCTGGGTGAAATAAATTGCATTATGTAAAAATCTTAAATGCAGACATAAATTAGAAATATTATTTGTATAATCAGTCCTAACTTTTATCATGCATATAACATAGCATTATGTTAAGTTCTTACCCTTAAACAATTACAAATGCCATTCCATTCTTTGTAGTTTCTTCTTTGTTTCTAATATTATATAAAATTATACTACAAATCCAAAGCCCTCTCTAGGTTTTCTTATAATTTAATTTGGTCATCGGCACCATGCTCAGTAAGTTTTTATTCCATTCATCTAATAATGGAGATTGCTGACTTTTCCAGTTTTTCTGACATTTCCAGTTTCCCCCCTTCAGTATCAGAGCAGTTAATTAACATAGTTCCTGCTAACTTTCAAAGGTTGTATCCCATAAAATAAGTTCAGCCTTGTGAAAAGGTATGGCTTGTGTACAGGAAACGAGAAATGAATAAGCATCTGTTTTGCAAAACCTGAATTATTGAATTATTATTTTTTAGAACAAGCCTAGGAGTCAGGAATTAAGCAGTTCTTCTTGTCCTATTTGCTTTCCAAAAAACTCACCCTCTCTTTTTCCACAGCTTTGAAACGCTTGAGAGAAGCTGCCAATTCTAATGATTTAGAAACAGGTACGGTTACATGATTTGGGCCCTAGTGTATATCTTTGTGTGTGGTTGTCTTCTACATCAGTTCTGGTGATGTGTATCTTGTAAGCTAGAAATGTGGCCAGCAAGAATGTGGTTTCCTGCATGGTAAGGAGAATGCTTTGAACTGTGGATTTCGGTGGTTTCAAAATCCCCTTGGAAGGAACATCTTTAAAAGACTCTTGTCAATAGATTGAAGGAAATTAGTGGACTGAGGAAGTATCTAGTGACCAAGCTATAAGCTTCACTTATTTAAAGCATTTTTACCCACTCTTCAGCTGTCAAATGCCTTCAGAGTAGCTTACAACAGTCCCTCCTAAGGAGGCCAGTGCCCTCAAGCCAGAATCCATTGTGCACCTTACAAGGCCTGCCTCCTCATTTTGGCCATGCCCACCTGCCAAATCTGACATCATGTGTGGGCAGATGAAAGGGGTTTGCAGGCAAAACCTCATGCAAAGGGCTTCAAAAGACTTGGCTCTTTGGCAAATCCTGTAAAGTGCTTGAAAGGCACTTTGTGAAATATGCATTTGCCCTGCCCAGCTATCAGATTTGGCTCAAGGGGACTTAGTTGGGGCGGCGGTGAATAACAATCTAGCCCACCAGCTAGATCTAGTTCCACAGCCCGGACACAGAAGTTGGAATTTGAATGATGAATCACCAGCAGAACAGCTCTCTGACTGCTGTCTTGTCTTCCTTGGTGGCACCAGTGCAGCAGCTTCTGGAAGATGGGGTGGACCCCTGTGCAGCTGACGACAAAGGTCGAACGGCCCTGCACTTTGCTTCCTGCAATGGAAATGACAGTATTGGTGAGTCACATTGAAATGAGGTGGGCCTGTCAGCTTCTGGCCCCATTTCTCCAGGATAGATTGCTAATCATTTTCTTTCTATCTTTAAAAGCTGAGCTTCAGAAAACAAAAAAAAAACCCATATCCTTTTTGCAAGCATCCCACCCAGCTTGTGCAAGGAGACTGAGGAGTGATGTTATGCACACTGATAAAATTTTGGAATATTCTTCCTAAAATATTGTGTCACGCAAGATTGTCAGAATATTTCTGAAGAACTTCAAGAGGAGCTGAAGTTTTGTGTCATGAGTCCTGAAATGTTTAGTTAAAAGAATCTTAGAAAGCAGGAATAGGAAGGAACTTTGAAAGCGCCAGAAGCTCCTTCCAAGGAAGAATGGCACATTGGTGCATATGATGGCTTCTTAATACTCTGTGTGCAAACTTAAAAGAGTTTCAGGGGACATAAAATAGGCATTTTACTACAGGAGATCCTAGTTCCTGTGGAGCACTTTGTGAGGGATGGATTTGGGGAGATTCAGGCAAGGGTACTTTTGCCATAAGAGATACGATTGCTCCCCTTCTTGTTATCATTTAGAAGGGCTCTAAAAACGTTCTTCTTAATGTCTGCTTTTAGTGAGCATATATAAGAGCTAGGGGGCTCTTGGTTTTTTATGGATGGCTGATGGAATTGAAGTAGAAGTAGTATTGATATTTGTAAGTCAGTCCAAGAGCCTTTTTGGCTAAAGGGTGGGGTTTAAATGCAAGAAACCAATCATTAAAAAGTGAAATGTTTTACTGCTACTATGATTAGAGCATTGCTTTATGTTATATGTGCTTTTAAAATTTGAATGGTAACATTTGTAACATTAATGAGTCGGCTCTGTTGAATAGCCAGTCTTACCGATTGTAGAGGTAAATAGTTCAGATCTGGTGGGTTTTCTTTGCCCATCATGTTCAAGACACACTTAGGATGGGTCTGTTTGTGTTTTAGTGCACTTGCTTTTGGACCATGGAGCCAACCCAAACCAGCGAGATGGGCTGGGGAACACCCCCTTGCATTTGGGTAAGCGTCTCTCACACCCACCGGACTGCAGCAATGTTGTCACAGTTGGCCTTACCTTTGACCTGCCTATTTCTTTCCTTTATATCTTCTTTCCTTCCTTTGCCTCACAGTAGCAACTTGTGTGATTAAGTATATTTGGATTTTCTTCAGCACTACAAGGAGAGAGTTAGAAGAAGCTGTTCTGCCTTAGGGAGTTTGAAGCCAAACTGAGGCTAGATTTGTATACCGCCCTATATCCATGGATCTCGGGGCGGTTCGCAACACAAAATGACAATATAAAAAACACAAAACACATTAGGAGGAACTGAAAGTAAATGCAGGTGAAGAGTTTCTCCTGGCTGTGCAGGAGGACGAAAGATGTGTGCATGAGGTTTTGCTCTGAATTGTTCCGGCTTCTGGGTGTAGCACTAAAAGCCATGGTTTAGGTTACATGCCAATGGGGACATTATCTCTAGAATCCTTATCTCCATACTGTTGAAAGTGATTGCTGAGGCTGAGGCAGTATTGGCTTGTTTAAGGCCGCCTAGGGATTCAAAGTTGAGATATTGAGGATTTCTTGGCACCTTTGTGAGAGTGCCATGTGCCAACCATTACCCCATTAAGCAGAGTCTGTCCCCCACCAAGTTACTGTAACTACTTAGTTGTGTGTCTCGTGTTTTCCCTCCCCAGCTGCCTGCACGAACCATGTACCCATCATCACCACACTGCTTCGTGGAGGTAATGCCAATTAGAAAGCTGCCTTCTCTGTTTATAGATATCCGGAGGGGGCAATCTTCATCCTTAAAACACCCTTTCTTCTTCTGCATGTGCATCTTCCAGGAGCTCGAGTGGACGCCTTAGATCGAGCTGGACGGACCCCTCTGCACTTGGCCAAGTCGAAGCTGAACATCTTGCAGGAGGGCCTCTCACAGAGTCTGGAAGCTGTGTGCCTGGAAGTAAAGCAGGTGATAAGGATAAGGAGAATGGGTGGGCAAGAAATCTAATACATAATATAGTATAATAGAGCCTGGTTGCAAAATGTTTATCTTCTGTGCATAGAAGTTTCTTATGGAACTTTTTCCATAAAAGCCATTTTCCCTCCAGGAACCCTTGAGGAAAACAGGCTCCTGCCATGCGCTTCTCAGATTTAATATGCATATAAAATAGGGGGAAAGTCCAATCTTAATACAGTGGTGCCCCGCAAGACGAATGCCTCGCAAGACGGAAAACTCGCTAGACGAAAGAGTTTTCCCTTTTGGAGGTGCTTCGCAAAACGAATCTCCTATGGGCTTGCTTCGCAAGACGAAAATGTATTGCGAGTTCCTGCGGGTTTTTTTTCCTCCCCCCCCCCTTTTTCTAAGCCGATAAGCCGCTAAAAGCCGCTAATAGCGCTAATCCACTAATCCGTCAATGGGCTTGCTTCGCAAGACGAAAAAACAGCTAGACGAAGAGACTCACAGAACGGATTCTTTTCATCTTGCGAGGCACCACTGTAGTAGCAAAGCAGTCTGCAGATCTGAAAAGTATATTTAGTTTGTTTCTGTGCCAGTGGAAAAGCCATGGTGTTTGCCCCCATTTAGTTCTCATTTGTTCTGTTTTATTTATTTCAAATGTGCTTCCATTTTATTTCAGAATTCATCAAAACCTATAGCAGAATTACAGTACTTAAATTTTGACCTGGTACTTAGAAGTGTGAACCCTCTCCATTGCTCATAGTAAATCCCATCTCTCCTATGCTGCTTGTTTCAGATCATCCAGATGTTGCGGGAATACCTTGAACGCCTCGGGCGCCATGAACATCGGGAACAGCTGGATGATCTTTGCTCCAGGCTACAGAAGACTAGTACAAAAGAGCAGGTAAATGAATGACAGGGGGATTTTGTATATTTAATTAAAATCTGACTTAACCGAGTTTAAATATATTTCTGTGTTGCAAAATGACAGTGCCTTTTTGAGACTCCTGAAGGGTAGAGAAAAATATATTTATTAAATGATACACATTAGTTACAAGACATTGTGGGGGGGAAAGCTTTAGTTTAATAATACTTTGTCAAATTGGTGACAGTACATTACTTTCTGTTATTAGAAACATAAGGATGAAAAGTTCAAGACCCATCAGTACAGTTGGAGAAGTTTAAATTTTAAAGGCTATCCTGATTTCAACAGAGCATTGCCCACTCCACTTGCACGTGGTTCTTCTTGCTAGAAGCAATGTCGCAATAGCTTTGCTGTGAAAATAAAATTATTTAGTAGCTGTGGCTCCACTTAGAAGGAAAAGCCATTGTCCTGATTTCTTTTCCATCAAATCTGGTACAGGAGGAAGCTTGTGCAACTCTGCTTCTGCATGGCAGCAGATCCTTTTAACAGTCCCAAGTCTCACTGTCAGCCCTCATGCATCGGGGACCAAATTTTAAACTGTGGCTTTTGTTGATGAATTGCACCATTTTCAAAGCTTGCAATGGTCATTGTTGAAAAATGATTATTGTTGAAAAATGATTATTGTTGAAAAATGATTATTGTTAAAAAAAATTTCTCTTTTCCTGACCATACCCATTCTTCAAGGTCTCTTACTTTTGTAGACGTACTTCTCTTTACTCTCTGTCCTTCAGTAGCAGAAATTTCTCTGGCTCAACAGGACAATACCAAGTCCCAGTCTTCGTGAATTAATGAATTCTGTCACCTCACAAATTTCATTTCCTTCATCATATTCTTATTTGACTTCTGTAACATGTTCTTATGCTTTTTTCCTCCCCTCTGGAAGGTGGATGAGGTTACTGACCTCCTGGCCAGCTTCACCTCCCTCAGCTTGCAGAAGCAGAAGATCGAGAAGAGGTAACGGGATTTCCCACTGTTTTCTCAATCAAACAGACAAGCCTTGGGAGAAAGAGCAATTGGAGCTCCTCAGCAAGACTTCAGACTTGCTGCTGCTGGTACCAGGCATGCTTTTCCTATTGGATATATTTGCTCAGCTTCCCAAGACTTGTTGGGCCACTATTACTGCCGTGGAAGCTTCCTTCAGGACAAGAGGTTCATACTGAGGCCCTGACTTTCAGAACAATGAACCACTCTTTTTTTTTTTTTTTAATGCATCAGTGACAACTGTTTTAGTAAATGCGGTCACCTTGTACAGGGGAGTTGCCCCATTTCAGAAGCATCTCCATGGTCCTACAAGTGACAAATCCAACGTCCTTTGAGAACATTTGGGGAAACTGAAGCTGTTGGGCACAGCATCCCACACAAGTTGTCTGACTTCTAAGGACATGAATTGTTGAGCAATTGCATAAACAGTGAGAAACTACAACCTGTTGGGCAACTAAGTTTTAAAGGAGGGCTATTTTAAACTGAGAAAGGGCTAAAGGGCCAGCAATGCTGGCTTTGCCCACTAAAATGCTATTTAATTCCCTCCTCCTCTGTCCCATCCTCCAAAATAGCAGAGGAAGATTTTTACAGGGTTCTTTGCTTATGCTCCCCTCTTATAAACCATATCACTTTTCATTTCCTGCCTTTCTCATGTACCTGCATCGGTAGCTGAGGTGTGCAAGAGAAGAATTCTGCCAAAATCTCTTGTCTGAGAGGGCAAGTAAGAGACTTAAAGAATTCCTTGCTTGCATCTGTCAGCTTGCACCGATTTTTTTTGCATAGTTATGGGCTGCCTGGGATTCAGGCCTAATAGGGAGCTATAATGAGTCGCCAGGCTACCCATTGCCTACTCCTTCTTGTTACTGTTCCTTGGACTTTCTTTTGCTCTCTGTGCCAGTTAACATAATCTAGATCAGTCCTCAAAAACCTGAGCTGGAAGTAATGGTGTCTCTCAGGGCTGCTTCATACACTACTTTTCTTCCTTCAAAGACAGGACTGATTCAGAAGTAACAGAAAACCATAGTTTGGCAAGTTTAGAAGCAGTGACAAATCACAATTTGTTCTGAAACAGGAACAGAAGCTTTAAATCCCTACACACACACACAAGTAAGGGAGAGGGAAGAGCGTGAGACCAAGGTTTGTGATCACAGCAGCAAACCAAGCCAGTACTCCCAATGTGGATATTGCCATAAAGGGAAGAGAGAGAGAGGTTGCTTTCTCAGTGTGTGGGTACATGCCTAGGACAGATATTTTCTTGATGACAATGCTGTACGTTGCTTTGGTTGAATGGGCCTTGGAAATGTATGTTTTCTCATTTGCAGTAGTTGCCTGTCACTGAAGCGAGGGAAGCTTGACTTCTCATTCTGCCGATAAAATTTAAAAAGACAAAAAGACTAAGCAGCCCTTATGCTCACAATGAGAGAAGAACTCGTTTTGCCTGATACATGCCAACTCATCGGATTCAAGGATGTTGCTGCCACATAACAGCATGTATTGACTTCAGCCAATCCACATTTTTTAATCTGAGGAGGCAGGGGGCATTTGTAGCAAATCCATTATTGTGGTCTGATTCCTGCATCATTGAAATTCCAAGGCTGCTTCTGAACCTTGAGCCTAGTAGGCTACTATGACTGTCTTTTGTTGTTGCTTTAAAAAGTGTGCTGCTTTTGTGAAAGACAAGATTTAATGGGATTCGTATCTTTCGACAGAAGTCCACGTTTTCGATTTCACAAGCTAAGCAGCTTTGATAGGAGAAATCCTGAATGCTCAGGGGAGGAAAGTTGGGGACTGACTTGACTCTGACCTTGCCAGAGCTGTCACTGTGAATACAGAGAACTTTAATACAATGTGCAAGGAGGGTGGAAGGTGATTTGAACTTTTCCATTGTAAACTTCAATAAAGTGCTGTCTGCTTTCAGGGTGGCTTTGCACATTTCTGCCTGCCTACTTTTCCTCTTTCTCCCCCACCGCCCTGTTGTCTTCTCTGCCTGGGGCCTGGAGGTGGACTCAGTAGTTTCTTCACTTGAGCAAACTGCGTTGAAATGAAAGCTGACAGTGTCTCATTGCCTTAAGCTCAAAGACTGAGGCAGTCTGTAGACCTGATGTAATTTGCTGCCTCCGTCTTGTGTTTGCGGCTCTGATCCCACGGTTGCGGCCTCCTAACTCTTTAATAGACTTGCTGAGGACTCCATGAAAATCAATGTCTCTGCTACCCCCTGCTAGTTTCCTGGCAGTCACTTACGTGCACTGTACCTGGGAAACAGCGAGGCTGTCTAACTGAATCACATTTTCATATTGAGCTCCTTTAGTGTGCAGCCGGCGAAAACATTAATCACCGTTTGGGGGAGGGGAATAGCCGAGAGGAGGGTGCAGAATGTCCTTATATTTAAAGCAATTCACCAGGTTGTGGGAAACGTGGGCGGGTTTTTTTAACAGGAGGACAAGTGGGAAAGGGCAGGACATACAAAGGGCCATTCTGGTGATAGGAAAAGTATGTAGTACAAGAAGCATAACCTACTCTTCGTTTCTGAGAACATCTCATTAGCCACATTTTAAGACAGGTGTTGCTAAACTATGCCTCTTGTCAGCCAGTGTGGTGCGAGGTGTAGTTCACCTGTTTTAAAACGAGGAAAGGTCTATGTTGGAGGTGTGGTAAAGCAGAGGGGACATTTATACATGTTTGGCGGAGCTGTGAAAAAATCAAAAGCTTCTGGGACATGGTGTATGATGAACTTTAGAAAATGTTTTAAGTATAACTTTATGAAAAATACAGAAGCTTTCCTATTGGGGATAACGGGCACAGGTATAACAAGAGAGGATCAGAAAATATCCCTCTATGCCACAAGCATGGCAAGGGCCTTAATTGCCAGAAATTGGGGAAAAAATCGTGCCAACAAAAACGGAATGGCAGGATAAATTACTAAACTATATTGAATTGGCTAGATTAACAGAGGCAATTAGGGGACTCTCCAGACAAGAATTTCAAAAAGAATGGGGAAAATGTAAAGAATTCTTTACAAAACAGTGCCCTAAAATATACACCTGGACTTGTTTCGATTAATGTCTGCAGGAGACTTTGTGGTTTGTTTTTAAGTCATAATTTGAAAAATTGTAATAACAGCTCATAAAAGAAACAGTTCATAAGAAGTAAACAAGGCGGCCATGTCTTTTCTTTTGTTGTTTGTTATATTTTATGTTATGTTTGTTTTTTGTTATGTTTATGTCTAATGGTGGTGGATTTGTTTATTTGAGTTGTGGTGGATTTATGTTGTAAATAAATAAAATAAAATAAAAACGAGGAAAGGTCACTGCAAGTTCTCACCGTGTGGGTAAAGGAAGCAATAAAGGACCATGCCTTTCTGCTTAAGATACCCATCCACACTTGAAAAATGAAAATGGGGAACAATTCCATGGGAAGCTCTCCGGTGCAAGCCCTTTGGAAGAACAGGAGCTGCGTAAGACATAAGAAGCTGCCTCACACCAAGTCAGGCGGTTGGCAGTGGCTCTTGAGGGTTTCAGAGAAGTGTACATACCCAGCCTTGTGTGAAACCTGCTGGAAATTGAACCCGGAACTTTCCACCCACAAAGCAGATGCTCTTCCTTTGAGGGACAGTCCCTCTCCAGTGGAAGCAGCCTGGTTCGTTGGCAAGGCGAACTGAAACACCCTTGTGTAGGAGAGGAGGAACCTCTTTCTTCTGCCTGTAAACTGGGCCCTCCTCGCCAACTGTTTACTCCCAAGAAAAAGGGTTAGGGAGGGGTAATGAAATCCAGGCTTCAGCTCAGGCAGGCATGCATGCAGGGGACCTGATCCACTACAAAGTTCACCTCCAGTGTGAATGCTGGGAGGCTTGTAGTGCTCCTACACCGTATATTTGCACCATCCTTGACTTAATGCACAGACTAAAAAGTTCTACGTTCATGCATGTTATTTCGGGCTCTGCCCCTTGTTACCGCTTCCATTTCAGAAGTAGTCTAAACTATACACACATCACAGAAAATGTCAGGTGCTTCGTACTTCACCATTGTCCTTTGAATAGACATAATTACCATGTTTGTTTATTCATAACATGGGCCTGAAGAAGTGTGCATGCACACGAAAGCTTATGCCCAGAACAAACTGAGTTGGTCTCTAAGGTGCTGCTGGACAATTTTTTTAATTTACTTTGATTGTGTCATACCAACATGGCTACCTACCTGAATCTCTAGTATCATGGGCCTGAAAGCTTCACCTTCCCTAGATAGATCTGTTTCCTGATTCAAAGATAGTATGGACATCTTTGTATTATCTATATACCATGGTACAATAAAGGTAGTTTGGCATGTAGTGTTAACAAATACCAGGGGGCACATAATAATGGGAATGGGAGAGAGAGTCTGCTCAGAAGCAAGTTTCACTGTGTTCAGATCTCTCCCACATAACGGCATAGGATTGCAACCTTGAAATAAGCTGGAAATTGGGGTAGTTGATAGCACTTAATGTTAGTAGCCCTCAATGTGCTATTGGACTGTACAGGGTTTGGAAACCTTGTGCCTTGTCTGAACCTGCGTTCGATCGAGCTCCTCTGGAATCACCTCCGACGTGATTAACGACCTGAGCCCCTGATAAGGCTCTAGGCACATTCCCCATTACGCAGAGTTTCAAAGCAGCATGCGGAAGGACGAGAGAGTATGAGCTACATCGCAAAGAGTTTTATTCCTAACTACGCAGACAGAAAAGAAATAAACATGCTTTCTCTGTGAGAGCAGAGAGCAACTGAACAACAAAGGAACAGGAAACTAGTAACATCACATCTGTCTTCTGTCTTCCGTGAGACTTCTAACAGCCTGGAATGTCTCTGGAATGTAAACAGAGTCTTGTGACTCCAAGAGCACTGCACAGTGGCAACACACAGAAACCAACAGGCCTGGGGGCCAAATACAGCCCCCGGTCTGGCCCTTGGAATGCTCCCCGGCCACACCCACCACCCCTTGCTTTGCATCCTCCTTTATTTTTGCCTCGCTGAAATGTGCCTTTGAACTCTGATTATGGCTTGCTTGCTTGCTTGCTTGGATGGAGGACAGAATGTCTGTAGAAAGTAGCCCTACTGCAGCGAGGCCAAATTTACATCCATTGCTCCACCCACTTTCACCTCTGGCGCCTCCTACCTCCTCAGGGTCACCCAGAAGGGGAGTGCAGTTGTCAGGCTGAAAAGCCATTTTCTAACCCCAGGCTATAGCTCCTGTCCTCCCTGAGCATTGGCTTTGCAAGAGCTGCAGCAAAGGCCACAGATCTCCCCTTTCCCTAGCGCAGCATTTCCCCATAGTTATTTGCAGGTTGCTTTGTTAGTGTGGGGCATGCATTTCTTAAGAGCTAGCGAATGAGAGCAGGGATTGTAGTTCTGTGGTGTAATCTATTCCCAGGGATTTAGAGGATACCTGCGTGAACTTCACACTCTGTGCTGGGCAATGATGATACGAAGAGGACCATTGACCCTACAGGGCCACAGGTTCTCCACCCCTTGCTATAGGCCATCAGCATTATGATAACTACAAAAATCCAGCTCTGCCGCACTGTTTATCTTCATCTGGGGTGCATCTGCTATCATGAAGAATTCATAAATTCCAGATACTGCGGCAGATGTAGCCATACAACCTAAAATGAGCACCACCAGCTCCTCAGCTACTGAAATATTTAAGCTAGGCTTTGAGACAACTGGCATTTCTAGAATCAAAATATACCTTTGTCTTCCCCTCCTGTTAATTTCATACTCCAATCATTTGTATTCATTATCCCTCATTGGACCTTTGATCCGACTTTTGGGATGACACGTTTCTCACTACCCGTTCTTTGAACTCTCTTCTTTGTTTATTGCAGAACATGTTTGTAAAACAAGGTTCTTATTCACTGCAATGTGCAAGGACACTGCGGGGAGAGAGCAGCCATGTCTGTGGAGGAGAAGCATTTGATGAACGTGTGGATAAGTAAGAACTGACAAAGTAGGCTTTCATAACGTCTTTTTAAAATTATTTTTAAGGCCCCTTACAATGATGCTGTTAGCAAAGGGTTCACCAAGCAGCCAACTGAGAAGGTATTACAAAAACATTGAAGACTGAAAAATGCTGATACATATATACATACACATTCTTGGAGGCAGTGGAGTAAACGAAGAGGCAGAATGTATTGCTCATCACATCCCTAATGGTTTTAGTAACTACTGGAAGAGGGAATAAGAACTGCAGAACAACTGATACTAATGGCCAGTGAAGCTGAACAAAATAAAAAGGTGTCTTTATTACAAACAGCTTTAGTTGGTGGTATAATGATAACTGTTTTCAGTTCGGACCACGAAGCCCTGGATTCAAATCCCTTCTCAGTCTTCAAGTTTGCTGCATGATCTTGGGTCACTCGCTGTTCATCCTCAAAGGGTTGTGAGGATAAAATATGTATCAGAGGTGAAGAGTTTTGCATTCTGAGCTCTTTGGAAGAGGGGAAACAAGTGCCTAAGAAATAATAAACATCTTTCATTGCAAGTTGGACTCAAATTTGATGGTAAAACCACAGGATATTCTATTAACTGAATTGCAAGCCATGTGAATCAACAGTTTTGCTGATAAGAATTGTATTACGACTACGTGGTCCTTTCTGGCTGACTCAGAACAAATCCAAGTTATCATCCGTAGCTATTAAGCACAGTACATTTTCACAGTCCTAATGGCACTATGTTAGGTTGACAAACAGGTCAGTTTGACCCAGATTCTTGCTGTTCTTGTTTAAAGCATCCTCTGGTAACAAAGGGCAGGGTGGGGGTACTAGGAAATGGAGAATTATTCAGAGAGTGTGAATACCCTGCATCAAATATGGCAGTGGTGGTGGTGGTCCAATTCCTCATGGTTGTTACAGTGATGAACCAGAGAACAAAGACTGCAAAGGACTTCCAGTGGCGAAAAGAGGATAGAGAGTTTGATAAGGCACACTGGCAAAACACGAAGTCCCAGAAAAATGTTTTGCCCAGTGTCCTCACTGCCTGGCATTGGATTGTGAAAATAGTCAAAGTAAGTAATCTATTTTCACTGTTTAGAACTGTTTGTCGTTATTAGCATGATCCGTTCCATGTCTACTCAGAAGCAAGATCCACTGAGTTCAGTGGGACATACTCCCAGGCCAGCAGGATATAAATAAAATAACAACGACAATAATCCATATAGCTCAGTTGGTCGAGCACGAGACTCTTAATCTCAGGGTTGTGGGTTGGAGCCCCACGTTGGGCAAAAGATTCCTGCATTGCAGGAGGTTGGATGAGATGAACCTCATGGTCCCTTCCAACTCTGCAATTTGTGATTCTATGAACTCATACGAAAAGTTTGCAGCATTAAAGTGAACAGCATGGAGAAAGTATTTGTCCCTCATAACACTGGCACTCATAGACGTCCAATGAAACCGAATGTTGGGAGATTCAGGACGGAGAAAATATATTATTCGCACACCACATGGTGACACCAGGGAACTTGCTTCCACAGGGGCCAGCAATGGCCACCAACTTAGATGACTTTAAAAGAGGGTTTGGCAGATTCATGGAGGACAGTGCTATCGGCAACTACTAGCCATGATTGTTTTGCTCTGTCTTCATGGTTGAAGGCATTATTCCTCCTTAGGCCACTTGTTGGGACTCTCAGGTGGGCAGAGTTATGTGGTGCTCTGATCCTTCTTGAGAGTTTCCCACAGGCATCTGGTTGGCCACTGTGAGAACAGGATGCTGGACTACGGTGGACCATTGGCCTGATCCAGCAATCTTATATTCTGCTCCTATGTAACCCTGGCACCAGAGGACTTTGCACTGCCACATTTTGTTGCAGGTCCCTTTTGTATATGCTAATAGTGAATTCAGTTCTCTCAGTGCCAGACCTTAATGCAACCAAAACAGCATCGCCCACACACA